CAACGAGCATATTAACGAGCATTCAAGAATTCAAGAAAATCCGAACTGTCTATGTAGATCACGATAGAAGCTTTTCCTAGTCTACGTTAGCGGGCTTCAATTCCGATCATGTCGTCTGTCATCGACTGCTGATCTGCCACCAATCCCCCAAAAGCCCCCAAAGATCTTCAACGAGCAAACCGCCTGTAACTTTTACAGGTTCAAATACATAACAAGCCATACACACAGCATGACCACAGCCTTAGAAAGAAAACACACTATTGGATAGTGGGGTTGCCCCGGCTCGAGTCTGAATACTCCACCCCCTTGACGCTGGTGGACCTGTCGATTGAAGAGCTGGATCCGAGATTATCCGGACCATTCAGTACAGCAATAGTGCAATGGAGGTACCCCAAGGGTGCTGGCTAAAATTATGAGAACATGCAGGCAGCAGTATCTCAAGGCTGTCGACTTTTGGGCTATGAGGAATGTTTCGCTGAACATAATCGAGTACCCCAAAAAATTACTACGTGTATTCTCATGAACCATCTAAAGTTTTGCCTTGGGTATTTCTCCAGAATGACGGTCTTCACTCCTATTAGCTATAAACATGAGCATCGCTCGCAAGACATCATGCCCCACAAGTGATCTCGGCGTTATATTTCCCTAGAGGCGAAGAATTCAAGCAATTAAACCAAAATATAATATATATGGTAATAGCACCTAGTACTTTCGGTTTCCTGGTACTGCTGTGCCTTATACCACCGAACGGTATTCACATCTTGAAGCACGGCATCTACTCCCTCCTGGCTACGCAATTCGGTTTTGAAAGAAGGCAGTGCCTTGCATGTTGGGATCTCCTTCAGCATTGAATGAGGATCCTGAGGTGGAGCTTCAGGGCGAGTCATACACTCCGTTTAACTTGTGTTTCACCTATTGTTGTGTACCATTTCTCCAGGTTGACGCAATGCATATGTGTTTCTTTTTCCAACGACGGGTATGACGTACAATTGGTCCATATTTTTCTTCCAGCGAGTCAGATTTAATATAGAAGAACTCTTCCAGATGGGCTGACCTATATATCCTGGATCGAGATATATTAGCCCTGGGTAGACCCAACTGATCGAATAAATCTTCAGGATTGTACAGCTGTTTATACCAGAGCCTTTGGTTGACTCCAAAAGACTAATATAGAATCCTACATTTTGAATTGTCCTAAGTGTCTGAGACGGAACCAACATCTCAGAAGTGGAGTGGACGCCTCGTAGTAAAATATATAATCTATATAGTTTGTACCAAGTTGTCAGCATGTTCCCCCTGACCAAACACATCGATTGGTGGTTTGTATAGCCCGGGTCCCTTTCAATATCTACTTAGCACACCGACACCAACATACGTCCATCGTCCCAGATACTAGGACCGTCTCTCGTTGCGTCGGAGAGATTCTGCCGCAAGGCTAGACCAGTCGCCAAATAGTGTTCCGGTCGAGCGGAAACACGCTGAGAGACGGGTGGCGGCGAGATCGCGTTCCAGACCTCTTCTTATATAACGTATCCAAATGCCATCGGTGGCTTAAGTATATCTCGATGCTATCCAAAGCTTCCTCAAGCCTTATATGCATGATTAGCCCCACAGTCGTTTGTCAGAAGCGCACACATCGTTGTTTCATTCCTATTGTCGGCACCGTGCAGAGCCTGTGACAGTCATTCCTTGGAACTGCCAAATAAACACGGAAATAAAGTTGTGAGCCGTCAAGATTCTAGCAAGGAAGAGGAATTGTCATCGTGGATCTCCCGTGTTGCAGCATGTGATCTGTCACAACTCTAGGGATTTGACTGTCCAGTACGGAGTGCTTCGTAGATAGAACCAGATTTATCGACCATCGGGATTCTGCCAGGAATGCCCAAAGCTTCCCCGGCATTTCACCGGGCACGGCAATGAAGGATTCTGTTTGTTTTATTTGCCGAGACAGTTAACCGCCGGCAGTATAGATTTACTGTTGTGTTTCTGAAATACTAATACCAGCGACTCGACCGGAGACGCTCCGACGACGGAGTTCCGGGGGGCGAGAGCTGCAGATCATGTCCGCGGAGAGACATGCCTTCGACGTGCGGATCGCTGAGGCGGGAGAAAAGGGATAGTATTTAATCCCTGGCCTCAACAGTCAATCTTCGGACGGTGGCCCGCTGTCCAAGTTCTCCGTAATCCATCCGTAACTCCATATGCAGCTACACGAATTAGTCTGCGCTAACGAAACTCCATCGTTCTAACGTTAACCGAAGCGCCAAGAACAGGCCCAGCGCTATTTCAGGAAGGATCATTACACTTGCCTTTCTTTTTGCTCCTGGTGACTGGATACTGAGGACGAATAACTCCATTGCCGTGAAGTCGAGGGCAAACAAATACGAGGACATCTTGGCGCGATCCAATTTCCGAGACCCATGGTTGTGGGAGAACTTGTTTCGTTTATCCCTGACAGCGATTACTGGCGGCCCACACGTGTGCCGTTGGCTGGGACTCTAGAGTAGCAGATGATTGGCAGTGGAAATGCCGGCGGCGTCTGGATTCCTGCATGGCTAGTGCCAAAACGGTTCCTGAAGAAGTGCGAGGCGGGTTTTCTGGGCGTTAGCAAAAGCAAAGGAGCAACCAGGCACAATGACATTGACTAGTAAGGTTCCTAATGCACGTTAATATACGGATCAGATAGCTACTGCTGTCGGTTTCCAATAGTTCCACGGATCGATACAAATCGAATCCTTTACCTGTCAATCTCTACCCCGGGGATCATACTTTCTCATTCCTCCGCGTTTATCGCAGTGATGGCGGTTTTCCCTACCGCTTTGGTGGTCATATCCCGTCAAGTGGATCGCCAGCGAGCGGCCTGATACGAGCTAACAGCGTCTATCATCGGCGAAAGATGCTGGATTCGGTTTAAACACTAGGGGATGGACGCGCTTGACCCAGCAGGAAATAACGTAATTGCGTGGTTGCTCTTCATATGTACGAAAGTAATGCACGGTCCTGAACGATTGCCACTCAGGATTAATTAAATCCACGTGGAACCTCGGTCCATATTAAGAAACATATACTCTCAGTGCTCAGTGCTCTTGTCGTCGGGGACCATCGGTCTAAACCCTAAGCGAGGCTATCCAAGCGCCTCAACAGAGGAAATACCTTCTAGTCTGTTTCCCCCCTTCTCTGACTCGTCGTGACTCCATTCACACCACTAAAAACGTCTTGGCGTCTGGTCTCTTCAGCCGGGTCGCCACTTGACGTTGTCGATCCTCTGCTTTTTTTGCCATAGCCTGAACGCTACTAAATGCCCCGTTTTTTTTTTTTTTTTTTTTTTTTTTTTTTTTCAGTCCCTCTACCCCCTTTGCGCCAACCAGCTTAGATTAATTCGTAGCGGTTCTAGAATGGGAAAGCTGGGACCGAGCCAAGCTCAATGTCTCCAGATCTCTCCTAATATTAACATTGTAATATAATATCGTCTGCCCCCCGGGCCCGTCCCCACAACCTCTACTGGCCATGTCCGGACCTCATCATCGACATGGACCATGCGGATGACCGCAGTCTCGAAGTCAGGGCGGTCGCGGCCGCCTTCATGTCGGTGGCAGTCGTCACGGTGATCCTGCGATGCTACGTGCGAGGATGGTTAGTGAAGGCATTCGGCTGGGATGACGGGGCAATGGTGGTTGCACTGGTTAGTCTTGTTGCGACACTGCCGTGAAACAAAGAAGAAAGTATTGGCTGACCAAGGGAACCAAAACATGATAGTTATTCTACGTGATGTTCTCCGCCTGTATGATCGGAGGCAGTTTATGGGGTACCGGGAGAAGATATAAAGATCTGACGGCGGTGCAACGAGTGACGGCCATGAGGGTAAATATACACACCACCATCACCCTTCCCTTCCCATCGAACCCGACACAGACTAACACGGAAAGTAAAGTACTGGTGGCTATGTGAAATCGCGTACTGTTTCGCCTCCGTCGGCGGCAAAATCTCCATCTGCATCTTCCTGATGCGCATCACCGTCAAACGGGAGCATATATGGTCACTCTATATCGTGATGATCCTGACGGTTATCGCCGGTCTCGTCTTCATGTTCCTCATGCTCCTGCAGTGTAAGCCGCTACAGTATTTCTGGACTAAGGTCGCTTTCGACCCGAACATTGAGGGCCATTGTCTCGACATGACGATAATTATCGCCATGACGTATGTGTACAGTGCGTTCGCGGTGATCTGCGATTTCACCGTGGCCATTTTGCCAATCTTCCTGGTTAAGGACTTGCATATGAAGAAACAGACGAAGATTGCGGTGGTCGGGATCTTGAGTATGGCCTGCATGTAGGTGGATCCTTGGGACTCTGGGGAGAGTGGAATGATGCTAACTGGTGCAGTGCTTCTTCTGCTGTCATTATCCGTATACCCTTTGTTCATACATTTAACGACCCGGACTTTCTTTGTAGGTTCCCTGTCTCCTTCGGACGTGGATATACCGGGGGACAATCGCTAACATGGACATGGAAAACAGATGCAACAGTCGAAATCGCCCTCTGGTCCAATATCGAAGTTGGCCTTGGTATCACGGCTGGAAGTCTCGCTACCCTTCGTCCGCTCCTCCGTCACTGGCTCGGTTCACGCACCGATCCTACATATCCCTCTCCCTTTCCCGGTCGATCCGGGTCTCGACTTCCCGGTGGTGCCAGCCGAGATCGACCCTATCCGTTGGGGTCGCTGGATGAGAGCGCCCAGAACCGGCTGAGGCCGGATAAGTTGGCGATTACGGTGACGACGGTGCAAAGCCAGGACCAGAATGGGTCGTGGCATGGGGGACCGAGTCCGAATAGTAGCGAGGAACGCTTGACGGCTCAGGGATCGCCTGCGTTGCCGGCGGTAGGGGGCGACATGGGATTGGGCATCCATCAGACATTTGAGGTCACGCAGACGAGTACGTCCCAGACGGTGAGGGAACACTGCTAGCCTATATTAATCTTTTATATTTTTCATTATATATATATATTTCCTAGAGTTATCACCGGGTTTAGCCAAATACGATACGATAAATGAACAGTATTGGAACGATCGAGAAAATGCTTTATATTGACTATTTATGCGTGTAGGTATCCGTTGACAATTTCAGCGAAGGCCGCTGGTTGCTCGACCATAGGCAGATGCCCGGCCTTGGGAACCAATTTCAGTTCGGCACCACCGTTCAAATCGTTTGCCATCTGTTGCATTGTCTTCGGCAGTACACCATCTCCCTCGCCGGCGACAAACAACCCGGGCACCTGTGCTTGAGCCATGCGGTCCCGGACATCATATGCGCAGAGTGCCTGCACGCCTTGGCGGAAACCATCCAGGCTGTTGTTGCGTACGATCTCCTTCACCTTCGCGGGAACTTCCGGCTGGGTCTCGTATGATTCAGGCACGAACCACCGACGGGTGGTGACTTCAGACAACTGCTCACCGATAATTGGCTCCTGAGTGGTGGCGGACACTGCACCGTCGCTTTCGGCCATGGCCACGCGATCATTCCAGGCCTTGCGGTTGGATTCGGGCGCCGAGCTATTTGTGTCGCAGGAAATGAAGCGGGTCACGCGATCGGGGTACAACAACGACGTGTTGAGAACGGTCACACCACCCAGACTGACACCAATTAGAGTCGCCTTGGGGACCCGCAAAGCATCGAGGAGCGCGATGATATCCGATGCCAGAAGATCAATATTGATGGGCTTCTCCCCACACTCGCGGAGACGGCCACGGGTCAGGTACCGGAGGATCCGGAAGTTCTGGTTCTTAGGGTTGGAGAAAAAGGCATCCACAAAGCTGTCCCAGATGGTATAGTCGACGAGGATGGAGTTGCTAAGGACAATGACAGGGCTATGGGGATCGGTGCTGCCCTCGAGGCGGTATGGGAGATCTACACCGTCCGGAGTGGTGATAAACGACTCGACGGCCGGGCGCGTGGCCGAAGGAAACGTTCTGGTGCGACCGTCGTTGGAAGCCCAAGGTCCGACAACATCCTTGGAGGTTAGGGAAGACAATTCGCGTGGTGCTGGGCCGAATGTATAAGCCCACTGGTACACACGGCGCTTCTTGCTCGTAGCAGGGTCATTCATGAGGCGGTTGCGCCACGGGGTATCCATCGCAGCTTTGTGTTCAGGGCCCCCCAAGCCGTTGATCGCGCTGTACTCATGTAGGCATAGGAATTCTCGCGGTGCTTTGGGGTCGATCGACGATGTGGCAAAGAGGCGGCTGCGACGCCAGCCCGGCACACGTGCTAGCATAGGGAAGTGTTCTTCAGAATACCAGTTCTTGAGGTCCTCTTCCTTATCGGCGGGAACGGAGACCAAGGCAGAGACAAGTACCGAGCCGGCGGCTTCAGTGTCGGGTATCTCCTCGAGAGGCTTGTAATCGGCGTCTTTGTGATCATGGAGAAGATCATAAAGGCGACGATCAACGTCAATCTGGGCCATGGTGGCCTTTTCGCGTGGGGTCTTCACACCATCCCCACGGAGAGCCAAGTAGGTCTCGCGCGTCAGCTCCACCATGTCGGTAATGTCGTACGGAGCCACCCACTCGGGCTCAATGCCGTCGACGGCACGATAGCGGAAGCCATTAGTGACAAAGGGCAGACGGAGGCGTAGGGGACCGTGTTCGGTATTGTACCAGTCGTGGAACTGGGCCGCGGGGAGGGAATCGCGGGGTTGCATCGTCACGTACAGAAGGCCGGGGGTCGCCATGGTGGATTATTTCTCACTGTGTATAATTGTCCAACTCAAATCGATATCCTTGACCAGTCTGGAGAGGAGGGGTTCGACCGGGATCGCGGGGGCAATATCATTTTGTATCGCCGTGGGCACATTCCCGGATCAGGGAGAGGCCGATTGACTGCCGACCAGATAGCCGAACACTGGCGGATGAAGTCATCGGGAAGCAGGCGATCAATTCGAAGCCGGAGATTGGGGGGTTTGATTCATGATTAATAGAGGATTGGCCGTTTTTTGAAAGAAAAATATATACAATGTGTCAAGTTGTGATGCTATCCAGAAACACCTCGAGTAAGGGAAGACGACAAAATCTAGAAAAATGCTGGTGGTGGTGGTTCATAAATTATTGAGGCAAAGCACGGGATTCGAGATTTGATGCCTGGTGTTCCAGGCAAAATACGAGTATGCAGCACAGATACCTTATTGTCCAGGCATACATACAGCCGTTTGCGGCAGTGGCCCGTCTAATTCCAAGACATTTGATTCAGTATCGGCGCTTCTCCCAGGCAATGTACGAGATCGAATAGTCGACACGGCAATTCTCAATAAGCTACTGTTTATGTATCGTGGTATTCAAAAGTACATCACGGACTCAGATCTGCGAGGTTTCAACAGACCCGCAGCAATACAGATGTACTGTCATTTCTACCGAAGCTAGCTCTTCCATACTCCACCATGAACTTTCTGTAGACAACAGTGCATCAGGACTCATTCTCCTCAGCAGACCTACCTAGTAAAGGCATAGCATTTCTTTCCGCAGTGGAGGAATAAAACACATTTCCGGCTAGACTTTCGACAAGCGCCCGAACATATCGGGCCTCTGGGCTGTCATTGCCTGTCCTACCCAGGATCTCTTTGTAAAGTGCGTGCATTTCTCGTTCCGTATCCAGCTGGATGTTACGCGCAACTTCTTTCGCCGTTGTGGGAGATACGTTGAACTCTCTTTGTAAGACCTGTACGGCGTTGACGATTGCGGAGTCGTTAACCTGATGCTCGAGACAGTCTTTCTCATATGAAAAGAGATCCTTGACGATGATTCTGTGTTTTGCCCAGATATTCACTATATTGTTCAGTATAGGATCTTGGCTTTGCCTAGAGGTGAGGTGGATTGATCCCGCGAAGCGGATCATGGAAAGATTGATGCTGAAATCATCAGTGTCCATATACGGCAAAATGCTTGACTCGAGCGTACTCCGTAGTAACATCTCCAACACTCGCTTCAAGGTAATCTGATAGGGTCGTGGGTCGGTAATTGCCCTGGTCCCGAGAGCAGTGGGCTCGGGGCCTTTGATGCCACTTTAAAACCCCCGCTGCGACTTCAAATCCAATAATAGGGTCCGCTCGAAGGATATCCTGCAGAACACTGGAAACTAGGCGGCATATGGGACTTGTACCTTCATGGCACCTCGTTCGAGTAGGTGTCGCAGGAGACCTTCGGCCTTGCTGGAGCTCTTCCTGTAATGCTCTTAGTAGACTTGGCGTGTGTTATGTCACTGAGACCTTACTTGGTGGCATTTAGCAATACCCGGTACATCTATTGATCGGTTAACGAAGATCTGGTCTGGAGTTGCATAGTGACGATACCATCGTGAATCCACATTACGACATGTAGCTGAGCTAAGAGCCGGATTCTGACCAAACCAGCTCTCGGATACATGTACACGGTACATCCAACAGCTGTCTCAACTACTTGGAGAATCTCTGCCAAGTCTCTCCAGTGCTTGCAAAGGCTACTCTTGGACAAGCCTTTCGCACGAAATAGCCTATCTGTCAGCTCTTGTGCAGCGTCCTCTGCCTCTCGCCACTGTCGACTTTGCCGACAAGCGGGAAAGAATGTTTGCCATGATACGCCCAAGTCTTCGGGGTTAAGGCAAAAAGAGGACCTGTGTAGTGCTGGGTCATCCTTGGCGGCTTTGGCAAGAAAGTCAAAGAGATCGTGATTTGGGGAGTCTGATGTTGTGTGTACTGGGTCATATGAATGGTGCACCGGCCTAATAGGGTGACGAGGTCCTCGATCGAAAGGAAAAGCAGCTGTATACGATGTGGTCATTGAAGATATTGTGGATTCAGTATTGCCTGCTTAGAGGAACGTCTTGCTTTTCACCGATTACAGGGGATGAACGGTTGTTTTATATAGATCGCGACTTGCCACGCGAGTTATTTATGTCACGCAGGCCCTGTGCGATATAGCATAACAGCATTTCCCGGGTCCTCATCTTGGCTAATGACCTAAGCCTTGTGTTGATGTGCATGGAGATGTAAAATGACGTGATAAGAGTTCAAGCAGACTTGTTTGATGGCCATAAAATTTCAAGTATGTCCCAAGGACGTATCCTGCACAGAGCAGCATCGAGCGAAGGCCAGGTGCTGAGACTTGTGCCTAGAATATCCTTCCTGCCTATCTCATCTTTCACTTTAATTTTGAAAACGACCACAAAAAGATTCTTGTGGATGTAGATTCAAGGCGGTGCTGGAAATAGTAACACAACTGTCTATGCAAGATTCAGTGAGTCTATTGAATCACTTGACGTGTTGAACCATGGCCCTCGTTCTATATCCCTGGCTGATACGTCCGCCAAGGCAGAGCTGAAGGTATGTGCAAGGCTATTCATGGTCTATTTCTGAATGAAGCGGCAGGCCGTCGTCTCCCGTATCTAAAACCGGATGATATTCAACGGCTCCTTCCATATTTGGACATCCCGTATAACCCGGGATACTGCTCCTGGAATCTGGCTTTCAGTCGCATTTAATGGAAGAAGGAATCGGAATCTTTATAAACATTCTATTCTATCATTGCATTATTTTATAAGCTTTGCGTTTAACCGTTAATCATACCAGATGGCATTCATGCCGAATCCCTTTTCAGGGATATCTACTCGTGCGACACGAGCCAAATTCTCATCGCGGAATCGATAGATCTCGACGAATCCCAGCTGGTCGTCGCACAGCGCCAGCCACTCGTCGCTGAAATCACAAGGGCTGACCGCATTAGAGTGTCCACCGCTGGTCGAGGTCGGGTGGATAAACAACTGTCGCTCGATGTTGCCATTCGGGCCTAGCTTGAAGGCCGTGATGTAGCCTGTGACATCGAAGTGGTTGCTGCGCGTGGTCGCAAAGAGATATTCACCACTGCGGGTGGTGAAGGTGACGTCGCCGCGATACTTGTTGCGAGGGGGAAGGCCTGGAGGAAGCAATGGGTAGGTGATGTGCGTAAAGACGGGCACATGGCGCTTTTCATCGATGACGTATACGCCCAATCGGTTACCCGCCTCCATCAGCACGTACAAGTACTTTCCGCTCGGGTGCATCTCAACCCAGCGGGGGTGGTCATCCGGCGAGGGGGCATCAATGCAATCCACCAGGGTCAATTCGCCTGTTGTTGCATCCTTGCGATGGGTCCAGATCTTGTTCGCCGACAGATCGGCAGAGTAGAGGTAGGTCTCGGTTGGGTCAAAGACCATGCCGTGAATACCGGTGTTCGGCTCGTACTCGTAGTTCTGGATGTTCTTGGCGAGACGGCCGTCAGACTCAACCGAGAAGACATTTCCATATCCAGCATAGTTGTAGAAGGGGTTTCCATAAACAGCATAAGGGGCTTGACGTGCGGCAAGAACGAAGATGGCACGGGTATTGGTGTCGTCGTTGGCAGCAAGGGCTGTAAGGAGTCAGAATACTGCTTCCAATAGCAGAGGGCTTTCCACAAAGAATTGCGACGTACGGTGACCAGCAACTGGGTGGGAGACTTGGTGGACAATATCGGTAGGGCTGTTGACGGCGAAACTGTTCCACTTCTTCATGGCCGCGCCGTAAATCGTTTTTTTGTCGTGCTATAGCAATTGAGTCAGACAATGTCAATTGAAACATGTCGAGACCGATAGACATACGGAGAAGGTCATCCAAGAGATGGGCTCAGCCTCTGGAATGTCGGTCTTCTTGACCAGGTCCAGGGTAAGTGCCTCATCATCAAATGCGACAGTATAGATGCGGCCTGGAGGAGTCCAGGTACCGACCATAAGATGGTGCTTCATATTGGGGGTGATTGACTGGGAGAAGGCGCGAGAGATAGTGCGAGAGACCGGTATGGCTCGAAAAGTCGACGAGAACATCGATTAGAGCGAAGAAAGAGAGGAAGACTGGCTGACATGATGTCTACTTACAGATGTCTGGTCCGGAGAAAGGACGGGAGTTTGAGATCACCCGAACGCGGGGAACGGCAATCGCAGGCGGCAATGCATCGCTGCCTCAGGCCGGTAACCCCACGGCCAAGTCACTGATCTCCGTACCAAGATCAGTGTGAAGTTCAATCCATGTGAGGAAAGATTCTAGGGCTGAACTAGACCTCCACTTGGATCCCATAGTGGAACTCAATCATTTCCGCACATAATGTCCGTAGAACGTGTAATATCTATCAACGGTCACCGGCGTAAAGCTGCATAGGAGGTCATGGCTGTCCTTTTGCTCCTGTACCAGAAATCGGGTTGGGCGGATTATGCGTACCTCAGTTCCAGCAGCACTAACAAGTTTAAGGTATTGTAGCCTAATTTAGTAAGTCTAATAGTACCCGCATGAGCAACATCCACTTAAAGACAACGTCTTCAAGAAACCATGCAGTAATTTAGGGCTATTTTTATAGTGAGTAAATGCGAGGTTGACAGTGAAACACAATTCGTTTTTTTCTAACCGTTTACTCATGACAATATGACTGGAGTATGCGCTAGAAATATATACCGTGTATTTCCTCAAACGCTCATCGCAAATCAGGTATTCTGCTTTCTGTCAGTAATAAACCTTTATGTCTAGCACGTAGCACAAGACCAATGTATATGTAAAAAGTGATCCAAAATCCAGGAACACTCCCAGGTCACCCGACCTGGTATTCAACTGCTTGTGTCGAAGCCGTTCAAACCAATCATGAATGCTGTCGATGAGTAAGCTCATTCCAGATCTACAAAGCCTCCCTTGTAAACATAAGGGGAAAATAAAGAGGAGAGATAATTACCCCAAGTGAACTCGATGGCCGGTGGAGCAGACCGCGGGTAAGTATAATTCCGAAGCGGAAACGTATTTACCCGCACCCCCGGGTTTGGCTGGGTTAGGTATGAGGTAAAATTGACTGGTTGCTTATTGTCCTGACAGTTGCTGGCCATCATGTTGACTATGTTAGTAAGGTGATGCCAGTGCTAAAGTTTACATCGTACTTCTGGGTCTAACCTATCTTGAGCTGTTATAGCTGAGTTATACTTGCAACCACCAGGGTCTGTTAAGTCTAGCACTGTCCATGTCCAGCAGTCGGGCGAATTGGAGAGGAACACAATTCCAGCTGCACCAAGAGCAGAACTCGTGTAAAGAAACTGCCATGACTACAGTGGTATGAGTCGACGCACGTAGTGCTCGATCGACTGAGTGGATAATACGGCTTCGGATCACTGGGGCGGAAAACTTGAGATATGTTGTTGTATCAGGGGTACCAAGCCGCTTGACCTACTCTAAGATACAGTTATTATGCCTCTCAAATACTTTCAGTGCAACCTCACTTTCCCCTAGACTTCATAACTTCGAAATGCTGCTAAGTGGTAACTGTGACATGCTACCCAGATTGGGTTTAGCCATGCGTCACGCCCGAGACCCATTTCCTGCGTTGAGGATAAAACTGGCGCCCCTTGCCTCGGCAAACAAAGAAAATGGACTACAAAACCGTGATAGCTGTTTCTTCTTTTATCCTGTAGTTCTGAATTCTGTTGTATCGGAAAAAATGCGATGCTGTCAAAGCCTGTGTCTGAGGTGAAGGTAGACTGATCAGTATAATGATGGAACAGATTGACTATTGTGGTGTAGGGACACCCCCTGGGCACATGTATCGGTGCTTGGCTTGTAGTATAAGAATCTGCCTGTCTCTGTTTCTATCTACTGGCAATATAATAAAGCGTTTCCCCCATCTTGGCTTAGTGGAACGTAGACCGTGCCAAGGAAGTCAGCCCCGTAGGGCTGGACGCCTGGAACCCGGAAAGCAATGCGGATAGGCCCGGGAGAGTGGGAGGTAAATTGCAGCGGCGGGGCAATGTGAAGGTTGCCTAGAGTCGGGTTGAATGGAAATGGGCCCTTTTGTTCCAACTAATTGGGCCTGAACTCAAACCGCTCCGCGGTTGATACTTATAGCTCAGGGTGGGGATGCTTAATTGAATGCCCTCCCTATGCAACATTATCCAATAGCAATTGTCAATGAAACCCTCGACAGCTACACATAAGGAACTGTGAAACTCTGTAGTGACGGGACCTAACTGGTATATAGCTATAGCCCCTGGACGGGATAACAAAGACGGGGCAACAGGGCACTGTGCCAAGGCTCTTTCACTCAGTGACGATGATATTATACATCCCTCTATGTTTCCCCTTTCTGGATCGGGACACGAAAATATATACCCTTGACTAGCTGGTACTAATAGACATAAAAGGACCGCGAGGTCCTGGATCATCGACTTCCACCTTCACTATTGAACAGCATAACCCAGGTTCAACCCCCTCAACACGCCTACAAAATGAAGTTATTCTCCACGCTCTCTCTTCTTCTTCTTGCGTCAGTTGTAGCCGCAGAAGATAAGACCAATGAGACATCTCAAGCCACAAGTCAGACCCAGCCGCAGAGTAGCTCGGGAGACGGGGCTTCGAAGGGGTTGCAAAACTGCCTAATGCCAGAACTGAAGAAAGGACATGTTCTCAGGGCTACGTGCTTTGCCGATGGAAGTAAGGACTCGCTGATTCATGGCGAGTTGGACTTGAATCATTGTTTCGGTGCGAGCCTGTTGAAGGGCGAATTGTCGGCGGAGCCTAAGTACGTGTTATTTCTTGCGTCAATGATCGTACTATGCTAATGATCGATATCCAGTGGACACTTCAGCCGAAAATGCGTGAAGTGTGAGCTAGGGGGAGAAACTCGTGGTACCGGAACCCACGCTGGGGCATGGACACTGTACTGTCACTGTCTTGCCCCTAAAGCCCAAATTCGATTGGGTAAGTTTATCTTGACAGTTTCTCCCTCTACTGTTAGTAGCAATCCGTTCAGGAACTTGTTCTAATTTGTCAATAGAACCTACTGTCCAGATGAACAAACAGGGTCTTCTTGAGTGCCACGGCCATGTTGCAAAGCCAATCAGCCCATGAGTTGTTTGCCCGTCATGTGGAATACGTGCTATCATTGGGCTTTAGAGACTGCAAAGATCTTTTACTTTTTCTTTTGACTGGTGTCAATACCCTGGGCCGATAGAGCTGCGGTTACATTCTGTTGAGGGAGCATCCCATTTACTCAGTATATGCTGGGGGACTGAACCCTCCACCACAAGATGATAATAGATAGTAATAATTTCAATATGTTGTGATCTAAAATTCTATAGATTACAAATGGATATGATTGTTGAAGTAGAATGATAAACAGGAGAATGAAATACTTGTACCAGAGACTTACCCCCGATACACTGAGGAACGTAATCGGTAAACAACCTAGTTCACTACGCGTTTTCGACGCGCCTCAAATCTCCTAGATGATTTAAACATATTAGATACGGTAACTACATCAGAAACCAAACAATACTTAACAGCTAAGTGTTCTTAAAATTACTTACTACTAATATGCAGACAATATATTCTCTTGCTCTTCTCCTATTGAAGGAAACGGTTGTCTGGCTAACTTAGAATATTTTATCACTCGCAATAGCGAGGCTTCAGTAAGCAGTTCTCCCGTAGGATTACGCGGAAGTTTGGAAACCCTAACCTTTATTTAATAATTTCTGTTATCACTCCAGGCATGGTATGGAAGCTATAAAATTGAGGGGCTACTTCAAGATTTGACATCCATCGAGCCGGTGGTGCTCTTGGTTAGGGTTAGGGGTAGAGGTAGGCTCTTATAGACTATAGTTGACCCATAACGCAGACATATACACCGTATCAACCGGCTATATCATGCTAGTATATACGTATAAGTTTACAAGCCTTGTTCAGGCGCCATTTTTAGGTCTGTATTTATTCAGGAAGGAGTTTATTGAACTAGGAGGACGGCTATCGACGCCAAATAGTACAGTCTAAAGCAAGTGATTCAAGGTCCTCGTTAGAGCAGATAAGATATTATATAAGGTGGCGACTCCCTATCAGACTTTTGATCGTCCGCTCACCGTTTTTCGAAGCATTTTATCGTTCCAGATACAAGGAGACAGCAGAACAGTAGATACGCCCGCCCGAAACACAGGTAGAGATAATTAACGAGTACTAGGCGAAGGTGTTCCGACCCCTCGAAGGTTTGCAACCGTTTCCAGAATTTATGAGAATGCAGTATTGTGGTATGAAAGATATTGACCTTTGGACACTAGCCAATAATCTCATTCATAACCAAGTATCGTACCTAGGCACGTGGGTTGTTACTGTATTTTGAGGACCGATTTGAACCCCGGAATTCCAGCCACACTTCATGAACACCCTGCATTTTAATGCCCGGATTCGCATCTTTCTCTCGGATCTGTAGTCTCCAAGTTGTAAAAGGACCCAGTGGGGCTCGACTAGACTTGACTGGTTGACCACCAAGGACAAAGTCATGCTCCAACCCTCCAGCACTAAAGATTGCCTCCCAGTTTGCTTCCCTGATAGATGGGACAAGATCCACATGGTAAGCAAATTGCACCTCGGTGCTATCATGCTCAAAGTCGAAAGGGGCTCTCTCCTCATCATAAATAGTCTCATTTCCAAGATGCGTGACTTGAATCGTCAATTTTCGGTGTCCATTTTCATCGATCTTTGCAATCTCAGCACCGAAAACCCATACACGAACTTCTTGCAATCGAACATCAATGCTGTCCCCAAAGATTCCCTGGGAATTGTGGAAGTTCAAAGGAATGAAAACTGTATAGCGGCCCTCATTGTCTGGCGTCTTTAAGATCTTCAATTGCTCTTGAGTAAGTTTATAACGCAGACCTGCATCTGCACTGTTTCGCGGCCAAACAACCCGGATGTTGCCGCTGTACAAGGCAACACTATCGTCGAACATACTCTGAAGATGCATTTGATTGTTTTGTAGAGCAATATAGTTCATCAATGGACCGGGGGCGGCGAACGGAACCTCCTTTCGGAGACCCCAGAACCTGATGGCCCGACTCTCATAGTTGAGATATTTCATCACCACCAAACGCAGACTGTCTCTCATCTTCCGAAGCCAAAAGACCACCGCAGGAAGGCTTGGGTCGATCTTCAATGCGGCCTGTCCAAGATTTTCAATTTGCTCCTGGGCATACTGTCGTGATTGGAGTGCTTCTTTCAACAAAAGAACGTTGGAGTTATACTCCAAGACAGCGTTGTTTCGGGTGAGAACGGTCTTCAAGTAGTCATCCAAGTCAGCCTCTAGCTTTCTTTTCTGACTCTCCGGAATTGCATCCTTGAAGTTTTTCAATATCTTTTTAATGCCCTCGTTAGATGCAATGAGTTTCATGGCGCCGGGGTCGTCCAGTTGGATTGTTTTGTCGTTCTTATTGGTTTGTAATGCCTCTACCAAGGACTCCAGGCTGTCCCCTGCATCTCCCAATTGCTCAATGATGTATTCCTTCTTCACGTCATTTCCTTCGGCATCTTTGACCATTGTTGTGGAATTGTAAAGCTTGTATCCGAAATCTAGAAAGTCTTTGATCGCCGATCGTGATGGGTCAACAGTAATAAGCATTCCAATGCCCTCGATGATCAATTCAGGATCTAACTTCGTGCTGAGTTCAATCTGGCTGATCTTATTCTTTATCTCCTGACGCCTCTTCTTCAAAAGTGGAGTAAAGGCCACAATCTTGTAAGCTGTAGTTCTCAGCGGACCGTTAGTATCGGTTAGAAGTTGTATCTCGGAGTCGGCTGCTTGTTTGTTGGACGTCATCGCATTTCTGCTTTTCTCGATGTATCTCGTTTGTTCCTCTTCTTTCTTCACGGCTTTCTCAAAACCAGCTGTGTAATCCTCCTGCTGCTTTAGAAAGGAAAGTTGATCGTTGACAGACTCTTTGTAGTACTGGAAGGCTAGGCGAGGCGCCCAATTGGCTCTATGGCCAAACATGTCCTCCCCAACGAGCAGTCGGTTGAATCTGCTAAGGCTTTCTTCGTAAACAGAGCGTAACTGGGTCAATCCACTCAAGGTTACCGCCCAATTCGTCTCTATCGTAGTGTAGGCCTTGCCTAAACCAGATGTAGCTATTTTCTCGCCCTTGAGAGCATCCAAAAATCTCAATCGCGTTATGATGGTGTCATAGATTTTGGAAGCTCTCTTGCGATCTTTTTCCGTATTCGCAAAGAACAACTTATTGGCATTGTTGACGAGCATCTGGCATTGGTCAGGGAATGCAAAAACCTGCGATGCAACCAAGTCTTCTTCATGGCCATCTAAGCGCAAATTTCTCGGAGTAACGGTTCCTCGTTGCTTGCTGTCTTCACCCTTGCTACCAGGCTTTGATCCTGCAGTGCCGCTAGAACCACCTCGGCCTCCCACGCCTATATGTGCATATCCTTAGTAAAGTGATTGCGCGTTGGTTTTATAACGTTTGAGACACATACCATTGCCAGTTTTGCATATCTCGCGGACCTTTGTTTCGATCCCGGTAAGATCTCTTTTGATATCACCCAGTACCGTTACCATCACATCGATCAACTTTGAGTCGTCTTCCGGAGTCAAGCCGTGCATTGTTGTCTCAAGGTCCTTCCAAAAACTGTCTATATTCGACTGTTGGATCCGAACAGACTGCCTGATTTGATCTTTGGCTCTCTGAATCTTCCGGATGATCTGTGAATCGGGGGTTTTCAAAGGTGCTGGCTTAGAACTCAAGTTGCTGTGGATCATCTGCTGGATGGAATGAGCGATCGAGCTCTGACCATGTACATTATCCAACACACGATCTAAAGCAAGAAGTGCATTCGCGAGGTCAACGTAATTAGCAACGATTGCCTTATCCTCTGCCGACACATAGGAGGGAAGTTCGCGACATGAGCTCCCTTGGAGCAAATTCCGTGCTTTCTCCGGCCATGGCTGAGAATATAGCTCTCGAAAGGCTAGATAGGCTGCCTGGTATTTGCTGCCATAAAGAAATTCGATATTCCCTGGTCGCATTAATCAGTCTATGTAGCTTGCATAGTACCATAATGGAATGTATTGGGCGAATCATACCTGCGTCCCCTCCTTTTCCTCCATTCCCACCGATCTTGCCTGAAGCACTAGTATCACCTCCCATACCACCTGTTCCGCCATAGGACTCAATCTTCAATTCTTGAAGTTGCGATACAGTCAAGTCTTGAACAAAGACCCAAACATTTCCAGCATTTTGGCCATCACCGCCCTCCCCACCTTCCTCATTGATGGAGGTGTCCCCAGCCCTTCCGTCATCTCCAGAAACATTGATCGTGGCAGGTCCGTCAACCGTCAATTTAGAACAAAATATTCCTACGTTTTTTCCTGGGAGATTGATCTGCCCAGATATCTTGATCTTTTCTGCGTAAATCAGCAGACTCTCGGTCTTGAAGGCGAGACTACTATCAAACAGGAACGCCTCGTCATTCGTATCCAAAATGACAGTGACAGTCTTCTTTTCCACAACAGCATGTGCATCTGTCGCAAGATCCACGGAGTCAGACATCCTGTGATGAATAAAGGGGTCTTCAATAGAAAGATTTTGTCTGCAAGTGAGTGGCTTAGCTTTATATATTCCACACCTATAAACCCCCAGCTTGAGAGAGGCATCATAAAGTAAGAATGCGTTGCGCCCAGGCTTTCTTCAGACCCCGCCATAGAATTGCCCTCGGACCTTTGAGTATGGAGAATACAATCGAATTTCAGCTCGTGCCAGCGGGTGTGATGAAAAGCTGAGAGGTGCAGTAGTTCTGTACACTATGACGTTCCATATCGGCTGTAGGACCAGTAATCCTCCAGGCTCTGACCTGCAACCACTATACGGTTCTGCCCATCTGTACGTGGGCATAAGTCCCTTGACCGATCACCGACTTCAACAACACGATTGGGTCCTAAGTGCTTTGTGCCCAAACTGGGTATTCAGCTCTGCAGAATCCTTCGTATGTCGTACGTAACAATTCACCACTCGCCGTAGACCCCTCAGATAACATATCACATTACTCGTTGCCTTCTTTCTTCTTTTGCATTCGGCTTTTGTTAACAAATTCGAATTTTCGCCTCACTTTCTGTACTTGGTTACTTGCGTTTGAGCTGAAAGCGCACCTGAGCCCTTGCTCCCTTTTCCCCCCCTTTCTTCTTCTTTTTTTTTTTTTTTCAGAGTGAATTGAGTCGGTGTGGGCTCAAGTCACCGATGTCCCTTGGGCGAGCCCTTTTATCCAATTTTCAAAATGGATGGATCCTAGTATATATATAGAGGGAAGAGCCAACCTCACTTCGAACCAACACTTTCTCGCAACTTGTTTACAATTTTGAATCCTTTCATAACTCTCTTTATCGGGCTCCGCGGATAAATCAATTTCATCATGGAGAAAATCGCATTGGCCACGCTCGTGGAGGAGATGAAGGGAAAGGATACCACCAACGGTTGGGACGTAGTTGTATCTTACGATGAAAATTAAATTAACAAGCTCCTCCAAGAAGCCCACAAACAAAACCCTCTTACCCTCCCAAAAATGACATACCAAGGAGAGAATATCAACACCGGCGAGCCAGAAAATATTGATTTTACATTTACCATTTCCAATCCCACTTTGAAATTTGTTGGCACAAGAGGTCAGGTCGAGTTGGTCTATGATTTGGGTGGCAAATATGGCACAAAGGATCGAGATATCCCCAAAGACACGAAGATGGAGCTCACTGTCGACATCACCAACCTGAAGGGGACTGTGGAAGAGCATGGCGGTAGTACGGGCTTCAAAGTACATGGGGGGCAGCTCAAGCCTGACGAGAAGACCAAGGAAACTCAAAAGCCCAACTACATTGTTCAATTCGATAATGCAAGCGCCGACGCTGCTCAAGGCATCTGTCTGGTCTTCAGAGACGCGAAGTTACACATCACCAATAAATCGACCGATAATGCAGTTAAGAGAACGGTTGCAATGATGGAGACCACTATTCGACAGACGGCTGAGGACGAGACCAAAAAGCTCGACTTTCAATATTTCCTCGCCGGAGTGACCAACCAAGTGGAAGCTCTATCGGGACCACAAGGCACCGTTACAACCCTAAAGCCCAAGTCATTCTGTTTCACGCTGATCCCAAGTGGCGAAAGCACCGGTGCCTTGATCATCTGGATTGGTGTTGAAGGAGGGCATGGTAATGGAAGTCAGCAATCCGGCAAGACTTCTCTGACCTTCCATCCTAGCGATTTTGACCGATGTCCAATTCCGAGTGATAGCACGGCGAGTATCATCTTCCAGCATGATTTGATTGCCAATCAGTTCTTCAAGGTAGGGATTCCAGTACAAAGAATCACGAGATACGATTCTAACGCTTCCACAGCCAACACTGGAGCAAAGCTTCACCGACGTGAAAGTAACGTCGACGAAAAGCACTGGTAAGCAAACCAATGAATTTCAAAGTACTCTTCTAATCAAATCTTACATATAGATGGCATAAAGTTGACCGGAAAGCTGAAGGATATACATATCAAGATAAATGGGTATAAAGAAAGCTATTGGGAAGGCATTCGGCTCTTTCATAAAAAGCTATCTGGGGTAGACTTCTGGGCTTCCGACACAGATTCAGATATCACCGTTGACCCATCCAATGCCGTCAAGGTCTCTTACACCAGTCTTCCCCAGAAGAACCTGGAATGGGTGGAAGGCACTTCAACAGACTCGGGAATACCTCACGGAATGTTCGACCTGACCTTTAGGCTCAACATTAGCGGGTCATGGACGAAAGGAAGTGACCCGAAGCAACCTAATATTCTGGAGGTTGAGTTTACTAAGAATAACACATTCGATGTCGAGGCCAAAGGGAAAAAACCGGGGTTTTTTGATTGGATGGGATTTCAACAAGTGCCCGATTTCTACAGCAAGTTAAAGGTTAATGTGAATAAGGACCTGCAAATGGGGAGGCTTGATTATTTCCTCACAACTAATCTTCTGTTCCCTGGCAAGCACGTTTTTATTGCTGATTCTCCTCTAGTTGATGCTACTAAAAACCATGGTTTGATGGTGCCTCGCGATGTTATATTAACTGGAAAGGTAGCAGAGAGTTTGACTTAGATTATCTATCGCTCATCAATATGTTAGATATTTGTTTGGGACGTTTGAGTCAGATCTTCTAGTGATATTAAATAAATCTCATGCGATACGCTCAACATATAGTCTCACGAAAGAGGAATTTTTGACGCCCCTTGCTTCAACCGTTGCGTTATCAAGTTCGTTCTTCTCATCGTGTTTCTCCTCTGCCCTGGAAACCATTTTTCGAATTATCCTTCCTTCTCTATCTTATCGTTTTGAAACTATTGCTCTAGGTTTTCTTTCTACTCACGTCCCTGATCGCTAGCAGTACTGCAGTTATACTTACAAAGCACCCGATTGAAGAATTCATCGAATCCTTATCTCAGCAGGGGTGGAAGCCGATGCGACTGTGGACATCTTAGCCCCTGATAACCACGAAGAACTGTTTCGAAATGATGGACCTTTTTCCGACATACAACAAGAAAAGAGCGATCAGATAGCGAAACTAGGCAAGCTAGTCTTCGGAGAATTTACCACCGAAAAGGAAGGTTTTAGCGCCCAAGAAGACAAGCTGCAACAGTGGGAACAAGAAATGTAATATGGAAACATACGGGTATAACGACCTGAATAAAGCCCTGAGACTCCAGATTGTGGATATCGAAAGCTTCATACCATTGCTTGAAACTTCCAGGAGAGGAAAGAAAAGCTTGAGGAGGGAAATCATAAACTAAAAAAGGATTAAAGATCCTAATTCCTAAGCTGGGACTAATATAAGTATATACAAAAGAACGTATGGGGCGCGTGCAATCCAGACGAACACGCTTCATTCAGAACACCCTGGATCGCATCTATATAGTATACCGCCGTTACACTGCCCAAATCAATACAACGACTACTTATCTTTACATAGAAGTCTGAATCTATGGCTTTGTAATTATTTTGATTGTTCATAACTAGTAGTTAACTTTTGCAAGTACTGCGCGGTTTAGTCAGCAACACGAAAGGTCCTTGTTCAGGCCATCACTGGAACTCTGTTGTTTCACCTCCTACATGGTTCCAGCAGTCATTCAGCATGGGGAGGCCGTCGACAGCATTCACGAGAATCAGCATGGCGATGGCACTGCCACCTCCCATCAGTTAATGCAGCTTTCTAGCGACTATCTTCAGGTGCACGTGGTGGTAGAGCACCCACCGGCCAAACGGCTGCCCCTCCGATTTGAACCCTAATCTTATCAATCAGCCCCGCCTTAGTCAGCGCCGCATTCGTCACAAAATCTCGCGATCGGCACGCAAGGTGCAGGATTCCTTCTACAGTCCAGCGCATTACCATCGACCCCCCAATTCAACACGGGAATCCTCGATTCAACATCAGAATGACTGACTTTATCCTCACCCTCTCCTGCCCCGATCGCCCGGGTATCGTGCACGCCGTGACCGCGTTCCTGGTCCAGCACAACCTGAACATCATTGACTCATCGCAATTCGGCGATCCGACATCGCACCGATTCTTCATGCGCACGCATTTCTCCGCCGACGAGAATGCCACCGAGAAGAGTATCGACGAGCTGCGCGAGGCCTTCGAGCCCACGGCCAAGTCCCTCTCCATGGACTTCCAGCTCGTCCCCGCCACCCAGAAGCCCCGCGTCCTGATCATGGTCTCCAAGATTGGCCACTGCCTCAACGACCTCCTCTTCCGTAACTCGACCGGCCAGCTCGCCATCGATATCCCCCTGATCGTCTCGAACCACCCGGACTTTTCCACCCTCGCGGCCACCTACAACATCCCCTTCGTCCACCTGCCCGTCAACAAGGATACCAAGCCGCAGCAGGAGGCCCGCATCCTGGAGCTCATCAAGGAGCACAACATCGATCTGGTTGTCTTGGCCCGCTACATGCAGGTCCTCTCCCCCACCCTGTGCGAGGCTATGTCCGGCCGCATCATCAACATCCACCACAGCTTCTTGCCTTCGTTCAAGGGCGCCAAGCCGTACCACCAGGCCTACGACCGCGGTGTCAAGATTATCGGTGCCACCGCGCACTTCGTCACCAGCGATCTTGACGAGGGCCCGATCATCGAGCAGAACGTCGTCCGTGTCAACCACGGCATGAGCCCCAAGGAGCTGACCCACGCTGGAAGCAACGTGGAGAGCAACGTGCTGGCCTCCGCCGTGAAGTACTTCTCTGAGCGGAGGGTGTTGCTCAATGGACACAAGACTGTGGTGTTCAACTAGGGCGATTCATGGATATATGCGCATATATACATAAAAAGGCTAGGATAGACAAAAACACGGATAAATAAATAAAAAAAAAACACCCTTTTACAGTAAGGCCATATCCACTGCTAAACCCGAATCCCCTCAAAAGGATGATAGTCCTCCTCTCCCTCCCACTGCGCATCATGTAACGACTCCCCCATCTGCGACGCATCCATTCCCGCAATGACGTCCCTATGAACCCATTAGCACACCCCCCACACAGCAGCCCCAAGCGAAACAAGAGAGAACGTACTCATCCGTCCCCAACACCTCAAACCCAGGAACACAATCCACCAGAGCATACAGCGTATAACTCCACCCAAAGCTCCACACAAACCCTATAACCGCCTCTACAATCTGGATCCAGAGCTGTCCCCAATGCCCGTCAAACACCACACCTCCTTTAATAACCGTCGACCCGTCATAGGCCGCAACCTCCCGTCTGGCAAATAGCCCCGTCACAATGGTTCCCAGAAACCCGCCGAGACAATGCGTCGCAAATGTATCCCCGTTATCGACCCACCGCCATCGGGCAGCCCGCTTCGTGAACTTGAGGCGCAGTGCCTGCCGGCCGAGACAGGCGCCGAGAACCCCGAACCCGAAGGCTGTGGTCAGGTCGATGAATCCGGCGCTGGGTGTGATGAGGACAAGCCCCGCGATCGCGCCGAGGAAGGTGCTGTCTAGGCTCCATTTCCCGGTTTCGTAGTAGGTGAGGCTAGCCCAGGTGAGGGCGCCCGAGGCGGCGCAGAGGTTGGTCACGCAGGCGGCCATGACCGATTTGAAGTTGAGGGCCAGGGTGGTGCCGGCATCGAAGGCGAGCCAGGCATTCCAGATGATGATGAGGGCGACCAGCTGGCAGAGCGTGTTGTGGGGTTTGTGGAGGACGAGGTGCTGGGGTGTACGGATCGGGGATCGTTTGGAGCGGAAGAGAGGGTAGGAGAGATATAAGCTCATGGCTGTTGCTGTTGCACCGCTGCAAATGTGGACGGGCGTGCCGCCGGCGAAGTCCAGGGCGCCGAGATTTGCCAGGAAGCCGTTCTCTGCCCAGACCATGTGGGCTAACGGCGTATAGACGAAGGTGCACCAGAGCTAGAGTCGAGTTAGTTGTTCTGGGTGGGTTCGGTTTTGGTAGCAGAGGTACGTACGAAGATGAAGGGAATTAGTGGAAGAAGCCTTCCGCGCTCGCAGGCTCCGCCGATGGCAATTGCGCAGACAGTCGCACAGAAGATCAGTTGGAATTCAGAGAATAGGATCTCTGGGATCGATCCGACCGGGTCAGCGAGGACGCCGATATGGAAGATTTTACTGAAGCCGCCGAATACACTGTTGCCCTCGCCGTAGGCCAGTGAGTATCCGAGCATCCACCATTGGATAGAACAGACAGCTACTGCTAGGAGGCCTGGGTAGAAGGAAGCCAGGCTATTGAACCGTGTCGAATAGCCTGAGTATGCGAGGCCCACTGCCGGGATAATCAGCCAACAGAAAACACTACATACTAAAATGAAGAGAGTGTCTGTTTTCGAACAGGCCTCCCAGCCAGCTTGAACAGACATTTTGTCGCGCTCGATGAACGTCGCTAGGCTGCGACAGGAGCGCAGAAGTCGACGGAGGAGCTTGAAAGATTCATATAATCTCCCATAGATACTTAACGTATTGATAAGAATCTTCATGATGACACATTGGATTGAGTTTTCTTATCATATCGAACAGATCATCGGATGCGACATCGAGCTGCATGTGGACCAATCCTAAGCTGAGCGCGCTATCAGTGCAGCTTTGCTGCATAACCGAGGTAAGGGAGGTATGCACGGCTCCGTTGGCATGCAGAAACAGTATACTGTATTGGCCTGGACAAGGGTTACATTGCATTAGCAACCTGCAAGAAATACAAGGGGCATCCCCGTCGTCTTCAGCCGCACTCTTGCATCGCGTTCCTTAATGAGCCCACTGCCCCTGCTAGGGTTAAAGAAGTTAGTACTCAGCGAGCTGAGGGGCTATCTTAAGCATTGTTGAACAATTTAATTATGTAGAATCTAGTTAGTCATTATATGACATAACGGAAGCTTTCAATTTCAAGGTCCGTCTTGTTTGATAGCCCTTGCATCCGCTCCTCTTCCTCCGTTAACTGGGTTGGAGGACCATACGCCGAGTCGCGACGTTTATTCTCCACGATATAGTAAACGAACAGGCAGACCAGGAAAAAGGCCCCCAGTGCGAGACCAGAAATAGCACCCTTCATACCGGTCTAGGAACTAGTTAGCATTTGTTCACGTGTTCTTTTGAGATACAAAACTCACAGGATAATGAGGCTCCTCAGAAGCAAGGAAGAACTGAGGCCCAACAATGTTTCCTACACAGTAGGCTACAAACATCAAGGCACTCGTCGTGCTTCGCTTAGTGAACCCAGCCACGTTGGAACTGATGATGCTAAGCGCCAGGGGAATGTTAACCGCAAAGACGGCCCCCAGGGCCAACCCAGTCAATCGACCTTTTTGGTTATCCTCATTCAACTTCCAGACGAGGACCATGCCGACCAAAGACACAGTTGTATTGAAGATCATCATGAGAATTCGAGTATTAGGAATGACGGTGGCGACGCCAGCAGTGATGACCAAGAAGACGATTTGGGCGGCACCAAGAGGCATCTGCATCAGAAGAGACTTGATCTGTGAGAAGCCGAAGCCGCTGATAATGATTGAAGAGAACTGTTTCGTCAGTGAGGACTCGGAGAATCTCAAAAGCTTGAGCGACATACACTAGTGACACCTCCGTTGCACAGATTGACGGAGAATGTGTACAAGACAAGAAACCATGTTTGTGGATCACGAATGGCAAGCCAAGCCTGGTTCCATTTGAACTCTCCACCATCCATTACACCAGTCTTGTTCTTGAGAGTCCGCTGCACAGCGATCGTACGCTCGGTTTTGGTTAAGAATATCGCTTTCTGGGGGGAATCGGGTAGGAGGATAACGAGGAAGACCGATATGGCGGCAGTGATGGCACCTAAGAAGAGGAAGAGAAGCTGCCAACTCGAAATGGCATTAACCTTGATCGTGCCAATTCCATAAGCAACGACACCGCCGATGACGGTCGAAACACAGTTGCCGAAAAACCATGCAGCTTGTCTATATGAGAGTTAGATGGACAACACCAAATACTGAAGCCCAATGTGCTTACCGTGCAGGCTGTTCCTCTCGCTTATAGTACATTCCAGTAATTAAAGCAAACCCAGGGGCGATAGCAGCTTCTCCGACGCCCAAAAAAAAGCGCGCCGCCATTAAACCGCCAAAGCTTTTGGCCGCGGCGTGGCACATAAGAACTCCTCCCCAGACCAACCTGTGAGCTATTAGCAGGGGACGGTTGTGAATGTAGATGGAGAGACGAACACTGAGGCACTGAGATATTTGGCTATGGGAAGTCGGACAATAAGGTAGGAGCTGGGCCTAATCGCTAGTCAGTGATCTGTGTGGGCGCGTTGGCGTGGCGAACATCATACCAACTCCACGCGAAATATCCGAAATAGAAGACCGCGGAGGACCAAGAGTACTGTGTTCCTTGTAGATTCTGCCAATGTTAGCACCATGATTTAGACATGATGACCGATGGCTCATACTAAGTCTTCTCTTAAGTTGAACATAGTTGCTTGACTCAAAGCCAATTTGTCCATATACTGCATCATATAGCAAATACCCATTAAGGGGATCAATCTAATTGTATAAGTTTTCAAATTTGTATAATCAAACACTGATATACTTACATCAAGTCTAGCTTGAGCAGCACTTTTCTCTCCTGTTGCGGGGTGATATCCATCCCCAGCATCTGTCCTAGGTCGACATCTTTGGCAACTGACGTCTCAGGCCCAAGCTTCAGGTCATCTATCTCAGGTGCTGTCCCGGGGGGGACCTCCTGTTGCTTTTCCATGGTATCTGGCTCTTCAAGTTCTTGAGGTTAGTGGAACGAAAAGAAATATCCTCTCGAGCCAGGAGTCCTTTTATGACAGATATGCAGGGCATCGGGATCAATTTTCGGGAATTGATACAGCGGAAGATCGCACACTAATTCCGCACCTAGACCATGCTAATCAGACTTAAAACATCCAAGCATTTGGTACATTCACCGGATAGACAGGTATTCATTGAGTCAGCTCTTCAAGATAGTGAACTAGAGAGATAGGATACACTGCGGAAATGACGCCCTGGTTAGCGTGGCACCCAATACCGTGGGTCCATATGAAATCCTGGAGGTTTAAATCCACCGCGAACCCACTTAATGGCCGGTAAAAGTGTAACGATTCGCCCCATGGAACAGCCGCGCCACTGGATAAATATGAAAGTAGGGCTTCGTCGGCAAATCCACCAATGTCCGCCCCGAGCTCGGCAAATGTCCAACCTAAACCTGCAAAGGTTATCAACGCGTTTCCTTATCGTGTGGATCTTGACTACTTCAATTGGCATCTCACAGGCCTTCCTACAGCTACCCCGCAAATTCGATCGTGCGGAGAGCATGCAATCTGGAAACCTGAGGTGGCTCACACGAGGACTGGGGCTGTTTGATATCCACATCTCCACTCTTGGCTTCGGCAAATTGGAGCAGGGACTGGCTGTAATCTGCCGAGGGGCCAGTGATAACGAAGATAATAGTCACTTGTGTTTGACAGATACTGTAGTATCATGCATCATACCGTTAGTCATCCTGTCTTCCCTGCTGATAGCCTGCCTATTCTTACCAGATAAAGATAATGATAGCATGCCCAACATGTGGGGTGCAGCCGACGTGCAGCATGATAGGCAATCACCTCGGCGGTTTATCCTATCAAAGGGTCTCCTGAGGCGACAACCCGACTCATTCTTTTCTTGAATGCAACTGGAACCATAGCCCATACTACCGAGGGTGTTGTAGACGAGCCTATTTATAATGACCTTCGCTAACTAGCGTTGAGCAACTGACAGCTACCCAGACATCACAAACTACCATCATGACAATCTTGCAGACTAAGCCTACTATTGCGGATATTAAGGCATCCGTTGATGCGGCGTTAGAGTCGTTACAGACAACCTTGAGAGAATTAAACCGAGAGGTATATTGTTTGGTCCCGGCGCCATTTATTCACAATCGCTGATGGCGTAGATCTGGTCCAATCCGGAAACGGCATACCAGGAATTCAAAGCTCACGACGCGATTTGCAACTTCCTTGAAGCACAGGGCTTTACTGTGACTCGCCACGCATATGGACTAGACACATCGTTTGAAGCCCTCAGTGGGTCTGGCGGACGGTTGATCAATTTCAACGCTGAATATGACGCACTGCCCGGCATAGGCCATGCCTGTGGCCATAACCTTATCACAACTAGTAGTGTCGCTGCTTTCTTGGCACTATCTGCTCTTCTGAAGCAGTATGGGATCCCTGGTCGTACTCAGCTATTGGGCACACCGGCCGAGGAGAATGGCGGTGGGAAGGCTAAATTGATCGATGCCGGGGCTTACAAGGGTGTTGACATCTCCTTGATGGCGTATGCACTCTGAATCTCGACGAATATAGCATACTGACTCCATGTAGGCATGCCGGTCCCGAGAAGCTCTTTCCCGGTGTTGAAGCCACTGGCGTGGGTGGCGTCTTGATGAATGCCCGCAAACAGATTCACTGTGAATTTACTGGAAAGAGTGCTCACGCGGGAGGCAATCCATGGGAAGGCGTCAATGCGCTTGATGCTCTGGTAACCTCTTACAATAATGTTGCTGTCCTACGGCAACAGCTTCAACCAGAGGAACGTGTCCATTGTGCGTTCTTAGATACCCCTAAGGTAGCCAACGTTATCCCATCGTATACGAAGGCATATTGGCAGGTTCGCAGCCCGACACTGAAAGGCTTGAATCGGTTGATGATCAAGGTGCGCAACTGTATTGAGGCAGGTGCATTGGCGACGGGATGTGAAGTTATAATCTTAGAGTACGTACGCCATGTCCCAAGTATTTCTCCAGATCTGAGCTGACATATGCAATAGAGATGAGCTGTACACTGACATTAAGATAAACGACACCCTGTGCGAACGTTACCAGGCCCACATGGGGAGCTACGATCGAAATGTCCTGAAGAGTCATGACAAAGTCTTAACTGGGTCCTCCGATATTGGTATTCTACATTTCACCCTTTCTCGGTTATGTCCATCACTAACCACCACGACAGGCAATGTCAGTTATATTATGCCCACCCTCCATACCATGTTCGGTATACCAGGACCGGACGGATCATTCCCTCACCATCCGTCGTTTGAAGCAGCGGCTGGCACTGATGAAGCTCATGTTGAGGCAGTGGTTGTGGGAAAATCGTTGGCCATGATTGGATGGGAAATGGTCACGGACGAAGCTCTATTCGAGCAGGCCAAGGCACAATGGCAGAAGTGTATCCAGGAATAAAATGGGCGGATGCTTTTAGTAGACGAGTATCACTTGTGCTGGGGGAATTTAGGTGACATGAGTGAGGGGAGCATCATGATTTACGGCTGCATGTAATTGTCTAGGTAGGATTGGCATAAATAATCGTTTTATTTCAAACAAGATTATTCTCAACTGCGTGTTCTCCATCTCAACTACCGTTATAGAACTTGACAGAATTAGGGTAGGGTTTTTATAGAATGAGCTGCTTTAGAAGGGCAAGTTCAGCAGACCGGCTCACATCCATTTCATATTCTCCTAAAATACTTATTACTATCCAATAATGTCAAGAAACATGGGGCAGGAAATTTGTCTACTGAACAGTTCGATATGCTGTTGATACGGTGCGAAACATCACTGGCAGGGGGCATAGTAGAATGTAGGGCTCACGCCGAGAATAGGACGAGTGTACCACGCTGTCCATACACACGCACAAGCGCCAAACACAGACAAAGGCGTTTCCTACGGAAGTAAATAGAGATCTCAGAGAAGAGCTCGACATAGTTTGGTCTCTCTATGGGACCGAAGAGTCGCTGACTAAGCAATATCAGATCTCCTCCATTTTCCGGCATCGCTTTTCCTTCTCTATCGTCACTTTTCCCGACAACCTTCAGATGGTTTCCCGGCTGCCCTGCTCCTTGGCATCCATTCGTTGCTAATGCCTCCCGGCTGATTGCTTCTTTTTGTAGCGTGGGCTCTTCAATCCATGTCGGGTCGGAACGCCCCTCGCTCAAAGAAAGGTACTTAATACCTACGTGCATATGTACCCATTCCCGGAGCCTGCTATGGAATGCTCGGCTTCCCGGTTCAACACGCAAACTAACCGCGACTTCACCCAGGCTGCAGTACCTGCCGCCGTCGAAAAGTGAAATGCGGCGAAGAGCGCCCTGTCTGTAAACGTTGCTCCAACTTACGACTCAGCTGTGAGTGGGGAGTGCCAGTGAAACGAGGCAAGTCCGTCACTCCGGCGCGACATCTTCAGCCTCGATGGCCGAGTCGTGATGTCGCTGCCGCCGCTGCATTCGCCACTTCAACGATCGAAATCCCTCAACCATCCTCCGTGACTTCTCCTGCCACGTTATGGTACCCCATAGACACTATCCCCGACCTCCCGGGGATCCCCATCGGATCGATTTCATCTCCAGGCTGGCTCGGTGTGCCGCCTTTCCCCCCCGCCCCGCCGCTTTATCCACCGCTATCTGGAACCGATTTCGCGTGTGCCAACTCGTTGGTGCTTTCCGAACATGATCACAAATACTTCCAATATTTCCCGTCGTCATCACTTGTCTTCTATTACATGAAGTCGTGGCAATGGAGCAGTTTCTGTTATCTGTACCAAGGGCCGGCAGCCACAAACAAGATAATCATGCGGATGATTCTCGCCTTATCAGCGAGTGACATGCACCGCAACGGCCTGATGGTGCGCACGCCTGGCCGGCCCACGGCAGAGGACCACGGTCGTTACCACTACGGGTTGGCCGTCAAGGAATTCCGCCAGACTTTGGTGTCCCCGCGACAGGTCTCGCCCGCCGAGCTGGAGGCGACTTTTGCGACCATGTTTCTGATGGTGACGTACGAATGGCAGTATGGCCATTGCGCAAGACATCTGCAACTACATTTACAAGGGGTGAAGTCGTTACTGGAATCCCACCCAGAGTTGTTTCAGATCAAGGATGTGAATAATGTGCTGCTGTCGATGGAATCCGAGGACTCGAACGAGTCGGAATCTCGGGTGTCATTTATTCCCGAGCAACTCTTATTATGGATTCTGTAGGTCCCATGGCCTTGCTTTGAAGCCGGTCTAATGTTTGCCACAGGTATATCGACGCGAGCTGTCAGCCCATGGGGTTGACCGAATCACTCTACGACTACGTCCTTCAGTCCGGAAACCCAGCTTTACATCCGGACCGACTATATCGCTGCGCCCGCGTGTGGGGTCGATGCTTTTGGGGAAAGCAATACCCAGACCAGGAAGTATCGGATGACATGGAGAATTACCGGGCTTTGGAGCTATTACATGCGGGCATGGCACTACGGAATCGAACCTGGCAATTGCTATTCGACAACGTTCCTGATTCTGGCTACCAGGTAGAGTCGTTCTTTAACGAAATAATGACCGCCAGAGATGTATGTCCCATCCCTGTCCGAACGAAACCAATCCTAACAGTTGCAGAAATTCTCCGATCTGTTCATCACAGCCAAATTCGCAGGCCCGGCCTCCATGCGACGCACTTTAAACACAATCAATATGGCTGTTAGCACTTTTTACGCGCAGATTCTTTTCCATCGGCGCTTACTCTGCCCGTCTCAGCCTCCGCGGACACTTCACCGGCACGCATTGAGCAACATCCTCGAGATTGTGCACAAACAATACGCGTCTGAGCCACGACTCTTACGTCGCCTGCACTGGCCAATCATGATAGCAGCGCTCGAAACAGACGATCCGGCGCAGCTTGAATGGCTCCGCCAGCGACTAGCCGAGTTGCGTCCGTGTCATACCGAGATTCGGTGGGCCAACGAGATTGTAGATGAAGTGCTCGCGCAACAGAATGCGAGCAAAGGGGAGTACGTAAACCTGGCCGAATTTCTGCGCAATCGCGCGGCACAGTAATAATAAATTCTATCTGACGGACGCATTGTATAATGTCTGCTGTCATCCGAGTATGCACTAGAACACTTAATAGATTTTTGAATAGAACCAGTACATCAAACAATATTCTCCAAGAAATACGCATCATATGCAACCTCGCCTTTGGCTCTGGTCGCCCGTCCCACAATCACCCGGTTGTTCATCCATCTGTATTTTTCATGGCCGGTTTCAAGCTTGATATGCAAATGAAACCAGTACTGGTTGGGATCCACTCCGTCTCCTTCCATCAAGGCTTTCAGGACCTCGGGAGGTCCGGAGCGAGTTCCTTCCGTCCTATATAAGATCAGTCACCAAAGATTAGTATGGGTCATGCAAAGGTGCGGAATGAGAACTAACCGGATGTAAATATAAGCCCCATCATCACTTTTCAGGACATAATTCGTGTTCACATGTGTTGTTTGATCCGCCTCGACCAACCTACATGTCATCTATCAGTATCCCATGCTCAGATGAAAGAAATGCAATGCTGCTCCGTACATGAAGTCCGCTCCACCAGGAACCACTTCCCCGTTCAGGTACTTCCCTCGCACGGTACCGGATTTAATGGGTACGCAGCGACGTCGACCGTAGGGTCCATTGCCGATCTCGATTGGAGGGTCCACGGCACACTGGAGAGTGAACAGATGTGTTAGGGCTGGGGGCGGCGAGAGGGGTTCCATTTTGTCTTTCGTACTTCTTCCTTCGTGTGAAAAGAAAAACAATTATATGGCGAAGAATGGAGGGTAAATGAGAGGGGCCTGGGGAAATGAGGAGAGGGTGGGTCGTATATCATTTAGTTTCTCCCCGATGTTCGGCGTTGTTGCAATAGAATTGCCTAATTCTACCTCTTCAGCAGGTTGTTTTCCTCCAATTTCGAATCTCGAGCAACTTTTTGTCTTCCGCAAGACTGCTTGCTCTCTTTACTGGGTTATTGTCATGTCTCTCATGAAGTTGGCAAGTATTCGATAGTCCTTGGAATAAGTGGAGTCACGAATAAACGCCATGGAATTGCACAAAGCTTATCGCCAACTACATTTTCTGGGTATAAGCTCGATCTACTTTCATATATAGCTTTTGGCCATCGTGTTACAACAAATATAATTTGCAAATGTTTTTACTATTGTGAATAAGAAGAGAAGAAGAAGAAAGCATAACAGTAGGCTACTCCTGTCCTTCTGTCAAGGAAATACAAGGACGTTGTCAGGTCGGGCCTTACAACTCAGAAACAGAGAACTGTAATAAGAATAAACTACTTATATGATATATCTAAATTACACAAGAGATAGTTATATTGTTGCAGTGTGACCTTTGGCAAAATTCCAAATATAAAGAATTCTTGCGCCCATGGCTAGCTTGTGTACAGACAGGGAATTTCACTCTATTTCGTTTGCCTGCAAAAACTCCAGCAGTTTCTGTGCAACAGCAGACGGTTGCTCTTCGGGGAGAAAGTGCCCACAATCATCAATAGCGCCCCCAGAAACATTGCTCGCGAAGTTTTGGACCAAGTGAATCATACCTGAACCAACGGAGCTGGCGCCACCCAAAGCTAAGACAGGGATATCGAGTGGTGTCTTTGCATATTCAAGATTCTGCTTTGCACTTGTTTCAAATGCTCGATAATACTCGAACCCCCGACTCATCGCTCCTGCTCTCGAATAGGCTTGGATGTAGCGTTCAAATTGGTCTTTTGGTAAACCATCAGCATTCGCCGTCTTCAGATTGAAGAACCAGGTCAGTAGCTCCCGTTCACGACCACGAGTAAGAATTTCAGGTAATTCAGGAAGGGCATTGAATGAGAATTGCCAAAGACGCATGTTGGTCTGGCGAGACAACGGAAACTGAAGCTGGGGCATGAAGCCCGGCACTGACGCGTCCAATATACTGAGCGATTTGATTCTCGATTGAAATTGAGCCGCCCAAGGATAAGCAATCCATCCACCTACATCGTGGCCAACTAGATGGTACTGTTTTTCGTTCAAGGTATGGTGAACAGCCTCGGCCATGGTTTTGCTCACGTTGGAAGTATCATAGCCATTGAGGGGAGGAAGCGATTCACCCAAGCCCGGGGGGTCGAGAGCGAAAAACTGATAGTGTTTTGAAAGAGGCTCGAAGATATCGCTAAACGCCTCTGCTGTTTGTGGCCAGCCTGGAACGAGAATCACAGGGGGACCTTGACCGCCAACTATGGCTCGGATTCCGTGGAGGAGACGTATGGTTTGCCATTTGGGTGTCATGGTGTTGCCGTCCGCAGGGTCAGGTGTGTGGATGAAGACTTCGAAGCGTGGGCAATTGTAGACACAGCAGTGTTAGGGTATTTCAGCGGATTCATATCATTTTGTAATGAGTCATAGAATAAGTGACAAATCACGGCACGGGGTTGTTTCAGGCCATGCATAGACGTACATGAATCCCCTAAATCGGGTAGGCCTCTGGGAAGAAAAGACGAAGATAAGTAAGATTTTGAATACTACGGTTTTGCTATAACGAGCGTGATCGGCTGGAAATCTAAGGAAAGCTTGTGCAAGACTGTAACTATTGAATTGACTAGTTAATCAGCTAATGTAATATATTATGACTCAACGTAAATAAGTCCTTGACCCACAAAATAGCCCCAAGGGCCGGGTTAGTACGCATCCAGTTGGTAGTCTCGTTTATCATTTTTACTAGTGGACACGATATATGGTTACTGTAGAATAAATTATAAGAGACACCACTGAAATCTGGGAGGCGGACTCAAAAGACCCAACTTTCGTAAACATCCAAGAACACTCTTTAAATAGCTTTCCCTAGATAGCTATTCACAAGATCATGTCATTCCCGGCACCGGAAGTGTTGACATACAGAATATTGGTAACAGATCATTGATCCTGTCACTGTTGAAGCACTGAAGTGGAGAATCAACTATAAACTAATCAGAGTTAAACAAGAGATAGCCCTGAAATCTCACAGAGCTGGCCCAAAGGCACTAGTAACTCAAGAAGTGATTATCTTGAGACAGGAAGCGTGTCAACCGGCAATTTAGGCAAGTAGGGAAAAGAAAGTTGCACAATGCCGATCTTGATGGTGGCCTTGAGGCTATATAAAGAATCTCCCAAAAAGTTATAGGTTGACAAATTCCTGACGGTGAGTATTGTTGGAGTCAAGAAGTTGTCTTTAGTAGGGATGATCTCGATCATCCCAAAGAAGTTTAGCCTATTTCTATGCTGATCCGTGCACGTGCTTACATACATACATTTGTGTCTCTTGACTGCAGCATCCAATTCTCCTACATACTTCGGATTTATGATGAACCCGATGCTACAGCAATTCCAGGTCTCTGGAAATGGCACCAATGTTGATGCTGCTCGTGACCCGAATGGCACCTCCAGCCTGTTGACAACTATTGATGGCCCAGCAGAGCCCCGACGAAACCAGGCCTGCGACGTGTGCCGGAGGATGAAAATCAAATGTGACAGGACGTACCCCTGTAGCCATTGCCGTGACTCTTTCAATGGTACATCCTCGTACCCTCTCCCTACTGATGGGCGCTGCTGATTAGATAAGATTGTGTATTATCACACCCACGGCGCAGAAAGAGGAGCCCGGTTCAGCCTGACCGGATAGAACATCTTGAGAAACGGTTGAAGGCAGTCGAAGAGTCGTGTCAACAGCGAGCTGCACTGACAACCGTAACGCCCCCCATAGGATCTACAGATATCGTGCATTCTACCCAAGGTAATCTCAATGACAATCCTCTTTCAGGCACCAGTGGTCGTGTTCCCGACGTCAGACTCCCCTCGGCTCTTGAAAACCAAGGCGAGGCGCGCTTTTTGCACTCTGCGGCGCACATGGACTTTGTAAGGCGCTTAAAAGATGAGCTAGGAAACTGGCCTGGAGCAGATGCGGAAAACCGAGTGCGAGCAAGGGATGTGCCAGCACCGAAGTTTTTCCCATTGTCAAATGGCCCGGGTGAGGCAATATCACTGCCATCGCGAGACAGAGCCAACTATTTAGTCAATCTCGCTTTCGATGCGCACTTCTTACACAATTTCGTACACCGTCCGACTTTCGATTCCGCTTTTGCCCTACTGTTTACCTTGAACGTCAAGGATTATGGTAGCGAGGAATACCGATATCTTGCACTGTTATTTTCCCTTATGGCTTTGGGATGTCTCTTTGAAATGGATGGGGAGGGATATCGGGATGCATTCATCTTGGAAGGGTGTGTGATTACTGAATTCCCGTCTGATCGGCTGGAGAACTGACAGCAGTAGAACTCAGTACTTTGAAACATGCCGTACCCTGGCTGATCTGCAAAGCTGCAACGACTTGGTCACCCTCCAGGCCATTCTCTACATGAATATCTTTCTATTATACACTGCCCGGGTAAGCTCAAGCTTCTCAGCTCTCTCGTACACGTTTTCCCTGGCGCTACGGATGAAATATCATCAAGTCGCTGAGACGGATGACGCATTTACGCGGGAAGACAAAAAGCAAATTTTCTGGACGACACGCCACCTTCTGGCCTGTGTCTCAATCACAGGTGGGCTACCAATGCCTATGGGGTGCGACGATCTTGATCTTGAGTATCCGAGTTTATCGTGCGAGAGTAGAATGCGTGCCACGGAGGCGCGCTCCGACAGGCCACATAACGTGGTACAATGGAACCCAACCATTGCCAGCGTCGCATGTTTCCGCCTACATAACGTCCTCGGACATATAACTAAGCGACTATACCCATTGAAAGGTGTCAAAAAAACAGACAGGCAGGGGCTGTTGCGCCACCTAGTGAGCAAGGAGACTGTCCGGGAACTAGACAGCGAGCTTCGGTCCTGGCTGGCCTCACTTCCTCCAAGCCTCCGCCTCGGTCAAGAGAAGCATCCCTTGCACATCGAGCGGTAAGCCAAGTACAATGACTTTTCCAAGCCTTTTGTTCTGATCTGACATGGTGCAGTGCACAATACGAGCTATGCATGTCGTACGCACATGCTCAGATTTATCTGTACCGGCCGTTCTTGCACTACCTTGGTGCTTATTCGACTGACGAGGTCGGACCAACAGATGGGTTCCCCGCGTATGCTTCCGCCTGTGTAGATGCCAGTCGCAACATCATTCGCCTTGCACAGGATATGTATCACAAAGGACTTTTTCGCGGAGTACACTGGGATATTTCGAATATGATCCTCGCCTCCTCCTTGACTATGCTTTACATAGTCTTGGCGAGGAAGGGTTCCTCAGTCGAGGAAATGGCTTTAGCAGAGCTGCGCACTGCTCGGGATCTCATGACTCTTTTGGAGCCATATTCCACGCTCGCGAAGAGGACAAGCTTTGCGGTAAAGGTATGTATCATGCAATTAGTCCTATATACGGACTTTTATACTAAGCGGCTGTGTAGCTTTTGACAACAGCAATTCTGCCTGCTGGAACAAGCGATCTGTCTCCACAGAATGTCGTGCCTGGTCCATCCCCAAACGTGTCCGACTCATATACCGCTGCTCTGGCTGAGAAAACGTTTGGTTATGTATCGAGGACCAATGTATCGGATTACCAGGGGATATCGCCAGCTGGGAGGCAAAGCAACTCGGTGCCAGTTCCGGTATTGACTGAAATACAGTCGGCAGATAGCCTTCCACAAGGACCTCTTCAAACTGCTAATACAACAGGAAGCGCCACTCAAGGCCCTTCGGTGCCTACTGCAGCCCAACAGTCGAGTACCTCTACGCCTTTTCCAATACCATCGGGTATGGACAATACGCCATTCGTTACTGGTGGGATCATGGAACCCAGTCCCCTACATTCCACATACGTACAAGATTACGGAATTAGCGGGGACGACTATGGATATATGATTGACGGCACTGGGCCGATCGACTTTAGTGATATGATCGGCGATCTGTTCACTTCAGAGGGGTTGCTATAAAGCCCCTGAGAAGATGAATGCCTAGCTGCTTCCCCCCCTGCGTACGCCTGAGTTACATCTGGGGAACTAATGCTGAATCTTTACCTATTAAACATTTTATTCACCGAAGCCCGTCCTGGTTTGTCAATTACATTATTCTAGATCGACCGGGAACCTCTGTCGGAGAGACGCACCGAATCTGCGAAACAGGATAGGCAGCGAAATCATCGCCAGTGTCACAAACCCCAAAAGCGAGTTTCCCCAACCGTATCCGAGCTTTTCATACATGGGTGGCCCTGCTAAGGGCAATAGTGCACCGAACAGGGACCGAGTAACTGTCATTGCCCCGATACCAGATGCCGCATAGCGAGGATAGGAGTCAACGATGTATGCCTGCAGTGTTCCAAAGATGCCGATATTGCCGAAGGCGAAGGGGAAGAGTCCGATAATGGGAACGATCCAATGTGTCTTCTCCTGAACAGACCAGCCATACCAGGAGAAGGAGATTGGCACGAAGAGCGCAAATGGCAAGCACAGCGGAAGACGCATCTCAGGTTCCACAATGTTATTATTGCGTCGTTTCAGCCGGACGAGAGTCCTGTCGCTTGTGAGAGCGAATACCACCTGGCCTGCGAAAAAGCCTAGCCCCAGTCCGATATATGCAAGGCCGCTGGTTTCTACACTCCAGCCGTACTGGTCCTGGAAGACTGATGTGATTGTGGTGAAGAGAAGATAGAGACAGCCATAAACTGACGCAATATAGAGAGCCATCATCAGTACGATGGGCGAGGTTGCCAACAACTTGATTACCCTGGTGGATGTTTTCACTAGGAGAGTCGCTAGTCCGCGTGCCTCGCCCTCTTTTTCATAACAGCTGCGAAGTTCGGGGCGGCTCAGCTCCTTGCGCAGGGCTACTGTCTTTCGCCGTATGAGCACCGTCGGGTTGGTCTCTCGGTTGGTCACCATGACTATACCGGTCAATGTACCTCCCACAATGACCAACACCCAAAAGCTCCACCGCCACCCGGCGCGTTGTGCAATGAACCCTCCGCATATTGGTCCTATCACTGGCGCAAATAGTGGCCCGAACGAGAAAACAGACAAGGCCAGTCCACGTTGCTCTGCCTCGAAAAGGTCGGCAACAACACCGCCCCCAATTGTCAGACAGCCGGACCCTCCAAAACCAGTCAAGAAACGAAAGACAATCAAAGCCGAGAGATTGGGAGCAAGGGCGCAGCCGATTTGAAATAGCACAAAGATCGTCGTGGCCGCGTTCAATGTGATTCGACGACCGCATATCTCACTGAGTGGAGATAGAACTAAGGGGCCGCTCTGACATGATGAAGCTGTTAGCCGACCACTGTAGCCTTAGCTACTGGGTACTTAAACGCACAAAATAGCCGAAAAGATACGCTGTCACTGCAAAAGAGCCGCGTATGGAGGATGTTTCCCCAAATTCTTGCTCGGCAAGGCTGACACCAGGTGCGAATACTGACGATGCAAATGGGCTACAAGCTGTTGGTCAATGCCAACGTCCTTGATGGTTGCAACTGTCTCGTTTTCTTACCTGATGAATGTGATAATGCTAACTGTCGCTAATTGAAACCATTTGCGAGATGGCGGGTAGTTTCTTTCGTTCTGGCGTGAGTCCCATTTTCTTCGTTGTTCTGATGTTAGGACCTTACCTGGGGTTTAAGGGATCTTCTTGACTTTCCCATCCCACTATTCCATTCCCCAAGTCCATCACCGGATAAGTCTCCCGACTGGCAGCCGGTTCCTACATACCTTGCCATGAGCCGACATCAACCACGGTGTCAAATAGCACCTACAGCCTGTTTGTTCTTTTCTTCGTTGGACATGATGGGATATGACGAAGGCTAGATATTCCTCCGAGTCAATACAGCGAGTAAACGAACTTTGTCGCGCATGGGTTGTCCTGTCCCTTTTTATCATCGACCGTATAGAAAGAAACATGCGATATGCCAAGACATTTCCCGAGCTTGAGGTTAGACCAGTCGCTACTATCCAATAAGAATACCTCAAGACACAACTCCACCAAGCACACTAACCCAAAGCTCGGCGGTATATCAGTAACACCCCGAAATTGGGGCTAGCGCATTCCTTTTTTCGGAATATCAACCAATATTGCTCTCGTGTCCTGTATTGAGCCCTTGCATTGACCCCATTGACAGGAATGAGGATACGCAGAGGATATCTTTCAATTAGTAAGAGACGTTTCTGCTAATCCCTGTATCGGGAATATATTCTGGACCGATCATAGAAGAGTTCGAATGAGTACAGACACACTCCCAGTAAGCGAATTCCGACATATTTGAACCTTTGCACCTTCGATGCAGGGTGTTACAAAGGATACCAGTTACTTTCACCACGACCTCGAAAACATTTCGGCTCCAGGGGGGAGTATTATTCTCAGGAAAGGGATAGATTGGCGTGCTCGGTATGCTCCCTGAACTCTGCTTTTCGTTATATATTTTCCTCTGAAGCATACGAACTACGAGCAAATAATATGAACAACAGAAGGAAACATCTCTAGGAAAATATGTGCACTCAGCGAGAAGCTGATGCTTATATTAGAAGACATATGTATCTATACTACATCAAGTAAAATTATTGAGAGTCCAGGCCTGCGCCCCGGCGATCTATATACCAGAGACCAGCCCGTGATCACCCACGATCCGCTTAGCAAGAAGCGCCGGAAGGAACGTTCTGGCACTCATCGGACTTCTTGCCACCGGAGAGGCTGACGCCCTTCCAGGTCCAGTCAGAGCAGCTGCCCTTGCCGCAGAGGATGTAGACGGGGGTGGCCTTGCTGGCAACGGAGCCAGTAACACCGTTGACAGTGAGGTCAGTGATGGGGACACCGGTGGTGGGCTTGCCGGTGGGGCCGCCGTTCTTGTAGTCCTGCTGGATGACGATACCCTTCTTCTTGATGTTCTTGAGGGTGATGTTGTCGTAGGTCACACCGCTGACGGAGCCAGTAGCACCGGAGATGGTCTTGATGCGGATACCATTGTCGGAGTCAACGACGGTGGAGTCGGCAATCTTGACGTTCTTGACGACGTTGTTGTCGCGACCGCCGATGGAGCCGATGGAGATACCGTGGCCGCCGGAGCAGGTAGCGCCGGTGAATTCGATGTTCTAGGTCACGTCAGTATCCTGGTGCCAGAAATGTGATCCGCGTGGCTGATCTACTCACCTCGCCAGAGTTGATGGCCAGGCAGTCATCCTGGTTCTTGACGTTGGCACCAGTGATGTAGACACCGTTGCTCTCGCTGACGTCGAAGGCGTCGGTGTTGTGGCCTCCCTTGCTGTCACCCTCGGAGTTGTCGATGGTGATGTCGGTCAGGTGGACGTCGTTGCCCTGGACACTGAAGACCTGGACGGGGGAGTTCTTGACGTGCAAGCCCTTGATGGTCGAGGACTGGAGCTTGTGGGCGTAGATGAACTTGGGCTTGGTCTTTCCACCGTTGGTGCCCTTGCCGTCCCACCAGCGGGAGCCCTGGCCGTCAATGACAGCACCGGAGGCCTGGGTGATGGTGATGTCCTTACCACCGAAGCGGATCAGGGGTCCCTTCCACTCCTTGTAGCCGAAGGTGGTAGTGCCCTCGAAGGTGATCTAGAAGACGGGTCAAATTAGCTACTCTATCATGCACTGAGCGGGATATTGGTTGAACATACAGTGGCACCGTCCTTGGCCTTGGACAGGTCAAGAGTCTTTCCAGCGGGGACAGCGATGTTCTTGAGGACGATGTTGGAGCAGCTCTTGGCGCTAGCAGAAGCCTGCTCAGCAGAGGTGAAGGTGCAAGAGGAACCCCTCTCAACCAATTCAGAGGTACGAGAAGGGGCTGGGGCAGCAGCAGCGAGAGCGCCAAGGGCGACGAGACCGAGAGCTTGGAAATGCATAGCGAATGAATGGGTTCTGGTCAACAGAACGTACAGGAATGAATAAATGAATGTATGGGGCCTGTTCAACAGAAAAAAAGGAAAGCAAAGGAATGAAAGCAGTGATTTGAAGATGAGGAATTCCCTGAAAGCCCTGGACAACGAGAGTTTTTATACCTCATGGTTCTCCATACTTAAGCTTCGGATCTTGAGCTTGGCGGCAGCGTGGGCCTGTTTTCCATGCTGCCGAAATGATCCCATCATTGGTGGAATGGGAATCTCCACTGCGAAGCTGTTCCACCGTGCTATTATCAGTATCATCAACCTCTGACGACGGATCGCAGCCTTAGAAGGCATTTAGGGCATAGCGGACCCATGAGCCCTTAGGGTTCAGGCCAAGATCCGGTAAGGCTCGGCCCCACTATCAGTCCTCTACTCATCTTTTCGTCCAACAATCCCTAAAACGCTCGGCATAATAGGTGCTCATCTGCCGGATCCCCTGGCCCATATCCGACGCTTTGTCTCATGCTTGTCTCACTCTGAGGGAACTCGGTCCCTGCTTGAACCAGTGGATATCGTGGTCCTCCGGTACATCGAGCATGATTGGAACCAAGCTACATGGTCACTTTGGTAAAGTTCACTAGCTAAATAAAAGGTTTTACCGTTTATTCTCCGGTGTTGCCTATTCGTCGCCCTTGTAAGTCAGGGCTATTCGTGATATCCCGTCGGCTGGGACCGAACGCACCGATTCTCCGCCATCCTGAATTTATCCATATTGGGCCTTGAGTTGCTGGTTTAATCTACCCTAAATTGGGTTGCCTGGAGTCCCTGGATCAGGGGCCTCATCCTTTTCAGAAAATAGAGAAGGGATCAACAGTCAGAATCACAAATCCGGATTTGTCATATTCGGCAAATCTCCGGATCAGCCCGGCGCTTTGACACCTCACAAAGGAACCGTCACATCAGTCTCTAACCGAGTTACTCTGGTGTTCTGAATTGATGAAATGTTATCAATGTCCTCGGACAATTGATCATGACAGCCTGCAGTATAGGATAAGGGATTGGCCAGCTCAGATGTATGCTACGAAAAACTGGAATGCTGGAAGCCTGCGTGCTCCACCCAGTGGGTCAGCTTCTGGCAAAGGCAAAACGGCTTTACTCCGGAGTAGTGTCTCAGTTTCATCTGGACTTGGGCTTCTAGAATTCGCTGTGGCGCAAACTTCCTACCATAGGTGGAAGACGAATCCGCTTGCATCAATCAATCAACACGACGTTTTGCTCCCTTCGGATGCACCGGCAAGACGGAAGGGAGAGGGGGATTTCTCCGAATTCCAATATCGCATGATGCGTAGTGGAATTCTTTCTCCCCTTGACGCTGGTTGATTTCGTGAAAGACGAATGCCGTATCCGGAAGGTCTCACACTCGGAGTCCGAAGATTGCCACTGCGCGAATACGATCCAAATGCCCATGGAAAGGAGGTAACTGGACATTTGGTCGTACAGCTTTTCAAATTACATGTCACTACCGTTTCATGTTGAGCAGCCTTCTGTTAGCAACCGCTCGACTTTCTTACCTCCAGAAGAATACGATTATGAGGGAAAAGTTCAACATGAAATAGCAAAACGGACGCCCGGGAATGAATACGAAGGATATTCTTCACACCATGCCTATACGGCAACTTTGGACGATCCACGGCTCGACGAATACATTCAGGCATCAGGATGAATTGTTCGATAATAGACCAGAAGAGGACGCGATGACCTAGGCATGAATGATGCAGGCATCCATTAATAGAGGACCTACTTAATTGGTTTTTCTGTTTTTAACCGTACCAAACGCACTAACCGGCAGCATTGGGAGAGAGACCATCCCCTAACACAGAATACTTTCACTTGGCCTTGAGAATAGGTAAGCATCCAAGCTAGTCATATCTGGGTTACTAATTGCATCAGCAATGATAAATCAAGGCTAATATAGGAATAAAAATAGGAACATCCTTTCTGCCACACTGTCCCCATCCTCAGAAATTTGAATTGTGCCCGAGCGCTTTGAGAAATACCGCCTGTCTCGCCCTGGCTATAATACAGAGGTCTATTATGTGGACGGCATAGTAATCTAGTAATTAACTGGAGTTGGGTTAAAAGCTCATTCTTCGAGTAGTCGGCTTTCTGGTTGGCATAACTGTCTATACCCGCTCTGTTAGGAGTTATCCCAAGCGCGGTATAAAAGCGTATCAATCGACCATAGAAGATCTCGAGCACAGTAACGCATGTGTTGTGTATCTTATATTTCAATAATGGAGGTGAATAGGTCCTAAAGGAGTTGTGAGTGTGAGGTCTTGTACCTGTGTTAGGCAATTTCCAATACGGGCATCTTCTGTCATATCGATTCTAGTTGTCTGGTATTAGTCCTAGACAAAGAACAAAGGCCATGCCCTGACAGGCATTCTAAGACATATCCTCCCAGATCAGTAGCTATAGAGAATATCTTATAGATCAGATGGTACCGGGCGAAAGGATCCTATTTGAATAATCACATGCTCGACTGTATGCCGGAGAAATCCGATGCAGCAACTGTTTCTTGGTTTCAATAGTCAAATTACTAGGATATAGAAGGTAATTTAATTATGTGCATATTGATTTGAACATGTAAAGACTCTCCTCGAGTGCGCCGTGTGAAAGGTGATGCTGTATGGATGCAGGATACTATCAGGGAACTATCAACCACCCATAATTTAGTCTAGTAGAATAGCAGTTGTACAATCCTCAAATATCAGAAAGAGACTCGGGGGTAAAATAGTTGAGCAATGCTTCCAGCAATAAACCTGATTTCTATGTGCATCTTGTGCCGCCTTAACCTATAATACCTATAAAGTTTGCAGAAGATATCCTCCAACACCGTGCTCTCGCTAGAATATGTCGACCATCCTTTCCACGCTCGTATATTCAGTAAAGAGACGTACATACTCATGAACAAAGAAGCAAATGGACACAAGGAGAAAATAAAATAGAATAAAATGAAAAATAAACAAAAAAGAAAGATATCTCAGCACATTTTACTTCCTTCTCTCTCCTCTTTCCTCCTCTGCCGCAGCCTCACTTGCCGCTTGGTGATGATATACCAGGATCCCAGGGTGAGCATCGTAAGTGGTACTGCTGTTACTACAAAGATCCAGAACTGCTTGGATATTGTGAATCCTTTCTCATTCGAGTCACCGAATTCAAAGAGATTCATTCCTAGAAGAGTCTGCACATATTGTTAGGGCTGATATGTACCATGAACATTGAATCTGACATACGGAGACGAAGCTAGCAGGCAGGTAGATAAGGGTGACCAGCGTAACGACCCGGACAGTAGCATTATCTTCGAATGCCTCGCTGGTAAGCTGTAGCATCTTGTCGTTAATTTCGTTGGCTACAGTCTGGCCCTTGAGGTTGAGGGCAACGGCCAACTACATCGGATGAGCGACGTTAACAAATATGAGACTCAGAATCATGGAATGATGAGGTACAAAACATACCAAGTCTGAGATACCTTTCACCTTTCCTTCCAGCACTTCCACGCTTTTCATGTACCCTTCGATGGTAGTTACGTAGTAGGCCATCTCGCTGGCGAATAGTTGGGAGTCGCTATCCGTGGTAAGCCCCTTGGATTGGAAAAGCGTGTTCATGTCATTCAGTCTGCGAACAGTTTCCAACGCGACCTGTAGTCTGGAAGAGAGCGATAGGAGCTTGTCGCCCAGATATTGTGGTGTCAAGAGCTGAATGAGCCCGTCTTTATCGGTATCAGGCCTTGAAAGATCCAACGTGAGGGCGATGTCAACCTAAGAAAATTGTTAGCGCTTTTTTGGTCTTCATAAACGTATCGGTCGCATTCCACACTGACAGTCTTCTCGATCTCCTCGCCAAGGCTGCGGATACACCAACGCCAGTTGCCAATATATGCCGAAAGCACGAGTAAATGCATCGAATACCAGCTCTTGGACACGCCTGCATGCTGAGAAGTGATCTCAGCTTCGATCAGTTGCTGCATCTTTGAACGTGGCCTCGCGTGAAAGAAGATCCAGAGATTGCCGGATCCAGCGGGATTGTATCTGTGAAAGACGCAGGTCTGTCGGATCGTCCATGGCACATTTCCCTGGGCGGCATTTCTCTCCGCATATGTGAAGAGGTATTGCATGTCTGAAAGATCAGCATCATCGTTCTCGTGTCGGCTTTCAGGTCCGTTAAGTACCGTATGAGCCGTCCTCCTTCTGCCTCACTGTCATGGCTCCGTGTCCTGCATCAGCACTTTGTGGCTTGTCGCCGAAGGAAACTGCGAGGTCGAGCAAGGTCGCGTCGATACCGTATGTGTTTATGAGCTTTCGCATCGCTTGTTCGGTGACTCCGAGGGGACGCATTGAATTTTGAGAACATATTGACCTGGAGGGTTGTAAGTCTAGGTACTACGTTGTCGTATGAGCAGTACGTCTAACACTATACGTGTGTGTGGTTTGGATGTGGTCGCGATATGAGTTTCGAAGTCGTCGCTATTGGTGAATAGGTGAGGGCCGTCCGTTTTGGGACCAGATGAGGCTTATACAGTAAGCCAGGATTCAGAAGCTTGTTCTAGGGACTGACAACGTACATATATAATCAAACAGATATATGTTTGACTTTTCCGGACAAGAAACAAATGTCGGATATCGGAGATGAGGTTCTATCGCGGCATAGTGCTCAGGCGTCAATGGATTCATCTGGCAATTATCGCCTTGCAACGGTGCGATGGCATGCATTCTCACAGAAAGTGCCCAGTATGTTCTAGACGTCACACTAGAACTCTTCTGGAAGCAGATTTAAGGATACCAAGGTACTAACAAGTTGCTTATAACCAGATTCGCTCGCACCTTTCAGTTTACGAGGCAGATTTAGCCAGGTTAAGGGATGGTAGTCCAAGGCTGCAGCATGGGATAGCATTGCAGGTAAGCAAACACAGCCAGCGGCGAATTACATTACATAAAGCAGGATACGTTGAAAAGTAAAATAATATTGCTGCGGTATCAAAGCCACATGAGAAGACCGAACCAAGTGATCATCTCATCCACGTCCATCTCCGTATGATCAAACATTCATTCAATCACGAAGATCGCTGTATGGCAATATCCTAAGTCAGATTGTTGACAACTAATGCGTACTGGACTCTCTCGCACTCACTCGATCTCACTCTAGAAGCATGGGAAATGAACAAATTAGCCCACGGAATAGAAACCAATTTACCGCTAAAGTTGCACCGAGTTGCTTACCTGAGTCACTATCCTCGGGGCGTCAAAAACCCATCGCTCATTGATATGCTTTCATATTAACCTTGTGTGTCAGCAGGGTTGAGATACCAGCGCTATCAGCGAGGCTTCTTACACGAACTTTGATCGGTTTGCCAAACAGGCTTAGAAGCCTAGCCTCGAGCCTTTCCTTTCTGATATACCCTGTTATGTCAGGGCTGATGGTGTTCTGAACGGACCCGCTCATGGTCAAGGTTGGCTAGTATGGCTTAGATGGAAAAGGGAAGAGGCAAGTTGATCTGAGCACGGGGCGAAGGGTGGGCTCTCAGCTCTCTCCATGCGGTTATAGGCAAAAAGAAACAAATCCTGGCAGTACGAAGAGGCGCAGAGCCTCTGAAACTCGTGAGGCTGTGACGACGAGATCAGTGCGCTGGGTGATACTCGTCTCGATTCCGACGCGTGCGCTTGTGTATTCCCCAACATACGCAGAAGGTGTGACGGGCTCAAGAATCACAGCCCGACAGGCCGGTTACGCCAGTGAGGCTAGCGATGGTTTGAAGGATCGAGTCATCTTCCCCCTGGTTGGAGTACGGCCACGTCAAAGGTGGGCGGGGAATGGAGGATCGCTGCATGAGAAGCGGGGGATGTCAATCCATGCCCTATGGAATTTAGCACCATTCGGAAATCCCCGGAAATGCTTCTCTTCTCGTTACATAACATCGAATCTGGGGCATCTGCGTAGTGGATACCCTTCTGGCGAGGTATTCAACGGGTTGGACATTGAATCCATTGCCAGATAGATGATCCCTAACAGGTAGAAGAGTGGTCTCGTCGGCAGTTTTGGTGCACAGCCCCTATGCAGGTATCCAGTAGTCCAAGAACTTAAACAGGAAAAGGAAAGAGAGCAAACAAATTAATCAAAGAGAAAAAGCAAAACCAGTGGGTGGCAGTCCGTTGGGCGCTAAATCTCGTTCAAGTCTGTCCTCTCTTACCATCCCATTGCCGAAGCTTCCAACAGCCACCACAGGACAGAGTACTCAACTCGACGCGATTCTTCTACATTTTCACAAACTTCAACCATACACACTGAGTACAACGACTGCAGCGCGGTTTGTAGCACATGCACGGTAGTTTGAAAAGTGATTTCAGACCCAGGAGTGCCAAGGCAAGGCTGTACATGATGATCGAATACGAGTCTCTTAAAACTTTCGGAAGACTGCCCAGCATCCGGATGAAATAATCCACAAAACGAGCCTCATTTCCCGTCATGCAAGCTCCCATTTTATCTGACAGGGTGGGGAAGTCTTTCCTTGTCTCTTTTCTCTGGTGAAATTTGGCTTATTGGCCAGATCCCCTGCTTCCTTACCTCCTCACCTTCTCCGTATTCTGTGCCATTAAAGTATTATTTTGTAAAGCTACTTCTCCTTCCAAGTGGCATAAAGAACCTGCAGCTCAAATAAGCCTTGGATGCTCCACTTGACCCTTTGTTAGCCTTAAGGTGTGGCTAAAAACCATCCTATCTTCCGAGCCCCTTACCTCGCGCATGTTGAAAGGTTAAGGTTGGAGGCATTCATGTAAGGGACAACATGTGGGCAAACAACACAGCCAGGCGGTAAGCATTCTTTTCTTTATTTTCACTTTGCGATTAGTCCTTCATCCAATGGTGTTGTTGAACCTCCGTCACTCCTGCTTACGGTCGGGCATCATGCTCATCTTACGTTGAATCCTTCAGGCCTCGAAACCCGCTGGTACTGAGAACACCAGACGAACTGGAAGAAGACGTTCGCAAATTCTATGACCGGAACCACCTGCAAGACGTGATCGACGTGGAATTGCTCATCAAAGGGGCACGCATAGCACAGGAGCCGGATAACCTATACACCCTCCAATTAACAACGGCAGAGTTCAAGGCGATCAAAGATGAAAAAGAGTCAGGGTTTTGGCAGCAAAGTAAAGACCTCAAGGTGACCATTCTAACTACAGCATGTGCGGCAATCACCCAGTAGGTACGCCCGGAAAGGATCAAATCATCTCGAGGCTCCTGTTGACTAATTCCGATAGAGGCTGGCAGCAGTCGACGATCAATGCGAGTTCAGGAGGTTGGAAGCATGATTTGCACCCCCAGGGTGAAGACTGGACGCACCACCATCTATTATTGGGGGGCTTTATTGATGCTGCGCCTTGGTTATCGGGTAGTATGATGTGAGTTGCCCAACAGACGTAAGAAGACACAGAGGAACTAAAGGGTTTGGCAGTGGAACATGGCTAAGTGATCCTCTCCAAGAGGGTAATTATGGGAGGCGGCCAGCACTGTTCATCTCGGCCGTGTTTTGTGCTGCTTGTGCACTCGGTAGAAATCGTCGAAACACTGCTCATTGGACTCATTTCTAACTTCGAAACAAATAGGTACCGCTCGCTGTATGACATGGCAGCAGCTTCTTGCTTGCCGAGTGATACTAGGTATTGGGGTAAGCTATTTATTCTGTCTACTGTTGACAAAGGCTCACTAAATATCAATAACAAGATCGGTGCAAAGGCGTCAATCGCCCCAGTCTTTGCCGCAGAGGCGGCGGTTGACCATTTACGAGGACGGTTATTGATGATGTGGCAATTGTTCGATACTTTGTACGTGTTTATGCAGTTAACTCTTGATTCCTGCTGAAATGAAACTAACATACCATCGATACAGTGGTGTATTTGTTGGCTTCGCATGCGACTGGATTGTGGATCGGCAATGGCGAGTGCTCTTGGGGACATCGTCCATTCCTGCTCTTATCCTCCTGTTCCTGGTCTTTCTGTGCCCCGAATCCCCTCGGTTTCTTATTCGTAAAGGAGATTATACCGGTGCATTCGTGAGCCTCCGGCAGCTACGAGGCACTGACATCCAGGCAGCGAGGGACCTTTATTACATCCATAGTCAACTACAAGTCGAAACGGAAATGTTTGAGGGAGAAAGACCGCAGAACTGGTATAGTAAAGAGATATACCAGGAGAAGGTGCGAGAAACCAATTTTCTGTGGCGGCTTGGGAAGCTTTTCAGCCATCCACGCAACCAAAGAGCATGTTTGGCTGCTTTCTTGGTCATGGCGTCACAACAACTATGTGGTGTGAGTCGCTCCTCTCTTGCTGTGCTTATTGAAGTTGGCAACATCATTTGTCTCATTATCGATTTAGATCAATGTTCTTTCGTTTTACTCTTCTCGACTATTCAAAGGTGCAACCACGGACGACAAGAATCCCAACATGAGCGATTCCCGGCAACCTGCGAATATAACTTGGCTTAACTTTGGTAAGTGGCAATTCATATCTACTCCATGTGTATAAAAGACATTTGTAACAGAGGTTAGGATTCGGCCTGGCGAACTTCCTCTTCACCATTCCTGCGTATCGATACATTGATTGGCGTGGGCGTCGGCTTCTTCTGCTCATCTCGCTAGCGGGAATGTTCCTCAGTCTACTTGCCATTGGATTTTTCTTCCGAATCGGTAACGACGAGGCCAGACTGGCTCTAGTATCGACTTTTGCCATCGGCTTCTTCACGTTCTTTTATGGGATCGGTGCGGGACCAGTGCCGTTCACCTTCAGCGCCGAAGTCTTCCCACTTGCGTTTCGTGGTGAGTGTTGGCTCTTTCTTCCTTTCGTACGCCAATTGTCTCCTTTACAAGACCTATATTTGGATAGCTCAAGACAATGGGATTTCTACTAACTCTAAAATTTAGAGGTTGGCATGAGCTTCAGCGTTATGGTCAATTTCCTGGGTCTCGGGCTTCTGGTACTCTTTGTACCCGAATTGACCGATGCGCTAGGACAATTTGGAGAATCTAAATTGTGTTTTATATTCACGTAGGATTTCCCTATTCTCCCAATCGTATATTCCATGAGATTCTAACCGTGCATCAGGGGACTCAATGCGCTGGCGTTTTTTCTCGTCTTTCTGTTCGTAAGTACTCTGCCATCTCCAGACCACCTAGCAACAGCTAACTCTCAGCGTAGGTTCCCAGTGGGACTGCAAAAGTGGGCCTGGAAGAAATGAACCAAATATGTACGCTTTTCACCTTTACAGCTCTGTCCTACCTCGATACATGCTGACTGAGGCCACAGTTAACACAAAAATGTCCGTTCACGTCAAGGAGCATGTCGTTAGCCTTGGGAATCTGTGTGGCCGGCGAAGAATCGAGGATGAACCACATCATCTTCATCAATTTCATGATTATGCTTAGAGCATAGCATGAGAACCCGCGTTCCACTGATTACATAGAATGTCTGTAGAGTACCTCTCGTCTGGATTCATAGATTTGCTAGGCGACGTAGGCCTACCAAATTAGGATTCTATGTACGTAACTTAATGAGTCGGCTGTTTTTTCTCTCTTCGGTGAAGGCACCGAAATGCGTGTGTGGTAAATTCCGCAGTAACTTAATGGTCACAACTCCCAGTAACTCGCTCCTATGCACTGGGCTGTACAGCCACATTATACAGAAATTAGGGGTCATCAGAGAAGATCCTATTCGCCGCCTCGTCCTAGTCCTGACTAATTAGCTCCAGTACCTCAGTACCGGTCCAATACACCCATCGAGTCGAGGTGTTCGAGTGAGCATTGATCCCCACGGGGGCAGCCCCATTCGTTCTTGGCCGAGGCTGAGAGTTTTAAGGACTCGAGACCATTGGGACACGAAGGAAGCACAAGTATTAAGAGCAAACAAGCCACACGTGAATTAAAGGGCAACTATTCCATGACGTTGCCTAATCACCGTTTCTTCCAATCTCACCTCCGTTACTCATCTTTCCTTCATGCAGGCACCAGTAGCCCTTCTGCCAACGCATATGTACTGCACATACTCATATTGTACGCATTCACTTCATGTCTACTACTGGCTCTCTAGATTAATTTATTGTTAATGTACACTGTTAGCTTTAGACGCTCGCAGCGACTCATTTGGACTGAAGCCCAGCCGTCCGTTTGAGCGTCGCTCGCGACCTCGACGCTGCGGCCCGCAATCCCACGCTCAACATGAGTCGTCATGATGTATTTCGCACTGTTTTCAATGTTACAATGTCCGATGAAGAGATCGATGCCAATCTGTCGGCAAATGGCTATAGTTTAAATGGCTTTCACCGCACCCTCAACTCGTACTCTGCCGAGGACTCCTCACATCGATCCAGCTCTGAGGCGGACAGACAATTTACCAGAAGACTTACACCAGCAGAGCATGCAACACCTAGAACAATTCCTAACCAACCTCACAGTCCAGAAATGGAGATGTATGGGATATCTCCGCATCACACTTACTTTCCAGATGATCACCACGTTTACAATGTCCATGCCAAGTCAGTATACAAAGTGACCGTTTGGACTTCATGCCCGTCTCATTTGCACTGACTGATTCATCTTATAGTACAAGATACAGAGCACCACATCTCATAGGTGACAGCCATCCATATTCCCCTGATTCTCTATTCATCGAAGGCCCTACGGAACGGCGGCAATCTCTCCCACGGGAGTTGGTGCTTAGAGAGCTCTCCCGTGCGATCCAAACTGCCACACACCGAAGAGACAGGCCATCGGAAAAGGTCGTAACTCGTCATAGCTTGGCAGTTATTTGGAGTGAGGCTCGTCTGGAGAAATTCATAGACCTCGTACGGCCCGGGTTCGATTACGGCTGGATAGATGAGATTCGGGAGGACTGGCTGCAGACGCTATCTATACTGGTGGATATCGGCTGGCAGGATTGGGGGAGGTTTGGAGACATATTCCTCAGACACCGCGGCAAGAATGGCGAACTGGACCGTTCAGATCGAATGATCCCAAAGTATACCCTGGCGATTCTGGAAGATGATTCATTCCTGGGGTCCCCGTGGGCTGAAAAGTTTCAAGCCAGCCAATATACTTTCTGTCCGATTGACATCGAAGAGGGCAAGAGTCTGATGTTTTCGAAGGAATGGAAACTTCCTTTTATCAACGAGACATCGGCCAGTATTGGGATCGGTGCATATGGCAGGGTCACCAAGGAGATCATCGGAAGTGGACATTTTCGATCCCGATCCGAACATCATCTGCCAGGAGCGCCTTACAGCGTAAGTCCTATTAGTTCCATTGATAGCGTATTACCAAGCTTGGCAAGCTGACCAAGCCGGCTGGCTGTAGAAAGATATTGCGGTCGCTTTGAAACAGTTCGAAGCCAGAGGTGACTTCCGCTCGGAAACCAACAACCTCGACGTACTTCGTTCCAGCCTCTCTAAGCACGATCGCATTGTTCCATTCCTAGCTACCGTGACTATTGGCAATTCGTTCAATATTCTTTCCCCGTTGGCGGAAATGGATCTAGATGTCTTTCTCCGCGAAGGGCATCAAAGATGCCCAGACTTCACGGTACGTGACCTGATGCAAGAGGCCGCGCATCTCGCTGGGGCGCTAGCCTTCCTCCATCAAGGCTTGGACAGCAATCCACCAGGTCTTACCTGTTGTCACATGGACCTCAAGCCAAGCAACATACTTGTGTTTCAGGGAGACTCCTTGGACTATCCCAAAGTGGGAAAGTGGAAGATCTCTGATTTTGGAATCTCGATCATGTCCCGACCCGAGAGAACTGGCACCACTGTTACGGAATTCGTGGATTCATTCACCCATCGAGAGCTGTCCCGGCCGCCTCCTGGTCCATATCAATCACCGGATGGCGCAGGGCTTGGCCTTAAGAGCGACATATGGTCCTTAGGGTGTATTTTAACTCGGGTCCTTGCGCTCGGGTTAGGGGGAACAGCTGGAATGATGCAACTTGACCACCTGAGGAGTACCAGCGATGATGGAGAATCTCCTTACGAGAATGACTATTTTTACCGTGGCTCGCCTCCTGTGGTAAATCCCCACGTCCGGACATGGCTATCTGGGCTGGTCGGCGGTGGTTATAATTACAACCCTGAATTTCTGGAAAAATGTCAGTCTCTGATTGTTTCTATGCTCTCTATCAACCATGATGATAGACCGAGTGCTAGAGATGTTCAAGAGCAACTGCACTACTTGGTTGATATTGCTCGACCGATCGTTTTTCGTCCACCCAGTACTAACACCAGTGTCGGTGGGTCGGCGTCAATCGGCAGTGGGTCAGACAACATAGGGATCAGTAACAGGGAAAGCCGCCTGAGAGAGGAACGACTAATTTGGCATGCGATTAGCCTGTTAGATGGGGACGCCAATATTGAGGAGCGGATTTGGCATGACGATGACAGGCTACTTATACATGTTGTTCGGTTCGGTCTCGCATTCAAGCTTGAGAAGCTCTTGGCTCGAGAACCGGGCCTCGACGTTGAGACCCCAGACTCCAATGGAGACACCCCTCTCAAAATAGCCGCATCTGCAAAGGAGCATCACGCGTATGTTGTCGAGGTCCTTCTCAACGCCGGTGCGAGCATTGATGCCCCATCACGAAGGGGCGTCACTCCACTCATGGCAGCATGCAGGCACGGCAATGTGTCAGCCGTCCGACTTCTTCTCGACCGTGGAGCGGACTGCTCACGCCCTTCTCGGGATGGCTATACATGCTTGCACTACGCCATGTTTAGTGAAGATGGGGCGAAGATCATTCAGCTCCTCAAGGGGAGAGTTTCATTTAATATCCGCCGGTCCCATAACGATGAAACTCCTCTGATCACCCTCATCAAGCGGTACGATGGCACGGCATCTTGGTGGGAAAAGTTCGGGAAACTTTTACAAGGGTTCGCGGACATCAATATGGCCGATACAAACCGTTGTACGCCTCTATCACTTGCTGTAGAGGAGGATCGTTCGCAATTGGCAGCCGTACTCCTCAGGGAGGGAGCAGAGTATGGCGAACGCCCGAAACCTCGCCACCTATCCTCTGATATGACCGCAGTCCTCAAAAATGCGCAACCACGAGGCCGTCGAGAGAGTGAAGGCAGGCCTGGATCATCGACCACTCGTTTTAGTCTTATTCGCCGCTTCTCCACGTTTAAATTTTGAACTGAGATACTCATGTGCTCGCTATCTCGGTCTTCTTTCCTATTTCGTGCTGTTCATTTCTGCACTCTCCATTTTCCTGGATTCACTTTCATTAGTTCCTTTTTTTGTTAATTACCGAGATTCCCGTCTTGTTCCTGTTTCTGTGTATGTGTCTCTATCTCTGTCTCTAGTTCACCCTATCTGTTTCTTTATTTCTATCTTCTTGTCTCTATTTCCCTTTTCCTACCTCTCTTTTTTTTTTTTTTTTTTTTTTTTTTTTTTTTTTTTTTTTTTTTTTTTTTTTTTTTTTTTTTTTTTTTCTGTCTCTGTTTATGTCTGGGTAAGATTGTTAGATTCATCATGAGGAAAAGCGGGTTTGTATAATGGAGTAGGGTGCATGAGGATATACCAGGTCTGATCTAGTGAGAGGAATATATAATGTTACATGACGGCTATGATGTCATAGGTTTGAGATTGTGAATATCGACTGCAATCAGGAATTTCGATCAAGTTCCCTACAGTAGTAGAGACAAAATTAGTTAAGGTACTTGATATTCTCCCCAAGCAATTGAACCATTTCTATATCTTAATACTATTCATCATACTGCGAACTGCAACTAGGGTTCCATCCGATCATGAGTCCCCCATAAAACATGATTGGCCAATGGCCCGTAGCAAACGAAACAAACCAAGCAAACCACCGCAACCTCCGCTCACGGAAAGATATACCCAAAGCGACGGGTCAGGTGTCAGACCATCAGCAGAACGCAAACAAAGCAGCGCACAAATTACAATCACTCCCATGAACACCATCACCGTGAACCAAATGTACGCCCACACCTCGCGACCCTCTTGAACCCTCCTCCCCCGTCCTACAAACAGCACCCCCTTCCCCCCCCCGCGGGAAAAGGCAAGACCCGTGCCATTCCATGGCTTCGTCATCACCAGACACCACCACGCTCCCATTCCTGCAATTCCCGCCAGAAGTCCGCCTGTCCATTTACCAGTACCTGATCCCAGACCTCCCGATCCGCAACTTCTCGCTGCTGCGCGATCGCTCGAAGACAATCCACCTGCGGCACGATGGCTCGCGCTGCTGCCCGGCGCTCCTGCGCGCAAACCACCAGATCTACGCCGAGGTGATCCAGGAATGGTACGGGTCGACGTCCTACGAGGTCGTCCTGGATACGAAATACATCTTGTTCTGTGGCAAAGTCATCCCGCCGTATGTGCCGCTGCCGTCGACGATCCAGTGGGTGCAGTCCATGCGCCTGTGTCTGTCCATCCAGGGCACGCCCCGCCATATCCATAGCCAGTCGACCCTGGAGCATCTCCTCGGGTTCCAGGATCGGTTGACGACGCTGGCGGCTGCGTTGTCTGATAAGGGGTATCGGAAGCTGAGTCGGCTGCAGATCGATATCGGGGTCAATATCCCGCTCCTGTTGAGCTTGAGTAAGACGCCCAGTGAATTGCTGGAGTTATTGAATTGGAACCTGCTCCCGTTGAGGGAGAATGTGCGCGATGTGGCGGATGTGCGCTGGGAGTTGCAGGAGCAGAGCTATGGTATCCAGAGCGAGGAGTTTCAGCGCTCGTATGCCGGCATGAAGTCCATCATGTGTGCTTTTTTGCAGGATATGCGCTTGGATATGCTGGAGAGGCCGGATGGGTGATGCGCATTGTGGGCTGGGTTGCTATATTGGGGATTGGTGCTTCCAGTTTGCACTGGTGGGCTTGTGTTACTGATCTGCCATCGTGTGGTTGTGAGTGGCTTTGTGGCCACTTGGATTCTCTTATACATATCTGGACACGACGTCATGGCATCGTCGCCAGTTCATCCTCAATCAATTGACCCAATTGGGAAGAAAATGGGAGTGGATGCCAAGTGATCAGTGGGGCGTCTCCACTCTCTGGAGCTTTTCGCGTCCAGGTCCGGTATCGGTAGTTGAGCGCCCCATAATTATTGTTGAGCTGAGTCGTGGGTGGCTGGGCGCTGGTACTATGTACGCCGGAGTAGGTATCTTAAAACTTCAAGGTCTATGAGACAATGGCTGAATTGGGAAGTTCTAGGACTCTCAGATCGACAAACTGGACGTTTAATGTTACATATTAAATTTCATGCCCTAAGTATTTTTAGACTATCATGATAATCGTCACATGACATCACTTTTCAGTTAAGAGAAAACGAAGAATATCCAAACGTGGGAGGGGGAATCTAAGCCCGGCTGAGGTTCTCTCCCTCCTCAGCCTTCTGCAGACCGTACTTCTTGAGACTAGGGTCGAGGTTAGTGAGGAAATATTGTAGGACGGGGTGTCAAGAGAAACATACCGGATGGAGCTGATGGCAATGAAGCCGGTGGTGTCGGTAGGCTCGAAGTCCTCGAGGGAGTCCATGGAAGCCTCCTCGGCATCGTACAGCTTCTCGGTGCTGCTGGAGCGACCAAGGATGTAAGGGTTGCCCTTGTAGAGGCGAACACGGACCTCACCGTTGACACGCTTCTGACTGAACTTGAGACTGTTCTCGATGAACTCACGCTCGGGGCTGAAGTAGTAGCCGTTGTACAGCTGGATGGACCAGTTGTGGGTGACGAACTGATCACGGAGAGCGCGGACCTGGCCGTCCAGGACGAGACCTTCAAGGTCGAGATGGGCGGCACGGAGGATGGTCATAGCAGGGGCTAGAACATGGTTAGCTACAGGATGGAGGGTGACGGGTGAACGGGGATCATGCGTACAGTCATAGCAGCCACGGCTCTTGAGACCGATGAAGCGGTTCTCGACAATATCGATACGGCCAACACCGTGGGTGAAGCCGAGCTTGTTGAGAGCGTCGAACAGTTCGACGGAGTCAGTGTACTCCTTCTGGGGAGTGACGAGCTTGGTGGGGATACCCTGCTCGAACTGGATGGTGATGTCGGTAGGCTCGTTGGGGGCGTTCAGAGGGTCGGCGGTCATGGTCCACATGTCAGCGGGAGGGGTGTGGTTGGGGTCCTCCAGGACACCGGCCTCGTAACTGCAGTGGGCGGAGTTGGCGTCCATGGACCAGGGCTTGGCCTTGGTGGAGGTAACAGGGATGCCGGTCTGAGCGGCATAGTCGAGGAGGTCGTTACGGCCAGCGAAACGCTTGAAGAACTTGGGATCACGCCAAGGAGCGATGATCTTGATGGAGGGCTGGATGGCATAGAAAGCCAATTCGAAACGGACCTGGTCGTTACCCTTGCCGGTAGCACCGTGGCTGACGAATTGGCAGCCTTCACGCTGAGCGACACGCATCTGGGCACGGGCGATAACGGGACGAGCCAAGCTGGTTCCCAGGAGGTAGCGACCCTCGTAGATGGCATTGCACTCTGTATCACACGTTACTCAACGGCTCATGCCTACGCAAGGCATTGTGATCTGCTTACGGATGGCAGGGAAGCAGAGCTCTTCGACGAACTCCCGGCGCAGATCCTCAATCACCATCTTCTTGGCACCAATCTTGAGGGCCTTTGCCTCAACAGCAGCCCAATCTTCCTCCTGGCCGACATTGCCGAGGAAGCAGACGACCTCATAGCCCTCCTCTGTTGCTCACTGTTAGCGGCCATTGGGCAAACCAAAGGGGATTGGAGAGTTGTACCGATCAACCAGCGAAGGATGCAGCTGGTATCCAGACCGCCTATTCAAAATCCACCGGTGTTAGCAACATAATCTTCCGGTCAATTGTTTTGCCATTGAGGGGTTGGTATACCAGAGTAGGCAAGACAGACACGGGGCTTCTCGGTAGCCATTGTGCTTGAAGAAAGAATAGTGAAGGGAAGGGTGGAGAGGTGGAAGAGTGAGGAATCGGGAGGTGTTTTTTTCTTCTTTGAATTGGGAGCAAAAGGAAAGAAGTTGTGGTCGATCAATGAAATTTAACTCAACCAAAGCGACAATTCATTGAGTCACGGGGGGTTGAGTCATCTGACTGGGGCATTAAACGATATGTTATCGGAGGGGCTACTCCGGATCGGGGTTAACCCGGCCCATGATTGGCAGCGGATATTATGTAACAGCAAGCGAGCACCACCACCAATAGAATGCCTCCGATAATGAAAGCGGAACCTTGCCATCACGTGAGTATACCCCGCATTACCTTTTGGGGATTCTTCTTATATAATAGATCGATCCTGCCCTATCAAACTAGTAGTTATACTGCTACTAATAATACTGGGGACATGCGGTCGTGACTCGTCAGCCTGTTTGCTTTTGCAAGCTTCACATATGCGTTGCGACTATTCATGCACTTGCGAGAGTCTTCCGTGTCAAGTGGTCTACCCCCCGGTTGTAGAATACCAGATTGCGGTCATGGTGATGGTGACGATGTTTGAAGACTCAACACCTGGACTTGGACTGGTATAAGAGTGAGCTTGAATTTGTAGGAGACATGGGTTCGGCAATTCCACGAACATTCCCAGACAAGGACTAGGTGCATCCGGTGTTTCCCTCACATCGGAATGATTGAGACATGACAGTGACGAGTTCACTCATCCCTGACGCGAGAGTACACTCCTATGGTTGTCATCTCCCGAGTCGGTGCAGAGTATAGTCCGAGGAGATACCGAAACCAACTGGACCTTGTCCGAATATGCGACAAGTAGCTTTGGTCAGGTCCATACCGAGATTTTCCGATGGACTGACGTGGACATCGCAGTCCTTACGGATTTCCATGGGCAATAACAAACGCCAAATAGCAATATATCCCAGTCCCTGTAAGCTTGGCATAGTAGGCCAAGACTTGCAATCGGAACCACTATACGAGGAAGAATGTATATTGAAACATTTATGCCTCCCGTTTAGACAGGATAGCCCGCACAGCTGGGAGAGAATCATTACCTGCACACTGTCGCAATGGAGTTACGGCTATTTGGAAAGAGGACGTCACCCGCAAGCCTACTGTCAAACTACCAGTCCTGATCTCAACGGTACTTCTGAATGGCTTTGACACTGTCTGCATATCGTTGATGCTGTCCCCTTTACCTGACTCTTAACGTGTCATATCGTTCCGCTTGCACCTCTACTTCGGCAAAGCCTCAAAACTATGATGGTACCGATATGTGAAAATGGTAGCAACAGAAAGGTCAATATTATCGCCAGTTTGGCACAGAGATAAGCTCTACCAATAGACGGAGCTACAACTATGGAACACGGTGAAGTACCAATCAAAGCTGCAGGCCATAAGGTCATGATCAAGCGATGCGCTTAATCTTTCTCTTCTAGCATGTCGAATTCGGGCTACAAAACCAATTCCTATAATCCTCGTGTTCGGCAGTGGGAACTTCCTGGAGAGAGCATCGAAAGCTCTGGATCCCGTTCGGGGATGGTAACTCCCGATCCGTACGTAAGATGACTGTGTCAAGCTGTACCGAACCAACAGTACCCTGTCAATTGGTGAATGTAATGAGTTACTCCAGTCCAGTCAGGTAGCGAGACAACTCAAAGGGTGGAACGTGACACTGTCAGTCGCATAGTACTTAAGTGATGGGTAGGGTCGTCCTGCCCCCGACATCATCTATGCTCGACCTTTCACATACGAATAAGTCCTACTGTCCACTAAAAATGACTTCACACGAGCGTCCACATATCATATTTGGCACTGCAGCCTTTGGAACTGGATCACCTCTGGCCAAGATTCAAGATGAGGCAACTGCAGCTCCGATTATTGCCACACTCCAAGCTAGAAACGTGACCGATGTGGACACGGCTCGCGCATATCCCGTGGGTTCTCCAGGGGCCGCCGAAAGACTCCTCGGCGACTTAGGGGTTCCTACCTGGGCCAACCTCTCGACCAAGGTCACCTCCTGGGTGCCTGGTTCCCACACTGCGGAACGAATTCAGAAAAGCGTGGCGGAGTCACTCGAAGCATTGAAGACGGACAAGGTGGACATCATGTACCTACATTCCCCGGACCGCCACACTCCGTTCGAGGAGACATGCAGAGCCATGGATGCTGAATACCGAAAAGGAAAGTTTGCCCGCTTTGGCATCAGTAACTACACGGCAGACGAAGTGGAGCAGATCGTAACGATTTGCGAGAAGCACGGTTTTGTCAAGCCTAGTGTGTATCAAGGCCGATACAATCCTGTCATCCGATCTGGGGAAACGCAGTTGTTTCCTCTCCTCAGGCGCCATGGGATTAGCTTCTATGCATATAGGTATGGGCTATTTCATCTATCGATAGGGGTGCCTAATCAGAACACTACTAACACAACGCTTTGCAATCCAGTCCAGCTGCAGTAGGCTTATTCACAGGAAGGCTCTCGCAGGACCCGAGCCAACTCGCTGGATCAAGATGGGATCACAGTGTAGGTCTATCTTGATGCTATTTCAGATCGCAATAACTGACACATAGACTGTGTTATATAGACTCCCTCGGGAAAGATTTATCATGACGCTTATTACAAACCAGCAGTAATTGCAGCAGCTCAGACCGTAGCAGATGCAGGTGCAGCAGCTGGAGTAAGCGGACATGAACTGGCGTTGCGATGGACCATCTACCACTCGGCACTAAGCCGCGAACATGGAGATGCCGTGCTTATCGGCGCGTCGAGCTTATCACAGTTGATCCAAAACTTGGATGCCGTTGACGCGGGCCCCTTGGATGAAGAACTAGCTCAGTTGGTCAGCAATGTGGGGGATCTTGTAGAGGACGAGGCAGCTGCATACCACGTTTAACTATGGGTATTACCGGGATTAACGGTGGCATGCACGGTACTTCGGGGTTGAATATACTCAACGCATTGGTCTTCCCCTATCACCGTTGTGATTGGCCTTCAAAGCCGTTGCCATCTATGTACATTGCATGAATGGACCGACGAAGCCGATAGTATAGTTTTCCTTGTTGCATGTTTCCACAAATATGGCTAAGTAGTGTAGGGCAAGAGTAGCAAAACAGCCTACTATGATATAAACCTGATGCTAAATTAGTGGAGGTAGAGCAAGAATGCAAGAGGCTCCTCTCAGCAACCACATCGCTGTTTTTTCCCTCTCTCAAAAGAGAGGGTGGGGTAGAGACATAGAGTCATCGCGACAGTAAGATATAGACAAAGTGGAGTTAGCAGCATAGGGCCATGCACAACTTATGAGGAGATATTATGCACTTGGTAGATTTATAGGAGGAATGTATGTATCTGATGCTATATTCTACGCAGACGAAAGTGCTTCCACAAAGGTACAGGCAAGTGTACTATACGTCAATCTTGACCACGATAACACAAGGTGATCAAAGCAAAGCTGTATTCCATTCAAACCAGATGTGCAAAGTATACCAGTCTCACTTCAGCTACTGTCATCATATTATTAAAATAGTTGACAAACCTTGCTTAAAGCTTGATAATCCCTCGCTCACGGAAAGGCGCGGCTAGAAAGCATGGTAAGCAAGAGAAGAGAGGGGAACACTTAGTGTTCGCGGGGACCGACGGTGAATGCTGCGGTCCTATGCTCTGGGAGGTTATAGAGCTATTGTTATCCCTATAGAAGTAAAGACTATGATTGCATGATAGGCCCGAAAGATGACGTCCAGAGCTAGGAAGGAAGGAGGTAAGCCAGATTCAAAGGCAGAGAGAGTATAATATGAGAAAGACAAGAGACCGGCGCAATTCAGAACAGCAATGACGGCTATTCTAATCTAAGCATACCTGAAGCCGTACAAAGACTGAAGGAAAGAGAGCAGAAAAGTTTCTAACCGAGGGATATCCAACGAAAGGACCAGGGGAAAAGAACTAAGGCCTAGCCCAACTGACCATGATATGGAGCAATATATCAGAGTCAGGGTTATTGGTTCACGAGGGAGGGGACGTTCCTTAGTCGGGTCGGACCGATTTGGAGAGGGGTTCAATTAGTGAAGTGATATCAGTGAAATGGTATTAATATATCGAGGAGTGGGGCAGAAATGGCAAGATGGCAGGTCGGTCTAAGTCGTGATTCGAGCCATGAGTGGTGATATGAAGATTAATCTATCGATTCGGCATCCGGTACTTCCGTGCAGTAAGCACTGTCATTCCTTCACGATACCATTGCCGAAAACTCTTGCACGGTTCTCAATCATGCATTAGCGCGGGTCTTGGTTAGAACCAGTAGAAACAAGCACTACTAATGAAAGTGCCAAGTTACGCTGCCCCACCAGGCTGAAGGCTTAAGAGTCATTCATTCTTATCTCTCCTTGCCTAAAATTCCTGCCACTAGCCTTATTGTAAGCGAGGTAAGATTGTAGGTGGCGAATGGCGTCACAGGCGCTATAAACCTACTTGTTTAGTATGTATTGTGACAGCCTGTGCGCTGCCAGAGTGGCTGCGCTAGTGAGTGCAATTCGGAGATTGTCTTCTGCTCAAGGCGGAGGTCTAACTACCCTCCTGAGTCTCAGCATATGACTTCCGCTATCTGGTAACGATCCTTACAAATTCCTCTTCTCTCGGGCATTATGAAAGTGCAATAAAAGACAATAAAGAAGTGGGTTCAACCACCAGGGACAGTGTTTGCAAAGAGGTTTAGACATGCCGAATATCCCGAGACCGCTAAGGGCAACTAATAAATATAGCTTCATACTAAACTCCTCTACTAGCATGTCCATTAAAGTCTCATATTCAGCCGTCGGAATCCGATGCAGCTTGCCATCTTCCGTTGGTCTGTTCTCATTTTCCGTACAATGACAACTTGCAGAGCGATGTTTTTGCTAGCATGTTGCAATTTCCTGGAAGAATGATTCTGCATGGTGTGATCTAGCAAGACTGGATATGAGGAGATACAGTATGGAGCAAAAAAAGATAAATACTCCCACTGGACCTCCTGAATATTCTCCATCATCTCAATCACCACAGCTCTCTGGTATCCACAGTTTTATCAGACATCCAAGGTCCAACAGCAATCCACTTTTCTATCAAAATGAAGTTCACTATTGCTCTTGCTACTGCAATCCTTGCTGGCACCAGCTTGGCTGCCCCTGAGCGCGGCCTCGCAGCTCGTGTCAAGGCTCGTGCGGCTGCTGCTCGCGGTTCTCGCCCTCTTCAGGCTGTTCAGAAGCCAGCAGACGTGACAAACAAAACAAATGTTCAGTACAGTTCCAACTGGTCCGGTGCTGTCCAGGAGAACCCTCCCTCTGCCGCTGCCACCTACACCGCAGTGACTGGCACCTTCACGGTCCCTCAACCCACTGGTGGATCCGGTAGCTCTTCCGCCTCGGCCTGGGTTGGTATCGATGGCGACACCTACAGCTCGGCCATCCTCCAGACCGGCGTCGACTTTACTGTGACGAATGGCCAGGCCTCCTTTGATGCGTGGTACGAGTGGCTGCCCGACTACGCTTATGACTTCAGCGGCATCGACATCAAAGCGGGCGATGAGATTGTGGCCATCGTCGAGTCGTACTCCTCCACCAGTGGAGTTGCCATTATCGAAAACCTAAGCACTGGCCAGAAGGTGTCTAAGGATCTTAGCTCCTCTTCGCCCCTTGGCGGAATCAATGCTGAGTGGATTGTCGAAGGTAAGCCTTTCGTGCTCTGGATACAACTCTGTTCTGTGAACATGGCCTGACCCGCTAACGAACAATTTTAGATTTCGAGGAAAACGGCTCCTTGGTTAACCTGGTTGACTTTGGCACCGTTACCTTCACTGGTGCCGAAGCAAAGGCTGCCGGTGGCCAGACGGTCGGTCTCACTGGTGCTACCGTCATTGACATCGTTCAGGGTAGTACGGTTGTGACCGATGTGACCATTGACAGCGACTCTGAGGTTACCATTCGCTATGTTTAAGGCATAGGGATTGACTTGACCTGCCGAGAGCTTGTGAGCTGTTGTTCTGCAATCATACCGTCACTTTAACATTGAACATGTTGGAGTGTGGTTGAGGAGCTGGAAGAATAGAGGCGACACTGAGATGGAGAGATGCAGGTAGGGCTAGCTATTCTATCGGGAATTCTTGAATTTGGGTCAGTTGCTGGGTCGACAGTTTAGCCTGAGATAGCTCATAATTCAAGACGATTGATTCCTCCTCTATCCTTCGCTATATATGCCTTGGCTCTCTTGCTAGAAGACACAGTTACATAAGAGTATCTTCGTTTCTTTCCCCATTACAAAACTGCTAACAGTGTTGGAGCAACATTACAAGCCGTGGATGGGTCTCTCAAGCATTGAGAGAGAGTCTTGAGAGCGTTCCGAGGTTTTCCTCGAAACCACTTCCCACCATGATTGCAATTAAAGTTTCTAGGGGTGTTGCTGCTATTGGCCTTGTTTATTTTCCCCTGCTACCATTCCCTGGTAGAGCAAAATGATCGACATGAATTAATTCCAGAATACGAGCTCCCAAGGCTCCCAGGCCTGATGACTAACCTCAGGCACCAACGCTGGTTGCCTAGGAGGATGCCCCATTTGAGAGCCAAATCACCACACCAACTGCAGCGATCTCAATCGAAGATAGAATTTAAATTCCCCATCTCTTCCCCAAAAATAGCTAACTTGCCAGTCAACGCCATGGAGCAAGACCGGGTCGTACTTCCCGGCTTCGGCCAGCCCCTGAAGAATCATTTACCCACAATTGAAAAGGAGGGTCCGTGCAAAGGCCAACGTCGACGATTCCGCCATGCATTGTGCGACAGTTGCTATAGTGTGGGCGTCTCTGTGCGGGAGCGTCGAATGCTAGATTTCATCAATAAAATCACTGATAAGCCAGAGTGGGAGAGGAAGGTCTTCGACGAAGACATTGTGAGCAAATGGCGGGATGAAGCGTGTGTACACAGCGATGAGCTTGAGGATTACTATCTATCCGCTGCGATGTTCGATTATGTGAGTTTTTGCTCCGTCGACATTCCCGTCCGGTTAAGCCTGTCTAATAACATATAGTGTATGGAAGAACTTCGCGACAAAGCCAAGTACTTCAAGGACTCCCAGGTGGTGTCTGTCTATGACTGTGAGACGGCAATCGTGAAGTCCGACTCAGCAGTCACATCACTCTTGGCGGAGTCGCTACGCAGCAATGTGCGTGTCTTGGAGGACGTCCCGGAGCATCTGAAGGATTGGCATCCTGGGTCCGATGAAAAGGTCCTGGATTTGCTTCACCCGTCGCTGTTTCCCTTGATTTACGGACGATCACGCGCACTGCCGTATGGGACTGTGCTGCTCGAGGATTGTGCCCGCTTCACTGGAGAGGGCGAGGTAGTTGACCCCGAATATAATGAGCACGAGAAGCTATCTCAGCGACGGGAAGGATCACTGCCGGAATGGGGTAGCTTCCAATGGCTCCCATCCAATGTTGAATTCGACAAAGACGGTATTCCCAGAATTGTCAGTTATGTAAACAACCTGCACCCCAGGCGGCACAAGGAGCTGTATGGAACGCTGGAAAAGTTCGTCGCAGCTGCAATTCCCCTGTGGAATGAGTGTCTTTCTTGGGATGAGACTAGGTTGAGGATCGAATTCCGGGGAGGGTCAGACGAGGACATGATTATTCCTGAGGGAGTTACCTTCACCCCAGACGAGGACGAAGTAGAATCGCCCGAGAAGATCCGGCCGTACACGTACGAAGAGGCGCTCAAGGATACGGAGATCTGCTACACAGATGGTTTCGATGTTTGGTATAGGGACAACCGCGTCTTCATTGAGAGGGAGCCGGAGCCATTCCAGTCTCGCCAGCAATGGGAGGAGAAGGCCGAACACCGGGCCACCGATCTGCAAACGCAGTTTGCTGCGTCTGGACTGCAAGTGATCTTTAAGCTCGCGAATATTCACCTCACCCCTGAAAAACCAGAGTACGACGGTGGTACGTGGCACATTGAAGGAGCGATGAACGAACACATCGTCGCCACAGCTCTCTATTATTACGATGAGGAGAATATTACACCTAGTCATCTTGAGTTTCGGCAGTCTATGGACGCGGAGGATTTCACGTACAGACTTCCTCAGGTAAGTGACTGACCACTATAGCCCATATTGAACTCGAACATTGATGAAATGTCCTTCAGAATGAATACAAGTCCACCGAAATCTTCTACGGAATTGAAAACGAGGAGGTTGCAGTACAACTGCTCGGCAGTGTTGTGACCAAACCTGGTCGACTTCTCGCTTTTCCAAATGTCCTACAACATCGAGTTCAGCCATTCGAACTGGATGATGACACAAAGCCTGGTCATCGAAAGATTCTGGCCATGTTCTTAGTGGATCCATATATACGTGTACTCTCCACAGCAAATGTTCCTCCCCAGCGAAAGGACTGGTGGACAGAAGAAGTTCGAAAGGTACCCCCGTTTCGGGGCTTGCCGTTGGAACTGTTCAATATGATCATCGACGAAGTCAGAGACTTTCCACTTAGCTGGGATGAGGCGGTGGAAGTTAGAGAGGCCCTCATGGATGAGCGAGGCGCACTAATTGACTACACCAATGATGCGGTAGAAGAGGTATGCCATAATTTACATTGTCCTATCCATATGTAGCACAAGGCTAACTAGCTCTAGAATACTTTCAGCTTCTGTGAACATTGAACCTGTTTTGCGCTTTTCAAGCTGCACGCTTGGGACTCCTCCCGTATCCAGTTACATTCCAAGTCTACACTATGTTTTGCAAATTACTACAAGTAAATAGCCAGCAAAGGCGGTTCGTTGAGTCGATGATTATGATATTTCACGATTTTATTAAGTATATAACCTTCTTGACCTCGGGCTCTCATAGAGAGCCAACAGAGAAGAGTGCGTGTGTCCTATTCCACCATAGAAAACGAGAAAGAATGGCCTATGGTATCTGAATTCATGGAAGAAGATTATATTAGAAACACATCTGAGTCCAGGCTCAGGCTCATTTGGTAGAGTCGATAACCGCAAAACCGACTATGCATGATCGATAGGAGAGGGACCCGCGTCGATGGGATAGGTGAAGATGTAGTTAGGACCATCGGCCATTAAGCCATCACTGCCGGGACGCATCTGCGAGGCAGGCAACCAAAGCTTCTTGTCCGCTGTCACCCACATCAGGTCCGTCCAAAGAAGGGCGTCGTCCTGGACAAGAATGGTCGCACGGCCCTCAGGGGTGACCTTCCAGATGGCGAGGAGGTTGGTGTCGCTGACGTAGATATTGCCGTCGCCATCGATAGTGGTTCCTCCAGTGCTGGGCGTCAGGGCGAAGGGTTCAGCGTAATCTCCGAGCGAGGCAGCCAGTGTCGCGTTGGTCAATGTAGCATCGACATATGAGGTCTTGACGCGGTACAGACCACCATTGCAAGGTTGATAATACAAGTAGATTCCATCTGGCGAGACTTCGATTTGGTCCAGCCCGACAGCGAGAGTACTACCATCGCCGCCGTATCCGGGTACCAGTGTCCCGTTGTACATCATCGGAAACCAAGCAGCGGCTGAGTCGTCGTCTGCAAGGACACGCACACCATTCCCGGTTGTCATGTTCAAAACCAACAGGGCGCCGGCTGTATCACTCAAGTAGGCCACGTCTCCAGCCGCGTTGAACCGAACATCATCAATGCCGCTGTCGTCTGCCTTGATGTCGTCCAGGTAGTAGATTTTATCAACCTCGTCACTTGTGAGGTTGACGCCCACCAGCTTGGTGGAGCCATTAATTCCTTGCGAACCGCCGTCAACCAGCCAGTACCGCCCGTCGGGCCCAATCCGCGCGCCGTCAATGCTGACGAAGGTCTCCCGGGGGTTTGAGCTCGGGTTGCTTGCATTGTATGAGTTCCATGCCGCATTCGGATAAAGCACGGTTGTATTGTCACTCAGAAGCTCCACGGCCAGCGGAGGCTCCGTTGTAGAGTACCGTTGGGACAGAAACTTGCGCCCGTTGGCGGAGATACTGATGCCCTGGGTCGCCCGTTCAAGGGAGTAGACCAGTTCAAGTCCAGGTGCGTATGCAGCCACCAGCGGAGCTGTGATGCTCAAGAGGGAGGTAAACAAAAGACCAGACATGATACTATTGGTGAATGCTAATGTAGTTCCGGCTAGATATGGCTTGGAGGATCGGGCAGAGTACGGTCTTTATACATACATCTCCCGTCACCCATCTCTGGTCACCGACATCCATTACCAGTTAGTAGTTGCCGCAAGACGCGGGTTGTTTGCAATAGAGATCAGGCGATTTTCGGCCCTCTTTTTACTCTCGGGCATACAGAGCTCGACATGCTTGCGTATCAAGGATTCTCGGGGGTTCCACTATTGCCTCATTTAAACATTTTGTAACGGATTGATGCCGCAAGCTAAAGCAGGAACCCACCGTCGATTACGCAAGATGTTCTATGCCAAGCTCAAGCTCGGAAATGTGGTCCATGACCAGTATTAAGGTGGCTGATGATCTTCGTCGGCGTTTAGATGTTAGGGCCCACCCCCGGCCGGCATGAACAGAACGGGACTAGTCTCCGCTACAACTGTATATCCATCAGCTAAAGGAAAGAAACATGATGCACTATGTGCTAACACTTTCGAGCAGAGCATAGTAGATGACCATGCCGAGGACTCTTTACAGAGGTTTCTAATATCTAAATGGAAGTAGAATATTCAAGACACAATTCCTGTGTAGGCCGAGGCTATTGACTACTTCTGCCGATTGCTAGCCGGATCTGTAAGTGATTGATACACTCCCTCCAGTTGCAGTCCCAAGGTGAGTTGGAATGCTTAGGTATTCAATCCAAGGACCCTCTGGAATATATCCAACGTATGATCCCATAACTTCGTCGGGTACTCCCTCTCGCGGTAGTTCCTCATCAACGTTTGGTTTGTCACATCTTGTCCATCATAATTAAGCAGATACGAGCCACCGCCAACTTTGCCGATCGATGCCACTGCGACCCCAACGCCGTCAGCCGACAAGTCTCCAGCGTGTGCTGCAGGTGGATATGCTGTAGATGTGGCAATAAAGACGTTGCGCTCTCCACTCTCCTTTTCCGATATCGACATGAGCTTGGTCACGATGCCAATCACCGATCCGAGTATGTATCCAAAGCTGGACTTCATCAACGGCGTCTGCACAACTCCGGGAAATGTGTGAATGAAAGTGACAGAGGGGTGTTTGGCAGCCAGGTACTCCATCGCCAATGAGTTCATAGTCGCCCCGTATGTCGCGGCAGTGCCAAAGGAAAAAGAGGCCTGAAGGTCAAAGTTGCTCTCGTCGATTTCACCCTCTCTCCCTGCCGCTAGGACACTGACTACTCTGGCGGGAATGTTGGCAGCTTCGAGCTGAGGGAGGAGGTTGTGGATAAATCGCATTCGCGCATAGTAGCGGAGCACGTGATTATTGTCGAGCCCTTCCACTGTATCTGCGACACATCAGCCGTGGGTAATTATGGACAACAAGGCGACGAGCTATTGCTTCTTACCATTCTTCCGCGTCGCTAGATGGCCCGGTGTCATGAACAATAGGTCCACCTGGTGCTCTTTCTTTTGGATCTCTTGGCAGGCGGCATCAACTTCGCGAAGGAGTGATACATCAGACTGGATGAATTCGAATGTTCCACGAGGATTCAACGTATTGAGCTCTTCTATTACCCGCGAGCCAGCCGACCCATTGCGACCGACCAGGTAGATCGTGGGGGATTCAACTGTCTGGGCCAACTGTTTGGCCGTTGCGGCGCCAATCCCACTCGTTCCTCCTACAAACACTGCCACCAATTTGGAGCGTCGCCTGCGCACGGTCGTATTCGCTTGACGCGTCCGTTGTAGTCTCTCCATGATGTCGTTGTAAAGGCCTTAGGAACTAACATTGACAGGAAGAACGCGAGGGTGGCATGGACAGATAGCGAAATGAAGGAAGGGATAACAGGCGCCACGCGACGCCCCACCACCAACACAGGGATGAATAAACACTGTGAATAGAAACAATTTTTAGCCCATATTGGCCAATCTGCACAACGGGAAGCTTGCAGGAGAGTTCTGAAACAAGGTGTTGACATGACATGCAGGCGCGTCAAGGGCGCCCTTCATTAGCCCCTTGCTTTGCTATCTTCAGAAGGAACTGATCGCTCAGCTGCTTGACGCGAAGGATTTCATTGTCAAGGGTTGATGCCCCAGGTTCTGTGGACTAGTCATAGTATTATCTCTCTCCGCCATGGCTTAACTTGAAGTCATCATCAGGTCAAATTTTTTACCAACAGTTTTTGCACCATAAACATAAATCTCATGCTACACATCGTGATCTATGAGCGCCCTTCTGTTGCCTACTATCCAACAACACCTTGCATAGAACGTAGAACATTTTGTTCATTCATCATGGCTACACCAGTGTGATATGTGTTTCAGCGTCACGTACCGAAACTAGCGCAAGATAGAGTGAAGAGTCAGTTGAAGGTTGTCGACTAACCGTTGTCATTCCGATATATCTGCCAGTCAAGGCGGGTAGATGGTAGAAGTGATTGTGTGGTTCTCCTTTAGTAAAGTTCTTTTGTATTCTTTGACTTAGCAAGTCAGACTTTCAGCCCTTTGGACTCCCGTGTTGTGTGTCCCAGGTTGCTAGAAAATCTTCTGAATCTGCCTACTGAACAAAATATTTAACACGAAACTACACGATATATCGACGATGCTTGTGAAGCTACCGTATTCTGTATTGTCCGTAGGTATCTTGCCTATACAAGGGAAACACGTCTATCCACGTCCATTGGACTCAATGCCCCGTCATGTGGCTCCGCTTGCAGGATACCAGCGCCTCCAAAATATATAGTAGATCCGGCCGATAGGACTTAGCAGGATAATAAGAGGCAAGATTCGACATCTGCCACACAGGCAGCCTGAGAGCTTATTCAGTATAGCGCGTAATCATCAAGAGCAAATACTCGACAGAGCCGAGTTGGTATTTAGTTCCGCATACTAGTGTGTATGAATGTAGAGAATTGTCGGCAGGGCTGCTAGCGTAACTGCTGTCTCCAGAATTCATTCCGCCAAAGGGAGACAGTGGAAAGCACAATATCGAAGCCACAAATAAAATTAGCTCCGAGTGGCGAAGCACACGGAGACTAATGAGGGTATCGACTGGCATGCTTTTATGCACGGTACAAACTACCCTGGATAAGTACGGCACGTACCTAGCTGCCAGGTTGTCTGACCCTCGAGTTTTAATGACCTTCGCTTTGCTAGAAGAATATTCTTATTGGTCACTGGGCCCTATAGTTGAGTTTAGACTAATCTTAATCAGTGGGTAGGAGATCTTGGCTGCTCCGCCAGCTTTTTGGGCTGTCGTGATGAGGCATTGAGGACGCCTCCTTACTTGGCGTGAGGACTCATCCCCGAATCAAAGGCTGTAAATTCGCAGTCTCAGAGGCTGGGTGAAGAGAATACAGCAACGTGTAAGGGGCCATCGATCTTTCAAGCCCAGTCACATACGAGCTCATCAGACACCGCGACCATCGTATCCTTGACCCAATACTCATCTAGGGTAAGATCATGTTCGATCCTCGGCTGGCCGGAATTTAATCTCAGCTCGGGAAAACCCGCTCCAAACCCGCTAACCACTTTCGATGCAAATTGCGCGATTCACGAGCCCTGAGGACGCTAAATATGCAGCTAGACCTCAAGGCACAATCAGTTCCCTGATCGACCACTTCCGCCCAGTTCTTTGAGGTGTGGATACGAGGAGCCTCATTTAGCTGGAGTAGCCCTACCAGCGCTTGTAATGATTGGGCCGCAGAGCTGTAAATAACACTCCTGCCTCCCACAAGATGACGCCCCGTAGTTTGCACCTCCATCTCCCCCGTGGGCAGCTGGTGTCTCTGACCCTCTATTGACCATGTCTTCTGCAAATGCCGTCTACACTGGAGTGTGGACCAACTGGTCCCATGGCAAGATTCGAGGCGCCACTCTGACACTCCCCCAGGAATACGCGGGACTGTTGACGGCGTTTCTTGCCATCTTTGTCTCGTTCGCGGGAACTATGATGTGGCGGATTCTCTGCTTCATCATACACCAAGCCAACACCACACAACCGTCGGAAAAGCGAGATTTCCTACACCACAGTCGCCAGGTGATCCTTCGAAACAGCGGATCAGGGACGGCAGCAGCATGGGCATTCACCACACTAGCTTGGAACGCGGGCAGAAAGGCACCGCGAGGCTTACTCCGGACTCTTCCCCTCGTACTCCTAGCACTTCTCAACGTAGCCTTGTTTGGAGTCTCGGGTGTGTTCACCTCGTATGTGACCAAAGTCCCGGGCAACACAACCATCATCCTGGGTCCCCACTGCGGTGGGGCTGTAGGAGGCCCAGGAGCGGATACGAATGGGATATATTTATCCAAGTTGTTGGAAGATACAAAACAGGCATCGGCCTATGCGAAGCAATGCTACCAGGGCAGTTCATCTTTAGCCTGCGGGACTTACGTTCGCCAAAGCCTACCTTTCACGACTCAACAAAATGCTTCCTGCCCGTTCGCAAAGGGCCTGTGCAGGTTTAATGATGAATCTGCCTTTGCAATGGATACGGGCTTGTTGGATTCGCATGATGACTTTGGAATCAACGCCCCGCCCAACAACCGAATCAAGTTTCGACGGCTTACGACCTGTGCCCCGATCTATGGTGCCGACTTTGGTAGTGACCGCGATGAGCCTGGCCTGGGTCCGGTTGTTTACATCAATGCTGGGTTGACTCCGCAGCTGGTTGAGATGGGCAATAACTGGACATTCTCCTATGTTGCTCGCTCCGCGTTTGATCGGCTACGTGCATACTCGCTGAGGTAGGGAGGCTATGCTACCGAGGACACTGCAACCGTTATCTCAATCTAACAATGGATATAGTTCTGTTTACGGACAAGCAGACCCTACCGGTGTTCTCCACAGTACTGGAGCTATGTGGTATCCCCACCCAAAACTGAATCAAACCGACTCAGATATCACCCTAATGATGCTCACGCAAAATGGTATTTACTATCGAACGCCGAGCGACGATCCCTGGATAGCAGCCCACCAGAAGCTTAACGGAAGCGACGTGTATACGGGGGACTACACGGTTAGTTTGTTGGGCTGCATCGACCAGTATCAATTCTGCAACCCCAACAGAGAGGGCGATACGGCATGCAGCAAATTGGGAGGCATAAACTCTGTGGCTCAAGACATGATGAATCGATTCGTTTACTTTAATGGGGATCAACTCGCGACAATTGAGCGGTTCTTGACGACAACGCACTTACATTCAATGCATCAAGCCGTCCAAGGCTGGGGAGGCTCAGCGCTCGACAGTCAGTTCCCTATACCTATTCCATAGCTCCCAAACCATTGAAATAAAGCTGACCCGGCCATCCCACAGTCGGCCAAAAGCTGTACAACGGACTGCAATACTCTGTCCCTCCTAACCAATGGCAAATCGAAGTCTCGAATTGGTTTGCCCTTTCCCTCGCCAAGTCACAAGCGTGGGCCATCGAATGGGCGACTGAACCCCAGAACTTCGAACGCCCCAGCGAAGGCGAGGATTCCATTTGGGAGTACAGCCCGCCCTCCACACCCGAGGCCCAATCTCAATGTAGAAATCAACTCGTCCACAACTCGGGAGACTACAAGAGCTTGTCGGTCTTGGGAATGGGCCTGATCCTGGCGCTGGGGGGCGTGATAATCCTCCTTGGCTTGTTCCTGGATGCCTGCGTGGGGTTGTTGCAGCGTGGGAAATGGGAGTACTTACGAGATCAGTGGCAGATAGAGGAGACGCTGGGATTGCATGGCGCTGCTTATCGGGCTCTAGGGGTCTCGACGAACTGGGGAGATGAAGTGCCACCCAGCTCAGTGTTTCAGGATCTCAAGTCTGCCACGGATGGCCATCATTCAGTCCCTGTGGCAGGAGCTGATCCTGAGGGGAAGTCCGATGGTGGCATAACTGTGTCGGAACGACATCAGTTGCATCGTGATACTGTTGTCTAGGCGTATTGAGAAGAGGAGCGTAAATTTGGGCTTTTTACCTACTTTTATTTTAATATTGTGTATATTGGATGCGGTCGTTCTGTTATTTCTATATCCGCAGTGGATAGGGGAAGTTTTGACTACTCAGCCTCACCGTCTCTGCTAATAATAATAATGTACTTCCAACTTGCATTAATTAAGGATCAGGTGGTCATATTTAACTGTACATTTGTCTGGTTGTCGCTAGGGAGGAAATAAGTTTAGGAAGGTAGATTGAACGGAACAGCTCCATAGTAACGGATGGACACCAGACAGCAACCAACGAACAGCGCAATAGGGAATCCTGATTAGCATATCACTAGTAAAATAAATTGATGGAGTAAAAAAGCAAAAAGAAAAAGATATGACCAGACAGGGGTTCGAACCCTGGGCCTTATCCGTGTAAAGGATACGTGATAACCAACTACACCATCCGGCCGATATCGGTGAAAGTATGGCTGATAAAAAGTCTCAATACTGGCTTGTTACACTAAGCCGAGTCAAGCCCTAACCTGGAACAGCATTCAGTCCCCGTAAGGCCATCTCGTTGTAAGCATCATTGTCTTTCCAATATAGAGCAGTGTGTCAAATACCTTTAATTATTCGTGTTCGGTCATTCATACTGTCAAACAACTCTGTATCATCTTTTTATTGGCGGCTTGATGTCTTTCAACAACGGACTGGTTAATATCTCGCTTTGCTGTGGTTAGAATAGCATACCCGAGAATAAGTGATGCTTCGGTCGAGAACATCTTAATCAATTTCCCCGTACATGAGAAGTTTCGAGCGCCTAGACTACTCAGGGTCTTTGAGTCATATTGCATTGGCTGCGCAAGAGCAAGTCCTCAGCGGAAGGGTATCTAACTGGATTCCACTTCCAACAAGGAAATGCATCTGGATTGGTGCTGTAAGATCTGGAAAGTACTAGTAGTCTTGTTACTTCCTGATCTCTCGGACCACCTCCCTTGCAAAAGAATCTGATGCTCTATCTTTCATCTTTTTTCTTTGCTTCCTTTGTTGGGCTACGGGGACTGAAACGTTCAGCAATAATAACCGGGAGAAGTCGTTTCATCCAGAATCCAACGGGAAAGGATCTGAAGAGGATATAAGTTCCACCCCTCACCCTGTTCTGGAAAACAGACCACAGTATTTTGTATTCGCCATATTCGTACATTACTGGTAGCTCTGCTATATATGCCAAAATGAAACCGAACCAGAAGCTAGAACATAATGTTGAGCCGAAGGCCGAGAGACCCGAAGAAGCTTCCCCCAGAACGAACCCGGTACGTGGAAACAGTTTCAGAGAGACTTTTCTCACAAGAACTTCAGTTGTTGCCTCTGGACAAGCTGCGCAAGACCTGGATGGAGTTCCCAGGGAGCCAAGGGATGATGAAGAATATGTGATGAAAGAATTCGAGAAACATGTTGATCACTGCACGAAACGCACTCCTAACAAACTACGTGAAGAGGGGTACGGTGATGGACACACATGTCAAAAACATGCATTCGACGTGATTCAGTACTTGTGCTGTGTCAACGGTGAGGCCAACTCTTTAACGGATCTCAGCCAAGTGAGCATCTCCACAGAGCGGAAAGCTGTATGATCTCTTCTACGTGCAATGGAGGGTGGTCTTCGTTTTGATGGAGTCTCGAAGGCCAAGATCGAGGAGACACAGAAATATATTGATGAGGTCAAAGAGAGGTGTAAGAGCAGAGCCGGGAGGCAGGATAGTGCCGCTGATCCCAAGCCAGGAGAGCAGTGGCAACTTGGGGAATAGGTTCATACTCTTTGACCATCACACAAGATATCCTTCTGTCTCTAATAATGTTAGAAGCAGCATTTATGGTTCCCATCCTCAAAAATATTCAGCAACCGTGGGATGAAACTCGGACCGATCATGCGCCTCCTAGTTCTTAACGCTCTCTGGGTTGAGCACCTTGAATTTCCTAGGGCCAATATAGTTACATCAGTGATGTCAAGGAATTAATAGCTGGATTAGGTATTAATAGGTTGGCGTGGGTTTCCTGCCCATTTAGCTAGGCTAAGCGAATTCGACCGGGGTAGTACGCGGTTCCTTAACGATATTCCTGTTGATCTGATCTCCCGGATTGTACTCCGTACTTCTTCTCTTTGGATCTCAACAAAGGTGACCCATGCGTAACAATTCAGTGCGACCAGTGGATTAGGCTCAGGATCTCTATTTACGATTGGCAAGCATTGAATAATAGGCCACCCAAATGGTTCGAGATTTAACTCTCTTTTCCTCTTTGCTGGCAATTTAGTTATTTCCCCTCTATCTTCTAGTACACTGTTCAAAGTGTTGTCTGCCTTAAAGAAAAAGAGTGCTAGATGATATTGAGCATACCACATTTCATTTTGTAGCGGCTAGTCGCTTATAGATGACAAACAAGTCCTTAGCACCGCGTGAAGTCTTTAGCACCGTGTGATTTTCTGTACGCGGTGTTCGGAGCTTTGTTGACTCTGGATGGCTAGGGGATGAGTTACCGATAGTATAAATGAGTACAATAGTTCGCTCAAGCCTTTCCTCTTTTAGAAATATCACCCTGAACTCGGTAGCCTCTAATACCTACCTATTCTTAACCTATCAGTCACCCATAGCCATGCATTGCTTTAAGATCATCCCTATTACCTTCCTTACTGCGCTCGCCACTGCAGCAGCCATCCCTTCCAGCAGTGATGTACGTGTTGTGGTATGAGCTATACACTCCAAAAAAAAGACTGTTTTCGCTAATCGAACCGTGTCCAGGAGGGCTTGAATCATTTGGAAGACCGCGACTCACAGCAGGTCGCCCGACAGGCCGTCCAGAACGCTATCACCGCTGCGCAAATGCAAGCAGAGCAAGACGCAGCTGCAGATGCCGCGGCGAGACCCGGAAGCAACATATAGTATGTCTAGTCCTTGCGACGGTGGTGATCGTCTCATTTGCTAATTGGGCCTTTCTTGAGTGGCAGTGCCCATCTCATCCTATAACTTTATTTTCCTTCTAGTAGTGAGCGGCATCTTCTCAATGGCAAGGTTCGGTCAGGTTGATAGTTTACTACGTGCTGTCCTGTCACCTAAAGGCTCGAGCATTTGGTGGTACTTTGCTGCTTCAGACCGTTAAACTTTGACTGGGACTATGCTGTACTTCATGACCAACAATGCGTTTTATGCTACATGAAGGGACATGCTCATTGGCCTCCAAATATTACAGTCACTCTAAGAGCTAGAATGAGTACTTTACTATATCAGATGATATTCCTTAACTCACACAAAACCCTCGATCCCATCCGCACAAGCCATTCACATCGCACTAAGAACTACCTGGCCAGTATCCTGAGGCCAACCGAGCATACCATGATTCCCACCATCCCCCACCACAAAGAAATCCTTCACAGTAGCATTCCCAGCCACAACCCTCTCCCACACCTCGGGAAGACACGTCCCCGGATTCAAGACATAGCACCTCGGCTCCGGCATTGGAGGAGCAATATTCTTAATATGCCAAGTATGCTTCGGCCCACTGGTCCTGAACTCCTCCGTAACAGATCGCAGGCCCGTCGGGATATCCCGATCCAATGTAGCACGCATGAAGATCTCATAAGCCGCGACCGGCTGATACGCCGGTACTTCGTGACCTGCCTGGTAGACGCGTGTGAAGCTATAATTGCCCAGTTGGCGAGTCATGCCCTTGACACCTTCGGATGTGACTAAGGGAGAATACCCGGTGTTGGCGAACTCTGCGGCGCGCGAATACGGCACTGCAAGACTGGCCTTTTCGCCGCCGACCCAGTTGCAGGCGTAGTCGCGATCGCCGTACATCATGTGCACCTTGACGCCGCTGTCAAGCAGGTGGGCTATCGAGTCGAGGAATCCGCCGCGCGTGATGCTAGGTATGTTAGTCTGTGGCTGAGTATACGGTTGAGAAAACGTGGTTGGGAATGCATACTCATAGGTCTTCTCGAACTGTTTGTGAACAACGGGGGCAGCTTCGGTGAAGTTCACAGGGACGCCGAGGGCCTGTAGCACGGACTCTTGGGTCAAGTAACCCAGCATGTCTGGACAATTCGATTGGAATTAGAACTGAAAACAGGATTGTGTTGGTGGTTGCACTTACGATGCGCTGGAAAAGGGTCATTTTTGGGATGCGAAATGTCATACCAACTGCGCTATTAACCGCAAGGTGTGGTTAGTTTTATATCGGAATAAAAGGACCTAGGCACATACGTTCAGCTCCTGGTATCGAGCAGTACCACCTCCCTCACAATCTAAATCGATGTCTTTGCATATCTCGGAGATATTCCCCTTCTCAGCAGTAGAGTCCCAGTCCTTCAACGCTGCTTGACATGCTATAGCTCTGTCGCGACAGCCCCCGGGACGTGCCCACTCGTGCATCAGTGAATCATAAAGCGACTGGTTGAAAATTTCGAGGCCATATGTCTGTTTATGTTAGCAAGTACCAGCATTAATTTTCCAGGACGCGGAGGGTCCTAGTAAGAAACATACGTTGTTATACCCGATGGTAATATAAGATTCCCCTTGGACCACAGCATCAATAAGACCATTCACAATTCCCAGGGTGTCTAGATGCAGATACTGTGCACCCTTTTCCGCGGTACCCGTCGCGATCCGTTCATTCTGTTCCTGGAAGAAACCGAAAATCGCTGGCCCGTAGTGACCTCCATAACTCTCAGTCCAGAGAGAGATGCGGTCATCGACAGGCTTGCAATGAGGAAACTCGAAGAACCAGGTTTGGGCGAAATGCCATAAAGCATGAGCGGCAAGCGCACTGCTGTTCGCGGTCTGTGATAACTCCTGACTCGCAAATGTACCAACACGATGTGTGAAGTTCGATTCAGGTATCTCTGTCGAGAAATCCCCCGGCACAATCGTAGACTCTACAGCGTTGTAATCGACGACTAAGGTGCCGTTAGTAGCGACGTCGTAGGAAAAGCCAACCTGCATGGGCTGATCGAGGAATAAGAGGTTGACCTCATTGTTCCAGCTCCAGGGGTTCAAAATCGTGGTCTTGGAGTCAGAGGCCACCGAGCAAGGGCCCAGTTCCTCGAGAAGCCCCATGAACGAGGAGCCGCCAGGACCGCCGTTGAGCCAGATGGCGAGGGGCGCGTTCTTGGGGTCCTTGCGCGCCTCGAAGAACCAGAAAAATCTATTTATGCAAGATTAGATCTCTCGGCGATCGCCAATGTCTGTGAGGGTACGACTATACGTGTTCATGGGGTAGTCCTGGCTGTCTCCTGTGTCGTCATCCAGAAAGCCGGGTGGGAGATGGACATAGCCCGAATATGACCGGACATTAGGTGTCGTTTCACATATTCCGGGCTACTAATTAGCGACTGGCTATGTATCAAATGGGATACCTACCTCCTTGAATGAGATGGATACATTCTCATGTAGCTTAGACTTGACGACGGTCACCCCCTCAGGCGTAGGGGGAAACTGCGCTGTGGCCACGCCGAGCAGGGCGCCCAGTCCCAGGCTGAGAAGCATCCTGGCGCGAAGTAATAAAAGTAATGATCTCAGTTTGTGGGCGCTACAGCTTTATGTAAAAAGAAACGAAACAAATCCAGCATATAGATAAGCTTTTGGCGATAAGCCCTAGACATTCCGGAGTCCGCCGGAGTACTTTTCAATGGCTTATTTAGTGACCATCAACCAGGCAGAAATGGCCCGGATTACATGGCTAGCGGCGCCCTAGGTATACTATAACAGCGCTAGAAGCCACCACCCACAGCGAATAAGCTCCGGCAAGACATTTAGTTGGTGGAATGTTTGAACAAAGAACTGCAGCCTCATTAGGCCACCGAATTGTCACCCTGTCGGTCTAGGCCTTCAGAATACTAATCGCTATTTCGCTTGTATGAGGCAGTACTGGATATCTATATCTGATCGATACTCCGGAGTTATACCTGGTTATATCTATCTAATATGATGCATTTCTCGTGTACCAGTTTGGTCCGAATGGGATGCTACTGGGCCATGGAAGGTCCCCAGGAGACTAGGTTTTGGAAATGAAGGGAATCACACTGCCAGAAGTACATACTCAGCTCTTCGTATATTGGCCACTATCAACTCTTATGCACTTCAGAAACGGTGGTCTTTTGAACTAGAAATGGAAATTTGAGGAGACAGAATCAGAGCACGACTTAGTGCTTAATGGTACTGTCGAGTAATACATCTCAGACATATAGAATTCTATATTTTATATCGGTATCTATACCACGCTTGAACAGACCACTAGCACTTTGAGCATGACATTAAACAATTAGAGGACACTGGCATGAACTCTGGTACTGAAACGCCTCATTTCCGAGGCTCTCTAATCATAGACGCCAGTCCAGCCGCCGCACTTATAGAATCACTTCGATCCTCAAATCCAAACTTCTCATAGACAGGCCGACCCTGAGTACTTGCATCGAGATAAGCAAGAACCCCTTCTTGGTCAGCCATTTGACAACCCCATCCAATCAGCATCCGAGCAGCGCCCATTTTCTGATAGTCAGTATGCGTACACACCATATCGAGATCTTGTATGGATGTCAGTGATTCCTGCGAGGGTTACTTCACGTAGAAAGCCAACATACAAAAGTTCTTCTTTCCCCCGACCAACCTGGCACGACCGGCCTCCATATTTCCGACAAATGCGTCGTTACGCTCATGGTTCATCTCCGGGTGCCATGCGGGAAACCGAGGCCCACGCTCTTCAGCCGTCTGTAGTGACCACTTGGCATATGCTGCAATCCGACCGTTCCTTGTATCGACAACCTTGAGATATTTCTCTAGAGGCTTGTGTAGCATGTCGTAGCGGTTGGCGTGGTCCCACCATTGTCGTACACCGGGGGTGTCCGGCCAAATGGCTAGCATCTCTGGGGTATTAAATGCGTCGTACCAGACGTCAATTAACTCTGGGATATCCTCGAGGGTTGCATGCTCGAGCCTGAGAGGGGATCCCGAGGTTGAGGTGGGTTGTGTTGTGTTCACTGTCATTCTGGAAGGCTGCCTTGTTGACTGTCGACTGGCGAGAGACAAAGACTTGTACTGCACAAGGGTTAAGTAATAGATCTCAGTAGAGTCACAACAGCCCAGTTAAGGGCCGGGGCGGACTAATGTTTAAATAAGTCTAAAGCTTGGAAGTGGGGCAGCTATGAGGCATGAAGAATTAGAAGGAAAATCATACGTGTCGAGAAATGCATGTGGCTGGGCGAGGAACGTAAATTCAAGCATCGGCGGCTCCACAATGTACAGGGTAGGCACTTTCAACAATCGGTGAGCAGTTTGTCGAGCGCGACATGTCACATATCTCAGTATTCACGTTTATCGTACACGCGATTCACTTGTCGGTCCCGTAGAGAGGACCATTACTACCCAGCATCGCTGCTGATACTCCACGAACGTGGTGATGACAGATGAGGCCATTTCCAGGTAGGGGATTGTATGAGCGTGGTCCCAGATGGAGATGAAAATAGTTGTCAGCGTTGGGCGGCCTCAATGCAAGGATTGTGTCGCTTAGAAATCATCAGAGTCGGTGAGACCCTGCAGGGTCTTAAGCGCACCTGTTACATCATTCATATGAGCGACACGAACAATGAGGCAAGATTGGCCGTGCATCTTGTTGTAAATGGTCATCCCCGGGTCTGTTGACACTACGTCTCAGGTGATGCTGGCTGACTCGCACGCCTGGCACTGCCCCTTGCGTCCTCCTGGCTGTCTGCCAGTCGTCGGTGCCTGTTGTCTCAATTATAGCTAGCTGAATTTATTCCACTATTACCAGTGGGATATTAGATATAAGGGAAATATGAATATTTGGTACTGTACAGTAGATTGGTACCCATCCAAGGCCTTTATATACAAATGTAGGCATGTAATCATGAACTCTGTCGTATTTCAGTCAACATGGCCTAGTTCGCTTTTTCGGGGGTGGATATATTGATGAAGGGGACGCGTATAGCTATTAGAAAAGTATATCCGAAATGCATGGAGCTATTCCATATCAGATGACGAAGAGAACTTGGAGTGGTAGAGCTGTAGAACAACGAGTCTAGGCTAACCACATGCGAAGTTGTGTTGACATGGTATAGATATAACTCTCAGGATCTTGCACACACTCTGCATTATGTAATTTAGGTCACTTTGGTTCGTGAGAACAGTCTGGGCGTATATAGTGGGAGGATATGCCCTGTCTAGAGTTCATATCTCAATCGCTTCCCAGTCTCCACTCAATGAACAAATTCTTCCACATCCTCTTGCAAAGATGAAGTTGTGCAGCCACACAGGAAGGCAGTGGGGCGTTGAATCCCTCGATCTGTCAAGTCACAGCTTGACATTCTAAAATAAACTATGCCGCGATCTCCAAATGGGTCCCGGGCCGTTGTGAGACTTGGCTGCTATTTTTATACATCAGTGTGGGTCGTATAGATACCATGGAGGAGGCTGATTATAGACTGATCTGACGTTCATGCAGGGAGTGCAACGTGTTTATTATTAGAGGAAGCTCCGCAGTGGCTGGGTATTTGATGATGCTTGGGTACTCCGTAGTGCGTGAGGATGAATAGGCTATATTAGCGTTGGAATAAGGATTTAATTGTTGCAGAACCGATGACGATCCGTGGACATGCGCATTTCTCAAAGAATGCAAGAGATAGGGTTGTTTGGCTTCCTAGCAGGTTATTTAGCTGGGATGATGTACCATCAGTTACATTACTAAGCGGAGTTTCCGGACATCTGAAATGGTGTACGCGTGAGACCGACTATTTATATCGATGGAACACATTCGTACGTCTTTCATAGTAGCTTCAACAAGTGCAAGGCGCAGTTTTACACTAAGAACTACCCTCCCCATAGCTGAACACGTCGAACTGATCTTAATTTCCAGCCTGGAGATTGCGGTGAAACAGACGACATGGCTGGCCTTGGTAGGAGGGAATACGGGTGCACTAGCAGAAGATCGGCTGTTGAGATTGACAGCATTCGCCGGCCAACTGTTAGCGGCGGTGGGGCGAAGGGGGACTTGTGGTTCCTGGGCTAAATTCTTTTCCTTCTCCACGCGTCTGTGTTTTTTGCTCGGAGATAATGTGATACCGTGTGGCTTGCAGAGAGCAGATGCAGCCACGGTGCAATAGGTCGGTTTGCCAGTGACCTGTACAGTGTAGATCATAGGTTCAGAGACTGTAGCAGGATCATGACAGTGCTGATCAAGCACGATGGGATGTGGTTCGACGAAGAGGAGACGCAGGACGGATACGAAGCCGCGTCTTCCGCGTGGATGTTGAGCTCCACTCTGTATCGCCGACCCAATCAGGGGTTGTTCGGCCATAAAAATAACTGTCAGCCCTAAAGTTGGTCGTTGAGCACGTACGACGCCAGTCACCCTAGACGAGGAAATTTTAGAATCATTTAACTCCAACTCGCTAGTATTTGAAGTCGCGCTATGTTTACTCACACGAGCCATGCACAATATTGCTTGCTCCCCGCTGCATCTCTCTTCCCCCTGACCCTTTTCCCGCCCCCTTAATTCACATTGGCCGAGACGCCGTCGATATGCGCATACAATCTTTGGTCGTACTGGGAACGGTCTTCTCGGGCGCTCTGGCTCACGCCGAGCCCGATGCTGAACGGTCACCGAAATGGCCTTCTACCACAACTACCCTCGTCGTGGCGCCGACACCCGCAATACTCCAAGACAACAACAATGGCCGAACAAACCGACGGCATGAACATGGCTTGCTTCTAGAAAAGCGAGATTCGACTACGGAGGATGCTGCAACTACTGCAAAAGACGCCACCAGCACGACAGAAGAACCAGCAACAACAACAGAGGCGACCACGCAGGCTGAGACCACCACTGCCCCAAAAACTACTGAGGCGACGACGACAACCGAGGATGCTACGACTACGACGGAGTCCTCTACGACCACTAGTTCGAGCACAACTAGTTCCACGACCTCAACAACCTCCACGACCTCCACTACCTCTACCACATCTACCACATCCTCCACTTCCACCACATCTTCTACCTCCCAATCTACGAGTAGCATGTCAACGACCACCACAAAGAGCACATCGACCACCGCCTCAAAGACCAGCTCAACATCCACCGCCACAAGCACGGTGAGTGCTGAAATGCGAGAATACAATCGTCGTGGACACATAGCCGCCATTATTACTTTTAGCATACTGGGTGCGATCTTCTTTGGTTATGGGTTCCTCCACTGCTACTTGGCATCGCGGAAAAAGCGCCAGATTGCAGCGAGAAACGCGGCAGCTGAGGCCGGGTCAAACCACCCGTTAGTGGCATTGAAGGAGAATGCGAAGTCCCAAACTGAAGTCAATTTTGACCGGTCGTCTATGATGTTCGCTTCTCAGTCTCCATCCCGTACGGACTTGTCTTCCGTAGTTCAACAGGGTGCCGGGACGCAGGGGTATACCCGCACGGCGCGAACGTCATCGCTGGTAGCCAGTGAGCACTATCAAAGTCCGACAGCAGGTTCCCCCTCCAGTAGGCCTCAGGGGAACTACATCTGAGAGAGAGGAGCAACACCTGAGAACCTCCAGTTTTATCAATCTGCAGATGTTCTGTTCAATATAATGTGTGATACGATACTCACGCCATGTACACTTGCACAAACAATCCCGGATTAGCGATGTACTATTATATCCAATTTTCTTCCTAGTCTGATCTTCTCGTTTTCTTTTATCTCTCGCATGATCCTTTGTCTTCAAGGACTCGAGTTATTGGCGACCGGGATATCTCCTGTATGTAGTTTTACCCCCATCAGAACTGAAAATGCAATCGACTGCGCGAACATTTATGAAACGATTGAGCTCCTCGTTATTTTTCCAGATTCTTTTGCCCGCATCAAAACTACCCCTACCGGAGCCCTCACGCTGAAACCCTACGCTCTCATACAACTGAATCAGATAGTCTGGTAACGGGAGACAAACATGAAGGCAGTTCTAACAACAAGCCGAGTACCTCTTCCCCTCGTAGACACAACACGCCGGTACAAATACAAACTTCAATCCATATATAGCTACTCTACCCGACTATCTGAGTCTTAAACCCTCATGCTCTCTGGTGGTCCCAGAGCAGAAGCCGCATAACCACCCATATCAACGACAACCTTCTGCAAAACGACCCCCGGTTCAAGAAGCCAGAGAGCCAGTTCATGCTCTCCAACCACAACTACACCATCAAGTTCAATCACCGATGTCCACCCGTTTTCCATGACCGCTGTTGCCCATGCTTGCTCTTCCTTATACAGCAGTACGGACGACACAGGCCGGACCGTCACGGGCGTAGCCCCATCTAGTGAATACGCAAACTGGATCCAGCGGGTTGGGTCATGGTTGTGTGAGGCACCCAGGCTCACGATCAGTCTCGCGCTCGCGGAGGAGGTTGTGGTGAAAAGAGAGTATCGTAACGCGGGCCCCGTGCTGGGGTCCTGTGTGCCAATAGTCACGGGCCATGGCTTTACCGCTGAGATTGTCCGTCCGTAATGTGGGATGTTGACGTAAGAGACGTCGTTGCTTGTCTCTGCGATATTGTAGTGGCTGGCTTCAATAGATATAACGCCGTTCGACTCGACGAAGCCGGTGAAAGTGGATGGCACGGTGGTTTTGTTGAGTGGGAGGATGAGAGTTGCAACTGATGTCTTGCTGGAGCGGACGGTTAGCTCAACGTAGGATAGACCAGGGCTCACGGAGTTCCAATCAACTGTGATCATGCTCCGCGCGTCTGAGGTATTCCTGGACGCTGATAGAGAGCCCTCGTTGTTTGAGACCGTTACGTAGGATGCGTTGGACGAGATCGAGTATGGGAACGTCTGGTTTTGTCTTGCAAAGATGTCAATATACCGAGTCTCATTAGGTGGCATATAGGGATCCATGGAGAGCAGAACCAGTCGGTCAGACTCCGGGTACGTTGTGCTGTAGTGTTGGATGGCAACTCCCATGGCCTCGTTGCGCTCTGGTACTCCCGTGTAATTCAGGGCAGGCATAACATTGGTGTTATTGGCAGGGTCATCCCAGGAAGTGTAGCCGATATGAACCTGGTTCATGACGGGACTCCACTTGCCTCCCTCCAGGTCGTGATATCGCTGTGTGATTTCGTCGTCCTCGGCAAAGAGATCGTGTACCTCTTGGGCGAGGTAGTTCGCACTGATGCGGCCCTGCTGGTAGTATAGCCCATTCAACGCAGCCTTGGTATAGAGATCCACGACGGTCTTGCCAGCCAACACCGGATGGAGAACCATCTCGAAGAACGGGGTTCGAGTGGGAGCATCTAAAGAAGAGTACACGCTCTGCGCTTGGACCAGGAGGTTTTCCCATTGAGCCAGATTAGTCTCCGCCTCGTCATAGTCAGTAGTGCTAAATGCGAAAGGCAGACGACTGAGGAGTTCGTATTTGCGGCGTGCGACAAGTATCCCATATTGGTTTAATATGTCTGCTGTTCGGTCAGCTACCTGCTCGTTGACCTCTCGGGCGGCCCATTGCTTGAGCCAGGCAGAGGTGGATTCTGTGTTGTCAAAGCGATCCATGTCGTACGCCATGTCCATGAAATGTGTCAGAGGGACTTCAAGACCCTTTATGTCTCCGACGTTTGCAATCCATATCTGCCGAGCATTCTTATGGTAGGCGAGATGCATCTGCTCCCATGTCTTGACGAGCTGGATTGTATTGATCCACTTGTAACTGCGTGGGCTGCCGACGTAATCGAAATGGTAGTACACGCCTGCTCCGGCCGCACGATCGGTCTCATTTGCGAGGGGAATTCGAATCAGATTACCGGAGTTATCATCGGTCCAGAGGAGTGTGACAGAGTCGGGAACTTTCATGCCCGCCGCGTAGTAGTCACTGACCTCCTTTATGTAGATCGTTAGTTGCATGGCGCAATTCCATGTATTGACGAACTCACCTTGTAGAGCACCCAAGTCTGCGGAATGCTGAGAGGGTCACTCGTGTTAAAGGCATCTAGTAGCAGAGCCTGTTGAACCCCGATCAGTTCCTCCAGATCATCGGCAGTCAAGGTAGGAGATGCCGCATCTCCTTCTCCTCGCATACCCATCGTCCACATTGTGTCCCAATCTTTGGCCCGGTCAATCCCTTCCTGGAAAAAGGTCTTGATATTGGCCTGATTGTCGCCCCAGTCCCATTCCCCCTCCAGGTATGTTTTCTGCTCTTGCTCGGATCGAGCCATGGGCTCATGGTGGCTCGTCCCCATAATTACTCCATACTCATGCGCAATTGCACCGTTCTCAGCGTCGTCGACGTAGAACATCTTGCCCCACATGGCGGGCCAGAGGTAGTTTCCCTTGAGGCGGAGACATAGCTCAAACACGTGTCGGTAGAAGTCGCTATTGAATTTATCGCCAAAGTTCTCGCTTACCCAGCCTGACAGCGCTGGCGACTCGTCGTTGATGAAGAATCCACGATATTTGACCGATGGCGATTTCTGAACCTTTCCCTCAGGAGACACCCAAATCCCTGGTTTAGTCTTCACGGGGACATCTGCCCACCAATACCAAGGTGAGATACCCATCTGCTCTGAGATGTCATAGAGACCGTAGATCGTTCCTCGGCGGTCACTGCCTGCTACTGCTAGTGCCCAGGTAACATTATCAAATGGATTATGCACGATCTGGGACGTGTATGATTCCCATTTGCCTTGAACCTGAGATATATCTAGCTTACCATCGGACACAAGGCTATCTATCAGCGACGAGTGTCCTACTGTCCCTGCAATAATTACAGGCTCTCCAGCAGCGGGGTCGGGGCCATCAGTGTCCACGATTGAAACCGTGCCGTTCACGCCGAGCACACGTCCAAAATCCTGGGCGAGATCCCGTGCTGCTCTCGCGACCCCAATAAGATCATCCTCGCCGGTCCATATGGCCGGGGCAGTTGATTGATCCGCGAGCTTGAACTCACTTCCACCGGACGTGAACAGGAGATATGCGTGGACCCTAGGAAGCAGAGCCAGCAATACGACCGGAATTGTGGAAACTAGCTTCATAGTCTCTCATAGAGTGACTTCCTCAGCCATACGGGGTTTTAACAGAAATGACGATGACTAGTCCTCTGGCCTTCATCTATATTGTGTTTTTTATGTACCCCTTAAAGTAAGATGATTCCGGCTAATTCCTCTGACGAAGCGTGTATTCAGGCTGATAATGCCCTCCGCGGAAATTTGTTTCAAACGTCTGCCGAAAAGTCCCATCAATCTTGCTTACCATCCTGTCCCTTTCCAATTACCCAGCTGTTGGCGTCCGCAACCCAGCCAAACACCGATGGTTGGAAGTCGGCTATTGATGACAATTGCCGTTATTTTAGAAGCAAGACGGTTACTTCTGAACCTTCTTCAGACTTCCCCACATTCAGGCTGATTAGAGGGAGGATTAACCTGAACATTTGGATCTCTAATCGAAAGGTTTGCTTAACCTTCACGGATAAATCATTACAGAAGATATCATCCACCAAAGGAATTCCTCCAGCTTTCAAGTGACGGCAGTCAAGGATCATATTCCATGCCATGGGCATATTCTTTTATATTCCGCGCACTTTCAGATCTTGAGTATCAACTACGTCCAGTAAGATGTGGTGGCTTCCCTTAGCTAACATACTAGGCGCGCTAGGTTTGTCATTGGATTTATATATCACTTTTCGTTTGACTGAATATACCTTTGTTCGAGATGCCGGCCAGTGCGAAATAGCTCGAGTGGCAGTTGGCTTGTCCTGTCTACCCTGGACTCTCCCAAACGACGATCAACTATCTTCCTGTTGGCTTTCCTGATACCATCGTCGCCAGTCACAAGGTTGAATGCGCCGTCGACTCTCGAGTCATGGATCTGAGGCCCTACGCGGTACCATCGCCAAGCGGGCCGTAAAAGCTACCTTGAAATTCCGGCTATATGTTGAGTGTACTGAAAAGTTGGTTCAGTCTACATCGCATACATGTGAGATGATAATATCGCACTCTGGTATCAGGATGTCGACTGGGCCATAACGTTGGGCGCAACACCCCGTCTTTTGACCTCGGCAATCCCACCATGACCCTTGTCAGTGTCCCGCGACCATCCTAGCCCCAACCTCGGGCAACCTACCTAGAGCACCGCTAGCTGGGTAAACAAGTACAGACGGGGCACTAAGACACTAGCTCTACTTACATGTGGCTTCTGTTAGCACACGACGCCCAGGCGACATGTACACACCACGCCATTCTCTTGCTACTTAATCCCTGAAACTTGAGTGAACATGACCAACGGACACGTCTTAGATTACAAAATCTCTGGAAATATTTGGCTGTAAACGGCATATGCCAGTCAATATCCCGCTGTTGACAGAAACCTTCCACCTTCACTGTTTTCCCTTGCATGTCTTGATGCCTCCAGTTTCATATCGGAACATTCCAGCACATCATCCTCCATCAATGTCCAAAGAGCATTCAGCCCGACTGAACTTCTTACATGCCAAAGGTAACTGCGCCAAGTACATTCGGCTTGGACCAAGTCTTCCTTCTCATCTCCTTGTTAGACAGCTTGAGGGGACGGTCGTCTCTCACAACCTTCGGACGTGGCATGTCCTGATCTTGTGCTGCCGACTCATTGGATTGGTTGATTGGCCGTGACGGTAGACTATGGGTGTCTATTTCTTTTGAGGAACGGAAGCACATTGTAGAAGCGACGGTGGATATAGGGTAATAAGAGCGAAAGGTTGCTTTCTCGGGACTTGGTCGCTTTGGTATCGTAGGCACGAATCAAGTTCTTGTTTGGCAAAAGTGTAAGTCTCTCAGTAAAGACAGCAGTGGTTTGTTCGGGACTGTGACTATATATTGAGATTGGCTATATCAGACGAATTTATACTTACAACACTTTTAGTACATTGCTTTACGTCATTCGGCCATTGGGGCATCCAGTGTCCTTGTATCCAAATCATTGGCCGGCCAAATTATGTACAATGCATTCCCAAACCAGCATCATGAGTATGAGCAGCGAATTAAGGCGATCGATACTGTGGGCCTGGTGCCCGGAAATGGGGCAGAAGACAAGCATTAGGCTTGGCAATACGACCTATATCCGTCAAAATCTCTAGCTGTTATGTTAGAAGCAACTGACCCGAGGGACGGCACGGCACTACGTCAAGGAATAGCCTTGTCACACCAATACACGCCCGGCAAAATCGAAGCTTGTATGCCCGATCCGATTTCGTACGAAAAGTACCTCAAGGGAAGCGTTCATAGTCACATGCTGCCTCTAACGTGGCCATCTCTGATTGTGGTCTTTCCCCACATCGAAGACTCTGTCCTGGCATAGAGTCGCAGAGATCCGCACACTTGAGACAGTACGAGTTGCGGAGCGAAATATCACAGTGAAGGACGCCAATTGAATGGAAAGCGGTTAACCCCTCAGCCGCTTGTTTGGACCAGCGAAGACGATGTTCGGTGGTCACACTTTGGCCGTACTGCTGTATATACCCTCCAACATCTCCGTTACCCATATACTCCAGTGTTAGGCAACATGTCTCCGAGTGCCTGAAAGAACGGCACTGGACTCGTGAGTGCATGGACCTGTTTGTACGCAATCCGCTCACCGCTTAATGGTCCGTCCCTATAAAGCACCTGGGAGTGACACCTGACGTTCTGGTATGTTCATCTCTTTCGACATCAAGACCAATGAGCATGTCATTGATTGACTTGCCCCAGATACACCGTAATGACTTCATATGAAAATTTAATGGAAACTCCTGGATAATCTCAAACACGCTTTTGCTTACTCGTTCGTCGTCGTCACCCCCGGCAAACATACCAACCGACCAAGCATACTGGAGCGACAGCGAAGGTGGGCACTTCGCTCTCTCCACGATACCTCGGCCTCTTCCAGATTCCAAGCCCCTCCCAGAAAGCTCCTCTTCTATCTCAAGAGTCCACACAGTCGACAATCAAGCGGCCGTTTGGCGAGCAGGCGAAGCCTTCATTAAAGCGCCTCGCATGGACTACCCTCATGTCACTAGAGAACATGTTACCCTACAGTTTCTCAAAGACCAACGGTCCCAGGGTTTTGCATATCCAGACGTATACTCTTATTTCGAAACTGGCTCTCGATATTTCCTCATCATGTCGAGGATTCCTGGCCAGCTACTTGAGGAGGCTTGTCCTACTTTGGACGAGACTCTTTGCTAGTATTACATCAGAAAGGTGGCAGATGTTTGCAACACCTTGGCAGCATGGAAGGGCGATAGCATTAGTGGCGTGGACGGACACCAGCTGTTGGAGCGTTATCTCGTCAGAGGCAATAGCAAGATGGCGGATGCCCTATCTCCACAGCAGCTTGATGCTTAGCGAAGCTATTTAGATGGTTACTCATCAATACTTGGAGGTTAAGCAGACCTCTTACTTAACAAATACTGACAAAGTAGTATGACTTGGGAGACGAAGCATGCAACGGATCAGTCACTAATTACCAAGTTAAGATTTTGAGGAGTAACAATGGAACTTTGCTAGGGATAGTGCACATTCAAAATCTCTGATCGATCACTATGACCTTCACCCTTATATATTTTTTCAACACACTATTCTCTTCTCCTCTTTCCCAATCCTGTATTCTGGGTCTACTTCTATAAGTCGAAGAACCTCTCTCTTTCGCGGTTTATTTACGTTTTAAATTGATTGACTAACTGTTTATTGTGAAATCGTGGACTATGACAGCATGGAAGATTATCCTTGCTCATTTAGCGGCACAGCATGAAGATACCCCGGTCCAACGTTTTCATTTCAGTCGTACGATTCTAACTCCTGGGTCCTGTTTACGCTGCACTTAGCAATGATTCCTATTCCAACAAAGACATCCCGTCCATTATGCTACAGATCTTTGTAGAGGTTCTGCCACATGAAGCAATCCAAATATAGGAACTAGGCGGATCCTCTTGGCGTCAGGTTTGTACTTTGCGCATCTAGGTCTCCGGACAACCGGTTTGTCTTCCTATGTTATCCGGGCCATGAGACCTCATGACTCGGATGCACTTCAACAGGCCGAAAAAACGGGCTAGCTGAACAGAGTAGTGGAGATGTTTGAGATAACCCCTGGCACCTTCCCGCTTATTGGAGGAACCACGAACCAGTCGATGAGGGTTCGTATTCGGCAATTCTAGCCCACAGGCCAAGGGAAAAGAGAATTGGCACAGGTGCAGTAGGGTATCATTGCAGAGGATATTTGGTGTGATTTGCACGCAGTCGCGAAACAAGACCAATAGATATCCATGATATGTCTCAGATATCTGATTTGAAGTCCACTATTGCCGTGAAGAGCTGAGCTGAGATTTTAGTCTTCCGCTCTCCACTTTTACGATCCCCGATTGAGGTTATAAACTGAACTCTGGGGCCGAAAAGATCGACCTTTCGTTCACCTGTCCATCTTGCTTGAAACTGCATTTCGTTGTCCCAAGTAAGGCCCAAAATGCTTGTCGGGGTAGCTTTCCTCTTCCTGGGAGCAGTCGCTGCCAACCCAGGTTTGTCCAGCCATTATCCTTAACCCATAGAGATGCTAACCGTCAGTTACAGTCATACCCAGGGAGGATGGTAGTTCTACTCCAACTCCCACTCCAACGATTTCAAGTAGTGTACCTGCATCTGGCCCATCCGATGCATGCGCCGCCTCGTCAACAAGTAGCCAGTGGCTAAGCACATGCAATACCACTATCTTCTGGCCGACATCAACCAACTACTACTACGGCCCAACCACCGGTCCCGAGGCCTCGGCAGTCTCCTGCAACGCCGAATGGGTCGAATACGACGGACGCGCCAGCGGTTTGGAATCCCTCGGCGCAACGTCCACGTCCACCATCTACAGCACCTATGTCACCAGCACGGGAGCCTGCAACACCCAGATCTGGGGCGAAGGCTGGGACGACCCTCACGCGGGCCCAGTCACCACGCTGTGTGACGGGATTCCCCGTGCCCTTGGTCCTCGAGAGTACTCGACGACATATTGGCCCGGTACGGGGCCCTGCAGCTCCTTCATCGCGACCGAAACCACCACGACCCTCGTCTATCGATCCCCCTCACCGACCCCCAGCTGCTCGCTGAACTCCCAAGACTGCATCCCCATCTGGCAAACCTACAGCAGCCTCCGCCAGGCCTACTCCGACTCCGTGACAACTTCCCTCCCCGGTGACACCAACAGTCCCATCCGCCCAGGAAGCTGCCCATCCACCACGAGAAACTACACCGAGAAGGACCCCTGCACGAACTGCCACTACCTGCCCGGCACCGCGACGCTCTTCTACTGGCCCGTAACCACCACCAACGGCGACCTCTGTCTGCAGAACGGAAGCACCGTCCCAGCCACCCCGACGGGCGAAGGCCCCAACACCGCGGTGGTCAACGGCCACACCTTCGTCTCGCCCAGCATCTACGTCTCCTTCACCAGCATCTACGCCCGCAGCAACCAGCGCGCCCACCCCGGCGGCTCCTGCGGCGGCGAATACGAAGACGTCATCATCTCCGTCGATCCCGCCGCCGTGTCCTCCTACCGCAGCCACATCAACGCCAAATACCCCACCATCGGCACCGCGTACCCCTTCGAGTACGACGAGTTCCAGCCGCACACGGTCGGCAATTATACCATGCCCTTGATCCCCTGGGAGAAGTACCAGGGCGCCTCGCAGTGTCCCTTCCGCGGCGGCAACAAGTGTACCATGATCCGTGATGACTATATGCCCTGGATGGGCATCCCGGAGGGCGTGATGACCCAGATCGATCCCCGATGGACCGAATGTGATCGCAGGTGGTATATCCCTCCCGTCAGCATGGTGCCTCTCGTGGGCGATCTGGAGTCCCTGCCCACTGGCGTCGCCGAGGCCAGCGTCCCGACGCCGACGCCGGCGGTGCCCGAGTCGGGGGTTGCTGCGCCTACACCGGAGGCTACGGTGTGGTAGTTGTGTACATACCGTCCGTTCCATAGTTATACATGACATTCCCAATACGATGAGCAACACAGTATATAGCACTACCATAAATAAATTAACCCATATATTAAACCTATCCCACACATACACCCCAATACCAACCCCCCCCCCCAAGAGCCCAAACTCAAGAGGTCAACCACCTCTCCACCCTCTTCGTCAACGCCACACACTTATTATCCACGTAGATCGTATAATAATGCGCCGCATACAGCACCACCGTACCCAGGATAATCCCCGAAGCCCACCACGCCACATGAAACGACATGGGATCGTTCGCGGTCGCCTCCACACTGCCCGGGTAGGGGCTCCCATTCGCCAGCAACCAGAGCCAGTTCCGCAGCGGATCGCGCAACAGATGGTACACGGCCTGGTGCACCAGGTACAGCGAGAAGGAGATCTTGCCGAGATACTGCACGGGCCGGGTGTTGAACGGGCGCTGCAGGAGCGGAGATTCGCCGATCGCGTAGACGGTCAGGGCGGCGCCGACGGATTTCCAGCACCAGTGGATGATCTGCCAGTTGTCTTTCCATTTGGCGGGTTGGAAGACGGATAGGAATTCGTAGCCGGGGGTGAGGTGGCCGTCGTCGCCCAGGCAGAGGAGGTGGTAGCCGAGCAGGAAAGAGAGGATGGTTGTTATCCGGGAGAGGGTGAAGTTCTTGCGGTTGAGTAGGCGCTCTTTCCAGTTGGAGGGGGAGAATGGGAATAGGGGCAGTTTTTCTTCCTCGTCGTCCGTGGGTTGAGTTGGGCTGTTCCCGGTGGTGGCTGCTGCGCGTTCAGCGAGCCAGAGGCCCCAGATGAAGCCGAAGATGTCCCAGATGCCGTACCAGAGGAAGTATAGTGCTAGCGCGGGCAGGAACCAGAGTCGGAGCTTTGGGCGCCAGGCGGATAGCGCCATTAGCAGCAGGAAGATGACGTTGGATCCCCGGAATTCGACGGGCATGGTCCACAGCTGGCCGTTGAAACCTCCGTTGTACTCGAAGGCGATGATGTTCAGGCTATCGGTCATGTAGAGAAAGAGCCACTTGATGTGGGCCCAGGGTGCCGTCCAGGGTTCGAGGCCCTTTAAGAGCCCCTCGTCGAAGGTCCAGTTATAGAGATTGAAGAAAAATAGCAACTGACTGATCGTCGCCATGACCAGCACAGGTAGATAAATTCGAAAGGGTCTCCGGAGCACGGCGGAGGAAATCCGTGTGTAGTATTGCTGACTGGGTCGGGCTTTGAGGATATTAATGGAGATCGCATAACCCGAGATCACCATGAATAGCGTCACCATCGCATGGGCGGAAAAGAGGATGCGAATGGGAGGCAGTTGCACGAAGCGATGATTATCCTGCTCCGGGCCCCCCCAGAAGGAGAGGAATGGGTGCCAGACTTCTCCCATGAAATAGTGGTCGAATGCCACGATCGCGGCGGCGATGCCGCGCAGGCCGTCCAGCCATTTAGTGCGCTCCATGCCAGCGAGAGGGAAATCAGGTTTCCTTCGCAGTGCGCTGAACAAGTGGTGGATTTACGAGGATCCCCGGACAAGCTTACATAGACATGATTCCAAAGAGTGAGTGAGATTCAGCAGGGACCAGGGTCCAAATGACGGGCGAGGGTTAAATGTCACTCCGTGAGGCTGAAAAAGAAGGCGACGAATGGGTCCAGGGGAAAGTCTGGATTTAGTCTCCTTTTTTTAGATTTCGCCCCAACCTTGCAGAATCAGTCTCGTAAATTGTCATGGCACCAATAACCACTAGTCCTCGCGCCAGACTATCTCCGGAGGAACCAATCCCAGAATAATTGGGACTAATTCCAGAGCGCTAGGCGTCTTATGGATCGTTTCACTGCCTCCGATTGCCCACTGTTGAATTTCCCATTTCAGGCAAATTAGGGCTAAGTGGCGCTGCAGCCAATGATTTGTGATACATCGGATCCACCGGCTGCATCTCTCGTATCCGTGATGGCCGGCGGAACACGCGCTGGGTGACAGTCACCAAAGGACAATGCCAAGTAGCAAGTGCCGAATGCCAGGACCATGGACAATCTCTCCACAGATTGAGATGGGATCTCCAGGAATGCGGCTCTGGCGCAGATCGCATCCAAAGGCGAATATCTTCGCTGCTGAAGGATTTTCTCCGCCCCACTCTGCAGACACCCGGCCAATCACATCCCCATTCACAGTGCATATCCACTACTCTTGGACAGAGTAGTGGTCATATTGATCCCTGTTCGTAGAGTACAAACGAGCTTTGCAAAGATGGCCATGGTTCTCTGAGTACATATCTATACGGAGTACAGTTGCATCAACTTACCCTCATAAAATGTCCGTTGCATGGACATGCAAGGGCGGCGATCCCAAAGAGCTATCCTTACCCGATGCGGTATATATATCGACCATCCATGATCGTGATGCATGAGAACATGCAAAGCGCTAAAGACGCGGCGTTACATTCAACCCCGCCACAATCACATGGAGTCTGCATCAAAGAAACAAAACCCGTTCACCTGGCCCTTTCTCCCTCCCATCTCCAGAGGACTCAAAAAATGTCACTGCAAGTTCCCCGGGAACCGCTCCTCACCCTCCTCTTCCAGGTATGGAAGAAGCACCCTACCAAAACCATCATCCGAGATCTGGCCGACGGATATGAAACTACCGTGGAAGAGTTCTTGAACGACGTACTGGTCACTCGGGAGCGGATCCTCGAGTCGCTTGACCCAGATGTCAAAGCCCGCCTCAGGAGCGCGGATACGGATGTTTTCGTCGGGGTCCTAGTTGGCCCAGGGCATGAATTTGCCGTCCTGGCCTTCGCCCTCTATAGTATCGGTGCTGTCATTGTTCCGCTGTGTAAGCTATTTCCTTCGAATTGCCCATCCAGCGATATCATTCCGAATACTTATGTGAATCCATTAGCACCGGCGCTCCACCCCGACGAAGGGAAATACTTCTTGGGGCTATGCAACGCGGCACTTATAATCACGGTGCCGACGACGAAGAGCAAAGCCGAGGCCATCTCCGACCTCACCGGCATTCCAGCCCTCGATGTCAACGTGACAGACTCAGTTAGGCCGGACACTCTTGACTTCGCATTGCAGCCGGAAGGAGAGCCCCTGATCGACGCGGGCAAGGGCTTCGTGCTTCTCTACACGTCCGGAACTACCGGTACCCCCAAGGGGGTCCTTCACACGCGACGAGGAGCCGAAACAGCCTATGTTACCAGCATTGAATTGTTCAGCTTGGGCCCAAGTGACACCTGGGCACATTATTCTCCGGTTCACTGGGCAGCTGGATGGCTATTCCTCTTTCATACTATTCTGGCCGGCGCCTGTCTTGAATTTTGTAGCTCCGTGTTTAGTCCAGATTGGCTGTTAGAACGGTGGGAAGAGAAGGCCGGGCCGGAGGATGGCCTAACAGTTGTGTTCATGGTTCCGTCGGGGCTTCAAGCCGTCGGTGCGAAGCTAGAGGCGATTCGGAGGGAAGGCCCACCTGGGAGGTATGACCGTATTCTTCAGGGCCTGAGGGGAACGCGAGTGATCGCCTCGGGGGGTGCGAGGGTGACGCCGGAATTAAGGGATGAGTGGATGGAGCTGCGCGGCGGGAGGCCGTTGATGGTGGCATATGGGATGTCGGAGGTTTTGATGTTCATCGCTGCTGCTGACTGGGACTCGAATGCGGTTCTCCCGGTGGTAAGATGATACGTCCTTGGAGCGTGATGTCGAGGTTAGTTTGGCTGACCCTAAGAAATTAGGACTGCTGTGGTCGGATCTGTAGCCATGTTGACATGAAAATCAACGAGGCCGGCGAGATATGCCTCAAAACTCCCCCCGTATTCAAAAGGTGACAGAATCTATCCTATCCAGATTTCAAATGACTGACACCCCACATCGAAGGTATATATCGGAAAATCCAACGGTAATGAACGGTATTTTCGATGCCGACGGATACTGGAGAACCGGAGATATGGGTAAGCTGGAGGGGGACTTGGTCTACGTCTTTGGTCGGGCGTCTCAGGACAGTAAGTGAGGCTTTATTGTTATATGCGTTGTCCATGGATTGATAGTTGTAGTTATTCGATTTTCAGGGTGGAAGGTCCTGGCACCGGAAGTCGAAAGCGAGCTGGCTAAACACCCACTTGTATCAGAGGCGATCGTCTTTGGCATCCAGGATACCTCTGCCGGCCAGCTCGTTGCTGCGCTCGTGGTCATAGGTGGTGATGATTCCGACAAGACTAGCCTAGATCTTCCATCAGTACGCAGGTGGTTGGCAGTCGAGAGACGGATGAATGCATACAAGTTGCCAACGGTCCTACGAGTGGTTAGGAAGAATCAAGCGCTGCCTATGACGCTGTCGGGAAAATTCATCAAGCGAAAGATCCGAGATATCTTCTTCAGTCAAGAAGAACTCGACAGCGGTCGGGTCCAGGTGCATGACCTTTCGACTCAGGAACCAGACATCGGCAACCGGCCATTTGACTGGGCAGGAATTCAGGCCAAATGAGAATAGCTATTGATATTAGTATGCAATTAGAGATCGAAATATAGATAGTATAGAGTGACAGCAACTGTTCAGTAGCTCATTTGCACCCATGGAACGGATAACCCAGCCGAATATAACCGCGAGACATCACACCTAGTGATATAACGCTTAACTCCGACCAAAGTAGAAAGAAAGAAAGAAGAACACTACATTGTAAAGGCCCGTAGATAATGCAGAAGGGGTTGAATGAAATATCAACGACCGGACAACGCTTTAGTCATGCTCCTTTGCTCGTCGTCCATATCTATGGCCCATGCCATGACCCCTCGTAGTCCTTTCCTGCTGGCATAGTCAACCTTGAGCTTAATTGTCTGGGGATCATCGTATCTAGAGCATCACGACCAGAGCATTAATCAAAATCCCAGCAAAGGAATGGAATCACTCACGAGACCCAATTGTCCCTGCCCCATGTTAGGTGCTGGACAGAGCCAGCCTGGTCAAACACCGGCTTTGCACCGCCAGATATCACATCATTGATCTCTGTTCCAAGTAGCATCGTTAGAATGGTGAACCCGCAGTCAAATATTATCACATACCCGTGTGAGACAAATAGCCTGCAGTCTTGACGCATCGCCCCTCAGCCCCCGGACCAGTAAATGTACAACCAGGTTGCGTGCAACTGCCACTGGCCATTTTTACGCTGCGACCGTAGAAGGCGGTCCCCAAGACAAGTTTAATTGGTGCTACTCCAGCCTTGAGGTAATTCTCGACCCCTTTGTTGACGTCGGTCAAGTTCGTATGCCCGGCGGCCTTTTTGTCGCTCTCCCATGTACCGTGGATATCATACGCCATGACGTTGATCCAATCAACAGCCTCAGAGGCTACCTTGAGATCATAGTTCTGCAGGTAATAAGAGGCCAGTGGTGCCGCGAACGTCATAACGTATTTGCTTTGGAACACATGTCGCATCTCCTGCAGAAGCTTCGCGAAATTCTCCTTGTCAGTTGGGCGGCCACCTCTGTCCTCGGCACCAGGGTATTCCCAATCGAGGTCCACACCATCGAAGTTGTATTGAGTCAGAAAGCTAAGCAGGTTCGTGATGAATGCTTGGCGATTGGCAGGTGAGGATACCATGGTAGTGAATACCTCGCGGTATGGGCCGGGGTCAGTATGTGTCCAGCCCTAGAAGATTGTCAGCAAGGAGCATGGTCGTTCAAAGGGGACCCTACCCCAAGAGCCACGAGAACCTTCAGGTTGGGGTTCTTCTTTTTGACATCCGTGACCTCGTTAAACAAACCTTCTTCGGTATCCGGCATGGGCAGGACTTTATAGGTATCCGGCGCGACAAATCCAAATGAGAAGATGAGATGCGTGAGCGAGTCAACAGGGATCTCCTCCGGCTTCATGGTGGCACAGGCCTTGCCCATATTCCATCCCTGCCAGTAACCCGCGATGACCTTACCGGTGCTGTCTCCTGAGTTGCCCGGTGTTGGTTGGGCGATTGGGGGACTACTCGGCGAAGTACTGGGCACGGTTGTCGGCTGTACTGTCGGTTGGGAAATCAGCAGGGAGCTTGACTTTGTGCATGACCCTTCGCTTGAGGACCTAGGGGTTAGTGTGGTTTGCTGTTGGCCACGCTGAGAAGTACTCGGCTGATGCCCTAATGTATCCTTTGGCGGAGCGCAATTTGATTGGCATCCTGTGCCACAGTACTCACTAGTGGTACCGCAGAAGCCCCATTTACTATGTCCCTAGGGTTAATCATATGCATGGCAAGGACAAGTCTCTGCACATACGAGCAGCAGGCATTGCCAGGGCAGGAAGCACCTGGTGCAGCAGCGTCCGCGCCGCACTCAGCCACACTGCGGCCGATAGAGCGACCAAAGCGAAGTCGATGACGCAGGGCTTTGCCACGGATATTATGTATCATGGGGTTGCCAGCAACCTCTAGTACCCCCTGGAGTGCAAAGAAAGTGATCAAACATTGTAGAAGGAACGGCATGGCCGAAGAATGGCCTCTTCAAAGAATGCAAGAAGTGAATGTTTCCCCGGAAGTCGCAGACTATCAAAGGGCTTGGGGGAGAGAATTCAGGGCTGGGGTAGACAGCGACTAATATACTTTGACGCGCTCTAGTCTATAAACCACCGCAGGCAGAACATGTTCTGTACCACTAGCCGTATATTGTCACCCCTTCATTTCGGGCTGCTGATGAGGCCGTACGAGCATTCAGCTGGTGCGGTAGCACACAATCGAGGCGACCTATTTAGCCTGGATTTTGCGATTGAGCAAAGGTATCAAGTGTCTCGTGTCGCTATCGGCCCGGTGACTCCTGGTATTACCACGAATGGCAAATATGCTCGTGAGACTATTGACCAGACAGTCAGCATTATTTTCATTCGACATCCAGGTTCTAACATCACCGACAGTAGGAAGATCTCTTGCATCATGCAATTATGGTAGTCACAGCCACCACGTATACTACGGGAGGGGAATGATCCATACACGTGGAGTCAAAGAGATTAAAGGGCGGATCGTGTAACAACGGGATCGACAGGACCGTTGATAGTCCCAGAGAGACAAAGAGAAGACGAGATATGTGTCTCGTTAGTCGGTTGCACGAAGCGGCGCCTCACTCGACACGTACAATTCGAATGTCCTCTCGGCATTTGGCCTATACTGTCTAGGTTAGCGCCCTCGTCTTCCGTATGAGCCACCCGAATGCCTAGACGCGTGCCTGGAAATTGTGAGATCCTTGAAAACGCCCCAATATATGGTTACACCACCTTGACACTGACCCCAGCAGCCGGCGGTGCATGAGCGTGAGTGCATACTTGAGCCACCAAAGGCGAAGGTCAGATGTACAGGTCATCATTGTCCATGTCAAGGGGAAGGAAGAGGAAGAAAAGCCGCAGGTGAACGGTAGCCCATTGTGGCTATGAGTTTCGTTTAGAGGCCTATGTTGATTCATAATGAAGACTTAGCGCGGGTCATCTGGTTCTATCAAAATCGAGTAAGCCTTTTGAAATGGAAATATAAATATGTCAACTACAGGTCAGCGCTGTCCGCTTACGTGCTTTCGGTTGCGGGCTGACCATCTTTAGGAAAGGGTTGGGTTTCTCGTGCAGATTGCTACCGTGGATAGAACGGTGCAAGAAAGGTCACTCGGTACCACAGGACTATCGGCTACATCCTCTGCGGCACCTGGAAGTTCGCTGGATCGTAGCCAGAAGCATGGCGATCAACACGAAGTAACAATCTCGAGACCTCAGGACCTGAGCCAGTACACGGCAATGGGTAATTGATACATGCACCCGTACAAGGGTACATGTGATGGATTTCCTATTATTCATGGGTATAATACGCAACGTGAAGCTAGTTATTGGTATTGTCATAGCCGGTTTCCGGCATCAGCCACTATGTGGCTTTGGATATCTGGGTCCATTCATGTCAAGACACAATTTTCCACCATTCATTCCCTTCAACAATTATCCTCGGTCGGTGATGGTCATCCGCCACAGTAATCATATCAAGTCGTGACTGCATGCAACTAGGTATTCGACGTATATAGGGAATTGCGCTTAGTAGCCACCCTGGTAGCCGCCCTGCTGGTAGCCACCGCCCTGCTGGTAGCCCTGGTAGCTGCCGCCCTGCTGGTAGCCACCACCACCACCAAAACCGCGGTTGCCGCCGGAAGGTCTAGCGTTGGCCAGGTTGACCTTGACACGGCGACCATCGAGCCTAGATCACACAATCCGATTAGACGATTCAAGGCCATGACAAGGCTGAAATGCAAAGCTTACTCGGACTCGTGGAGCCCAGCAATGGCAGCCTCAGCTTCCTCAGGAGTACCGAAGGAGACGAAGCCGAATCCTCTGCTGCGGCCGGTTTCGCGATCTCTCATGACGATCTAATAAGATGGACTTAGCGACAAAGGACTTCACAGCAGCGCGAAAGAGAAGGAAGAGTCAATGAAAAGGATCGCAAAGGCCAACTTACAGCGTCAGTGATCTGGCCGAACTGCTGGAATGCCTCGCGGAGAGACTCATCAGTGGTGTTCCAGGAAAGGTTTCTTTTGATTTGGAATTCAATAAGTAAGATAACATTCCACATGTGATTTTTTGATTAAGAATGTTTCATCTTAATCTTTTTTTTTTTCAATAATTTTTCTGAATTCAAGAACTGACCCGACGTAAACTTTCGACATGGTGAAGGTTTGTGATGAAGTACGATAGTACTTTGGATTGTTGGTTTTTTGGGTGGAAGGTAAGGAAAGAAGAAACCTGGTGGTAGCGGGGGAGACAAAAACAGAATTTTAGCAAAGTGGATAAGGGCGGGCGGTATGGAGGGGTGCGCGATATTTATACGGGCGAAAGAAACGACACGTATCAACCCGTGATGAGATCATCCCAGATCACGTTGGGCATTCCTGCAGGCTGCACATCCTGACTCAGCCTGGGCCATTTGTGTACATAATCTGGCAGAGAGCACGTGCTCCGGTGCATCTGAATCTCCCACCAGAACATTCCCCCACAAAGAATCTCCAAACAATCATCACTTCTAATTACACTGGAACGAATGGTTCTCTATATCTATCTACGATGCATAGCAGCTACTGTTCCCCAGAAAATTGCCGGTAGGCCTGAATAATCGCCTCCCATCCACCCGGATGATTGTACTCGATCGGATTTGATTGCTCGTCCAGGACCATGACGTCCGTCTTGCGGGTGCTGATGGAATACCACACGAGGTTGCTTGGGGAGTTTGCCACGCGCATCATGTTCGTTTGACACGAGCCGTTGCACTGATGGCTGTAGGTTCCATCCCAGGGCCCGTTGAAGAACGCCCATGCGGCTGAGTTGTACAGAAGAATATCCGACCCGCCGTCCACGTTAGTTGCCAGTGAGGTACGGCACTTCTGATCGTCTTCGCCGCACCAGGAGAAGTCGGGGTCACCGAACTCGGATGCAGCGGTCCATGGAGCGGGAGCAGTCTGTGTGACTCCGTCCCCTTGCATATATGGGGACTCCGACTGGAGAAGACCTGCGTAGACATTCTGTGCGTTATGGAGGTTGTAGTTATACAGCCAGTGATGCTCTGACCCAGTCCCAGTAAGCCAGGTTCCCTGGGTGGCCTCGACCAGAATACCACGGCCCGTGGAGATAATCGTGATCGGCCCACCGTCAAGGTTATGATCAGCCGTCCAGCCCCAGAAATTCTCAATATATGCGGACGATGTCTTTGTGAGATGGAGGACCATGAATGCCGCCATGCATCGGGACATATCCTGGTCGGTGCAGCTGTTGGCAATGGTGGTCTCCGCTGTACCTCCTACGGTGGCGATAGTGTTCCATAATGCCACATCGCCGGGTGCACTGCCTGCCATGTTTATCTCGAGAATCTTCGCGCCCGGAAGAATCTCGGCAACACTGAATCTCATATTTTGAATTTCAGCCACACCCACATCCCCCTCTTGTCCGATTTGCACGACCGGCTTCGGCTTGGCGGCGTTTCTGAACCCGCCTCCCGCGCCCGTAATCACTGCCCAGGCTTCGCCCACGATACGAGAGCCCTTCGGAATGACGAGCGTATCCTTGACGAGGTATACGCCGTATGGAAAGTATGTAATCTTACAGTTTGCTGCATTGTCTGCCAAAATAGCGTTCAGCGCCGCGCTATCATCCGTGGAGCCGTCACCCTTGACGGTGTAGCCTTCAGCAGCCTTTACATTGACAATCTGGTCACTGCTGTATTCGGCGTAGGTGGGCTGCACCTTTGTGAAGTACTTATTATTTGCAAGCAGCACGCCCGGGCGCAAGGTACTAAAACCGGTTCCGCTCTGGTACTGGCCCGGAGTGACGTTTCCCCAGACCCAGGTGTCGACATGCGAGACAGCACCCAGTTTGACATTGCCTTTGCTATCGACTGCGATGGGATTGCTGTTCTCATGCGACAGGTTTTCGATAAGGATCTGGCTATTACGATTGCCGCTGTCATTGGACGAGTCGTGGAATCTAACGACCGGCCCAGAGTTGATAGAGGAGGAGTCGAGCAGCACGAGACTACCCAGACTGTTGGTAGTCATGTTGATGCCGGTGCCACAGGTGTCAAATGTCGCCTGTTGTAGTAGCACCGTGTGGCCACCCGCTGCTTCGAACGCCGTCGTGCAGTATTTGAATGATATATTCTTGAAGTTGACCTGTTGATTAGAGTTCTTGATACCTACAGCACCGCCGATGATTTGCTACTTCAGTTAGCATTGGCCCGACTCGAACATGCAGTCTGCAAACATACCACATCGGTAACGGCAATGGTCGAACCAGCCTGGATGTATATGCCGGTGTGGCCCGTAGAGCTGGTCGGCATTTCAATCTGGACATTGGTCAAGCCGGAGCCTTGTGCTACACCCCACTGCAGCGCTGTGATCTTTGTGTCCGCACTGAGAGCCGTGGTGTCCAGCACTACATTTCTCATCAGGGTCATGAAGCTGGTTTCCGGATTTCCATTGCCCGAATCATACCCCATAACCAGCGTATCGCCTTTGAAATTCGGCGCAGCCTTGAGCACCGGAGGATTTAGTGGGTCTCCTGTAATGATGGTGCCCACGCGTAGTTCCAGTGTGCTACCCAACTGATAGGTTCCCCCGGGGAGGAAGACCTCGGCCGGATAACGAGTGACGCCGCTGCTTTTACGACTACCGCCCGAGCCGTTATCGTTGATGGCGTTTTGCAACTTGGATGTCTGGTTACCGGACCCATCATTGCTGGCACCGTAATCCCGGATATTACGCCACACAGGGTAATTCGTATTGTTCACGTAGGGGGCGTACCCACCAGAATTTCCGCTATGGTTTTGATCCGCGAGCCAGTAGCTTGTAGGGGAGCTTTTGATCGGGCCTGTGCATGTTCCGCTGGCTGCGACAACTAGACTGCCAAAGCCATTTTGGATATCCACGGAGATCGCATCGGTCCATGTTAAATGAGACACTTGAGCAGTGGTCGACGATATTGCTGCGAACGTTGAAGGAATGACGGCAGCGGACGATGAGGCCACAATGCTGGCCAACCCTAAGAGAGAGCGGAAGTCGCGCATCCTCGGAAAGGAATGACTATTTTGGTTACGAATGAAACAACAGAAAGGCAAGAGAATGGACGGGTGCAGTATCCCCAAGTACGAAAACTGGCCTGCAGCTGAAACGGGCCATCGCGTCTCCTATATACGACCCGCTGCAGCTGAGCTATCACAATATCAGCCGTCGTCGAGCGAACCAGACCAGGGGACAATATCCAAATTTACCGGGCCACGAGCATGTAAGGTCTAGACTGGTGGTAAGTGTGCCTGAGCTTGAGGGACTTCTCAGCACTACGGAGCAGAAAGTGGATCAGCTTGGGGCTGCGAGTCTGCGACAACTTCTGCAGCACGGAGTAGTCCCAACTGTGATACACTTATATGCCTGCAGGAACTGGTGGCCATCTGCTAAGTGGGATCGTCACCTCGAATTTCCTTTTCTTGTTCAAGGGACTCACTAGTTTCCCAATTGAATCTGGCCAGATGCAGGATCAACTTTAGGGCTCAGCATATGGGCCAATCAGGGCCGTCAGCAGCCACGCGATGTCTGAATTATTGATCGCCCCTTTTTCACTCAGAAGAGGAGGCACTGATCAAACCAAGAAGAGTCAAGCACCTGGATTACCTCGGTAGTGGCCGTTACTTCGTACTCCGGCGTATGCCTGTACATACAGACATGTTTGGTTTAGGTCTACTGTGTGTCATCAGGCAAATACCTTTTCGGGAAACTGGTGTCTGCTACGGAGATGTACATCGACCATTTTGATCCGAAGAACTGTTTCACCTTGCGTGTCAGACCTTACCTTAATCTCAAAAGAGATCATAAACCCACGGAGCGCGAAAGCTTGGCGTCCCCCATTTCCTTTTTCCTTTCCGGTCTTTTCCTTTTTTTCTGTTTTACCCCCATACACCATTGTCTGGAAGATAACATTGCTCGATGGCACTCAACAGAATTTGTCAACAGCAAAGGCAGTCTTGAGTTATATATATCTAGCCAAATCTATAGTTCGCACTATCGACTTTCGCCACAGGAGCTCCATTGCCGGACTAAAAGGAGTGTGGTTCCGTTAAAATCGTTGGTCTGCTGTTTATATATATATAACAGTGTAGAAACCGTCCCTGCAGAAACATCGGGAATCATTTATCATAGACACCTGGACGACTCAATTCGAGCATCCTGTACTACTATTATGATGGTTTGTAAAAGCCTCTTTGACCCTCACTGACCCACTGCCCTAGCGATATTGTCCCTTGCTATTTGAAGATTATGAAGTACAAGAACCAAGCGGACGCAACGTTTATCATCTCTTGGTTGGGTCGATCTTTGGATGGTCCTGCCTTTTCTATCTCAGATGCCAGATCATGTCAAGCAGAAGGGCGCACTTGAGTTATGGATTGCATTCAATGATAGAGTGATGTAGTTGAATAAATTACAAAATATGTTATTATGCTCTCAACACCAAAGAGCGATAAAGAAAACAGAAATCCAATACAACATTCCCATGCCTCGCTTGCAGAATCTATGCAGCTCAGAGCCGAACTCCATATCCCCGTGGATCTAAGCAGCAATCGGCCCCATCTCCGACTATAAAAATAGTATGTTTCAGGAATGGGGCCAGTGCAATTCTCACCAGACGATGTCACCATAATATGAACTGCCGTGAGATTTCTCACCCTCATTTCCCGAAGTGGGAGAATGATCGACACGCGCCTGCGGTACTATTGTAAACAACCCTTGCATGCACGCTATTGTAGCCAACCAATGCCCATGCTGATTTTAATGCACGAGTCAGTGCCAGGGGTCTGAACAATGCAGGCAGATAAGATCGTGCAGCATATAATATCTAAAACACTTCCTGGGTTCTCTCTCCTACCTTCTAGGGAAACTCGCCCAGCATCGTTTTCCAGTCAAAAATGAAACTCCACGTATTGGCCGCTTTTTTGGGCAGTGCCCCTCTAACCCTAGCCTGGCTTCCCACCGACGAGGGTCGGAGCCTCTCCGGCTTCACCAGTACTTCCAAAATCCGCGGTGTCAATCTGGGGTCCCATTTCGTCATGGAGCCATGGATGGCCAGCACTGAATGGTCAAATATGGGGTGCAGCGACTACAAGAGCGAATGGGATTGCGTGCAAGGCATCGGACAGGATGCAGCCAATGCAGCCTTTAAGAAACATTGGCAGACGTGGACCACCAAGGATGATATCACTCGGATGGTCTCATACGGTCTCAACACCATCCGGGTATGTGGCAAAAGCCATCAAAATACGTCCTCACTGTCTGACACAGTCTCCAGATCCCCATCGGCTTCTGGATGTACGAAGACTTAATCAATGACAACGAGTACTACCCACGCAACAGCTCAATCGACGATCTAATCACCGTCTGCCAATGGGCGTCTGACGCCGATATGTATATCATTATTGATGTGCACGGACTGCCGGGCGCTCAGCAGCCCAACCAGCCCTTTACCGGCCGGGTAGGGTTTCCAGATAACTTCATTCTGCTTAGACATTTCAGTTGAGCGTACCCTGACTTGCATGTAGTACGTGGATCCACCACAATTCTACCAAAATGACGAAAATGCCGAACGAGCATACAAGTTCTACGAATGGATCATCGAGAAAGTCAATAGCAACCGCTCCGCATTTAAAAATGTCGGGGCCCTGGAACTCGTCAATGAGCCGCTCCAGAACACAGAGAACGCTGACACAAACTGGATGGTCGAGCATTTCTATCCGTCGGCGATCGATCGTATCCGCGCGAAAGAATCGGACCTGGGTGTTGCGGATGCTGATGCGTTGCACGTCACTGTCATGGTATGTTTTGTTCTATCCACCTATTTCACGGGAATGTTAATGTAGTACACAGGACGATAAATGGGACTCGGGCGGTAACCCTACGCGCTCTCTCAGCGACACCCAGAAGGAAAAGCTCCTGTTTGACGACCACAATTATGAGATCTATCTCGTTCGCAACGCCGCGACGATAGATGAGATGATTACGGATGCATGCGGCGACGATCGCACGTCCAGTGTTAGTCCAAAGGTGGTCGGCGAGTGGAGTCTGGCGTTTGATAACACGGGCGATGCCTTCCTGCCCATGACTGGGGATCATGCGTCGTCGTACTCGAAGTGGTTCTCCGCGCAGCAGAGACAGTATGAAGCGCTTAATGGGTGGGTCTTTTGGTCGTGGAAGACGGATGCCTTGCCCAATGTGGAGCAGTGGAATTACCAGAGTATGTTCCTATCTTACCGTTTATGCCGGGTGGCAGTGCTAACTGGAATGATCAGAGGCCGTCGACGCGGGTATCATTAACAAGGATTTGAATGCGCAGTATGATCAGAATCCGTGCTAGATCGTGGACGGTTCTAGTGCAATCGAGATGAATATAACCGGGGCAGGGATTGACTTCAAGGCCAATCTGAATATATTAAGACGTAGGGATTGTGGAGTGTGCGTAACTTAGGATACATCCAGATGTATTATATCACCAGGGTTGATATCAAATGGACAACGACAATACAATTATAGAGACATGGCAGTGTAATGATCACACTTCTGACAGCACGGAGATAGCAATGCTCACATCAAGGAGCACACGGAGTCTCAAATATTGCAGCCTCACGGTCAATCGGTCTTGTCCTTAGCAAACCGTCCAGTGAAAACCCGAATTCGCTTCCCCCAGATAAATATCGGGACGCCAATCAAAGCGAGGAACCCGGTGAGAGCAGCAAAGGTATTGAACGTTCCATCGTAGCCATGGAGAGCGATGAAAGGAGCGGTATCATAACTGGTGCCGAAGGAGATGATACCTCTGAAAGCACAGATAATCACCAGCAATGGGCCAGCCCGTGCCGGGTAGCTGTCCAGCAGATACGTGATGGTGACAATATTGACGCCAACGAAGCAGAAATAATATGCTGCAACACCCCACGCGTAGACAAACCAGTGGTAGTCATATGGATGGGCTGCCCCTACACCGTATAGAGAGCTTGTAAACGTGCCCACCACGGCCGGAATGATGAGTGGGATCAGTCGCGTTTCGGGCTCGTGCAGTCCGTTATTCCGCTTTGCGCGGAACTTGACCAGCCAGTCCGAGCCATGCCCGAGGAGAGGCAGCGCGACAACGGCCACCAAGATTTGCCCACAGTTGATGTAGCTCGCACTGCTGTTCGGCCAGTTGTATGGAGGTGCGGAGAGGATCGTGCTGTATGTAGTGCCGATGGCTATGTTGACACCAATGACCAGGCCGTTGAGGAGAAGCGCCCAGAGGACGTTGGGGAAGAGGAGCAGCTCTGCAGTTTGCTGTGCACAACGTCAAGGTTACTAACTACGTTCCAGAAGCGCTAGCACAGTGGGCGATACACATACCTTGAGCACTTCCCATAACTTGATCCACTCCGGCTTGCCGATCCACAGGCGCAAGTCCGACTTGAATGTGCGCGGGGCGTAGTTGATATAGTCTAGCTCTGGGCGCTCCGTGCAAGGTGCTGTCTTTGGATACTTTGGTTTGTCGTCGGTAGAGCTTTCCGTGGCCATCTCATCACCAGACGAGGACTCCTCTTGGTATGCCGACATAGATCGCTCGTATTTAGTTTCCGGCAACAGGAAGATAGTAGCGACAAATAGAGCGCCGGCTAATACGGCACCAAGACCATACCACCATTGGGGAGTGATGGCCTCGGCGATAGGGCCAGCGAATAGAACCCACACTGTAGTAAAGCTGACTTGAATAGCTTGTTGACCCATGAGGGCTTTACTTCGTTCGTGAAGAAAGAATATCTCCTACACATGTGCACAACAACATCAAAGAATGATATTAGTTAGGGCACCGACTGAAATAGTGAAAAGGGTACATTACTTACCTGTGTGATCATGGGAACAATCGACTCACTTTGGCCGGCCGCGAGACCGACCAGGATTCTGGCGCCAAAGTGCCACTCGTAGCTCTTTTCCGTTGCACATAAAATGGCGCCGACAGCAAGGATTGCAGTCGAGACTAGCATGACTATCCGACGCCCAACACTAATAGCCAGAGGCATGCCGATCAAATTCCCAATTCCCCTGTGATATAGACACGTTAGACATAATACGAGGCGCTGATGTACATTGGGATGACTTGGACTCATACATGAACAGGGTTGGATAGGTCATCAAGTAAGTAATTCCATTGTAATCTACCCCCGCGGCTTCATATCCAGGAATGTAAAACCCTAGCAAGCCGCCGAATCCCGATACAAGAGCAAGGCCGAGACATGAGACTGTTTGGTATTAGTGTGCCTGAATTTATGCTCGTCAAAGTAGGCTGCCTACAAATCGAGATGACGACAAGGATGGTTATCTTGCGAAGCATGGACAAATTCAACGGATCTAAAACATTGAGCTAGTCAGAAAAATGCAATGCATGAGAAGGATTGAGACAATATACCCCGAGGATCGGCTGTCGGCGCCGGGATGTACACAATGCTGCCTTCGGTCAACTTCACCGTGCCCATCACATTGGTAGCGCGGTGCGTCTCCGTTTCGCCAATGTTGACTACCTCAATGTCTTCCACATGGCCCACAGAACCTTTGTCATTCCGAGACATGGTGGCTACAAGGTGTCCCGAAGAAGCCTCGAATTTTGGACCAAACGTCCAAGTCTAACAAAGAACGAAACAGGGAAGGGCAGCGTAAAGGAGGTGGAGCGGAAAATGCAACAGCCCCAGACTCTGCAGTGGAGAGCTCACGATGTGTGAACAATGCTCATTGTTTATATGCAGACAGCATCGATTGCCATGCATACAAAAGGAATTAAGGTTGACGAATTCATGCCACGACGACAAGAAGCTACCCCGGGCCCCCCACATTGTCCGGGGGTTTAATTCTGGAGACCCCGCCGAAGCTGTCTTGGACGCCCTCGGCCACTAGGCTTGCCACCTCGCTCTGCTCCGAGTTAGGCAGACGTTGATTGGCGTCCGAGGTCTCGATCGCGCGGAACTGTCTCCTATCTCATGAAGGCCAGACCACCGAAACACGTATTGTCAGGTCTTGCATTGGCTCTTTGAAGCTATTAGTCTCATGTATCTCGATCGTGATTTAGGAACGAGTAGAACTTCATAGGGTCATGAAGCTATAGTTGCGGTGAATTGAGTTCATTAGGGCTTATCATACGACATATTTGGAGAGCAGCGAAGTGTCAGACTTCCGAGGTAGATCAAGTAATAATCATGAACCATAAAATTGTAACTATCAATTCTCAAAGACTAGTACATAGCACAACAATTACATTCAGTACGGCTTGACTCCGGCCAGTTTGAGCACCGTGTCGGTCAACACGGGCTTCTCAAAGGGCTCAGTTCGGTACTTCGGGCACACCTCGCCATTCCGCATGGGCTTTTCCGACGCAGGACGAATATTGCTACAATTTCCAACTGTTAGCTGAGCTGTCCATGATACCGTGTGGCAAATGAGGAGACTCACCAATGGGGCCAGTGGGTCGTGCCCATGTAGTTCTCGAAGCAGGTCTTCTTCAGCTCCAATGCCTTTTCGGTAGCAAAGCGTCTGGGCGTCATGCAGATGTACTGTGCGTGACGGATCTGGTTCGCCTCGGGGAAACAAGCATAGTGGAGTGACCGGGAATCCCACAGGACAAAATCACCAGGGCCGAGGTTGACCTTCATGAGCTCGCACCCCCGTTCCTCAAACCACTTGACATCTTTCTCATGGAAAAGGAAGAGGTCCATGTACTTCAGCTCCGGGGGAGGAGCATCCTCGTGGTCATATTGCTCTCGCTTCTGGGCGAAGAACTCATCGAAGAGTTTGGCAGATCCCTTCATCAGCATCAGACCGCCATCCTTGGGGCCATTGGGGGCAAAGTTAATGAGGCCCTGGACAGCTTGCATTCTGAAAGAGTATTAGCATACGCCAAGTTCGAGGATTGGTTAGGATACCCACCCCTTCCGGTTTGGGTTCTGATCACAGTGAGGCCATGGGCTCCAGTTGAGATCCTTTCGGCGCGGGAGCGAGATGTTGATGCCGTCGAAGGAGCAAAGCAACTCCTTCGTTTCCCATAGCTTCTCGAAGATGTCTATGATAGCTGGCTCGGTACGGGCTTCCCAGGCACTCTTCTCATGAGTGGCGCCGTACGAAAAATACATTCTGGTCACAAACATGGTTAACTGGATGCTAGGCCGGGTCTGTCCGAGACGGTGGACTGCTTACCCTCCCTTGAAGCTGACTGGCAAATGGTCCGCGGTCCAGGTGCTCTCATCGTTCTCATCGAAGCCAAGTTCGAAGTTCTTCAGCCATTCAATCTGCTTATCGGCGTAGTATTTCGCACGCTCCGGACTGATCACATTCTTGAGAACAACACAGCCATGGCGGTGAAATTCATCACGCCAATCGCCGTATGTGCGGTCGCTGAAGTCAACCAAGTCCTTGATGGTGAAGGACTGTTGGGTTGCTTCGGCGATTTCTTGGATCTCGGTAGTAGTCGACATGGTTCAGACTTTCGCTGTCACGATTCACAATACTTGGTATTCGATACTGCGCCGAGGACTGATGTGTTTTGCTGGTTCAGTTTGACGGGGCATTTTGAGAACACTTAAGTAACTGAGCACTTCGCCGGTCACCATGCGAACAATCATTGAAGCATTGCGTCTCCGAGGGGTGCGGGGACTAGCGCCGAACACGCCGGGGGGCAGCCTTGCGAAAGCCATGGCTCATTTTCAGCACTTCGCAATGGGTCATCTTGTTGGGCTCGGCTTGCTCCGAGACGCTCGGGCGCTTATTTAGCACTCGGCGAGTTTTGACTCTGTGAGGCATGTTGACCCACTGCCTTCTTCCACCGAATTTTACCCATGACTGGGTCCTTGGTACACTAGTTGGTAGTGGACACTAGTCAAACCTGGGACGAGTAGAAACCTCTGGTGGCAGTAGTGGACTACTGGTACAACTGAAGTCAGCCTATGAAAGCATGTTGCACAGTAGGAAGGCACAGTTAGGCGTCGTTTTGTTGCTCGTGACGACCAGAACGAGTGAGGACCCGGGGGAATGGAATAAACGGCAAATAACCATGAATGTGGATTGGTATGTGGACTTATTCTGATGTGGTTTAACACACGCATTTCTATCGTCATGGATTTGTTGACGTTTTTCAGTTCATGTTTCTATATACGTTTCTTTCCCCGGCTACTCTGTTTTCTTCCGGTAGCGCTATCAGCCCTGTTGCGCTTTGTAAACTATATACACTGATATTACCATATGCTAGACCCTAGAGAAACCGGACTCAACATGAAAAAGACAATAAGCAAACTGCAAGTAGCGCTACACTCAGACTGATTGTCCTTGAAGGAGGACTGGCGATTCGTGACTGGCACGTGGTAGAAGGTGAAGAGGCTTCCACTGCGAGGGTCTAAAGGTCTTGTTGACAGCTATTCCCTGTGCCCATAACTAATCACCAATCAGCAGGTTGGCTTTGGAATCTGCACATGAACCATGGGCCCGGTACCTCCTGTTCTCGCTCGAGCCTGCCGTAGCTCCTTAGACTTGGTGTATGGCAGATAGAAAGGGCCGCATATCAAGACTACTAGTGATGTCTGGACAGCAAACCTGGTGAGCGACGTAGATGGATGCATGGTTCAAGGCGTGGGGAAATGCAAACAGTACCCGTTGTCCCTTGGCGAGAGACCTGCAGTTGGAAGCCGTCAAGAGTTTATATTGCTACTGTTATTAAGCGATCTATAAGGAGAGAAAGGATGTGGATGACCTCGTGTGGCTAAGAGTGTAGAAGCAGTAGCCACGCCCAGGCTGACGCCTATAGCCATCCCTCGAAATAAGATCCACCAGATATCGCACGTCTCTCGAGATGAAGCGCACCGATTGGACCCGAGCCTGCTTCGGCAAATGTGGAGGAGCCATATCCGAGGTCATTTGCCGCCACGAACGCTAGGCTAAATGGCTAGCGAGATCGGCATTCGAGCCGTCGCCTCTCGAGTCTCGACATGACCCTAGCTCCAGACCAAGAGCCTGCGACAGTTTCCCCCGCATTCTACTCTAATCCCCCGCTTTTGGAGTGAACTGGGGATTACCAAGTCGTGCATTGCCGTTGCTTCTCTCTATCGTCATATCGTGTCCTCAGGCGCATGTGCAGCAATGGTCACACGGAGTGCTTCTTCATGTCAATGTTAGTGGTCGCCATTGCTTGCTCACTATCATGAATAGGCCACCAATATGCCTCGGACATCCATTGCCCCCTCTAGGATACGACATAGAGATTGATGATGGATCGACCTCCCCCGGCCAAGCGGCCCCGGCTGTCGATGGCATGCAACATCTGTCGGCAGCGAAAAGTGAAATGCGATGCCGAGTATCCCAAGTGTCGCAATTGTCGGATACGGAATCAAATTTGCGTGACGACTGACCCTCAACGCCCTGGGGTGCCAGGAGTGAGAGAATGGCTAGAGATGCCAGAGAAGATCAATGGGAACACAGGGACGCAATGTGACGGGTTGCAGAAGGAGCCAGCGTGTCGCCAAAGTGATCAAACCTCGCCCCCAAATACATCGCCTCAGCAGCAACCTCAGTCGCAAGAGGGTCAACCCTCTCCATCTGTGGGGGACAACCTGGCAGATGAAAAGGTCAACGAATTTTCCCCAGTGCATCAACCGTTCGATACATCCCTCAATGTGGAGCGTGGAACGAATCGGATGAAAATTCTGGGTGGCAGCAGCTCGCAATGCCTCGCGAAATCATTGGACGTTTATTTTGAAGCGGCACGGTTAAAGCCAGTGTCGGCTTCCTTTGGTCACGGCATGAGGCATGCGGAGGAGCTGGATATGCCGCTGACCCTATCTCTACCAGGCCTGCCTGGCCGGGACTGTCGCGACCGATATGCGCGGATCTATTTGGCCCGAATCCACCCTACCTATCCCATTTTCTCCCCCAATGGGTTTCGCGAAAGTATGGAGCAGCTTGCCACAGTCGCCGATTACACGCACCTCCCTCGAGACAACGTTCCCATACTTGTGCTTGTCTATCTTGTGATGGGATTGGGCTCGGATGAAGAGGCTCAAAGTGTGACGGAAGTCGGGGAGAAATATCTTCAAGCTGCGGCCGGGCTTGTATCTCACCTCGTCGCAATACCCTACCTGCCGACGGTGCAGGCTCTGTTACTTCTGACACTGATGTATAGAGGTCGGAACCAGGAGGGTCTGGCGTGGCAAACGTTGGGCATGGCGATCCGCATCGCATACACCCTGGGAATCCACCGACCTCAGACGGGGTCCGCACTGTCCACATCCCATAACACACCTGATGAAAGACACCTTCCCAGCCAAATATGGGCGGTTTGCTGCTGCTTGGAGCGGATGATGCAACTCCAATGCGGCCGCCCTTCCTCCATTAGCCCCGAACACCTCAGTACCATCGGCAGTTTAACCTGCCAGTCACCCTACCTGCCGTGGAGCCTGGGGCTAGCTGAATACCAAGGAAATATCAGCCAGCATATCTACAACTACCATCCTGGGTCGAGAAACGTGCGCCAGATACTTCTGGATACTGCCCGACTGGATCGGCTGCTGCTCTCATGGGCCAATGTCATTCCTCC